AATGCTCGCATCTAGGGCTGGTGAATGCTCGCATCTAGGGCTGGTGAATGCTCGCATCTAGGGCTGGTGAATGCTCGCATCTAGGGCTGGTGAATGCTGGCATCTAGGGCTGGTGAATGCTGGCATCTAGGGCTGGTGAATGCTGGCATCTAGGGCTGGTGAATGCTCGCATCTAGGGCTGGTGAATGCTCGCATCTAGGGCTGGTGAATGCTGGCATCTAGGGCTGGTGAATGCTGGCATCTAGGGCTGGTGAATGCTGGCATCTAGGGCTGGTGAATGCTCGCATCTAGGGCTGGTGAATGCTCGCATCTAGGGCTGGTGAATGCTCGCATCTAGGGCTGGTGAATGCTGGCATCTAGGGCTGGTGAATGCTGGCATCTAGGGCTGGTGAATGCTCGCATCTAGGGCTGGTGAATGCTCGCATCTAGGGCTGGTGAATGCTCGCATCTAGGGCTGGTGAATGCTCGCATCTAGGGCTGGTGAATGCTGGCATCTAGGGCTGGTGAATGCTGGCATCTAGGGCTGGTGAATGCTGGCATCTAGGGCTGGTGAATGCTGGCATCTAGGGCTGGTGAATGCTGGCATCTAGGGCTGGTGAATGCTGGCATCTAGGGCTGGTGAATGCTCGCATCTAGGGCTGGTGAATGCTGGCATCTAGGGCTGGTGAATGCTGGCATCTAGGGCTGGTGAATGCTGGCATCTAGGGCTGGTGAATGCTGGCATCTAGGGCTGGTGAATGCTCGCATCTAGGGCTGGTGAATGCTCGCATCTAGGGCTGGTGAATGCTCGCATCTAGGGCTGGTGAATGCTCGCATCTAGGGCTGGTGAATGCTCGCATCTAGGGCTGGTGAATGCTGGCATCTAGGGCTGGTGAATGCTGGCATCTAGGGCTGGTGAATGCTCGCATCTAGGGCTGGTGAATGCTCGCATCTAGGGCTGGTGAATGCTCGCATCTAGGGCTGGTGAATGCTCGCATCTAGGGCTGGTGAATGCTCGCATCTAGGGCTGGTGAATGCTCGCATCTAGGGCTGGTGAATGCTGGCATCTAGGGCTGGTGAATGCTGGCATCTAGGGCTGGTGAATGCTGGCATCTAGGGCTGGTGAATGCTCGCATCTAGGGCTGGTGAATGCTCGCATCTAGGGCTGGTGAATGCTGGCATCTAGGGCTGGTGAATGCTGGCATCTAGGGCTGGTGAATGCTGGCATCTAGGGCTGGTGAATGCTGGCATCTAGGGCTGGTGAATGCTGGCATCTAGGGCTGGTGAATGCTCGCATCTAGGGCTGGTGAATGCTCGCATCTAGGGCTGGTGAATGCTCGCATCTAGGGCTGGTGAATGCTCGCATCTAGGGCTGGTGAATGCTGGCATCTAGGGCTGGTGAATGCTGGCATCTAGGGCTGGTGAATGCTGGCATCTAGGGCTGGTGAATGCTCGCATCTAGGGCTGGTGAATGCTCGCATCTAGGGCTGGTGAATGCTGGCATCTAGGGCTGGTGAATGCTGGCATCTAGGGCTGGTGAATGCTGGCATCTAGGGCTGGTGAATGCTCGCATCTAGGGCTGGTGAATGCTCGCATCTAGGGCTGGTGAATGCTCGCATCTAGGGCTGGTGAATGCTGGCATCTAGGGCTGGTGAATGCTGGCATCTAGGGCTGGTGAATGCTCGCATCTAGGGCTGGTGAATGCTCGCATCTAGGGCTGGTGAATGCTCGCATCTAGGGCTGGTGAATGCTCGCATCTAGGGCTGGTGAATGCTCGCATCTAGGGCTGGTGAATGCTCGCATCTAGGGCTGGTGAATGCTCGCATCTAGGGCTGGTGAATGCTCGCATCTAGGGCTGGTGAATGCTCGCATCTAGGGCTGGTGAATGCTCGCATCTAGGGCTGGTGAATGCTCGCATCTAGGGCTGGTGAATGCTCGCATCTAGGGCTGGTGAATGCTCGCATCTAGGGCTGGTGAATGCTCGCATCTAGGGCTGGTGAATGCTCGCATCTAGGGCTGGTGAATGCTCGCATCTAGGGCTGGTGAATGCTCGCATCTAGGGCTGGTGAATGCTGGCATCTAGGGCTGGTGAATGCTCGCATCTAGGGCTGGTGAATGCTCGCATCTAGGGCTGGTGAATGCTCGCATCTAGGGCTGGTGAATGCTCGCATCTAGGGCTGGTGAATGCTGGCATCTAGGGCTGGTGAATGCTGGCATCTAGGGCTGGTGAATGCTGGCATCTAGGGCTGGTGAATGCTCGCATCTAGGGCTGGTGAATGCTCGCATCTAGGGCTGGTGAATGCTCGCATCTAGGGCTGGTGAATGCTCGCATCTAGGGCTGGTGAATGCTCGCATCTAGGGCTGGTGAATGCTGGCATCTAGGGCTGGTGAATGCTGGCATCTAGGGCTGGTGAATGCTGGCATCTAGGGCTGGTGAATGCTCGCATCTAGGGCTGGTGAATGCTCGCATCTAGGGCTGGTGAATGCTCGCATCTAGGGCTGGTGAATGCTCGCATCTAGGGCTGGTGAATGCTCGCATCTAGGGCTGGTGAATGCTCGCATCTAGGGCTGGTGAATGCTCGCATCTAGGGCTGGTGAATGCTGGCATCTAGGGCTGGTGAATGCTGGCATCTAGGGCTGGTGAATGCTCGCATCTAGGGCTGGTGAATGCTCGCATCTAGGGCTGGTGAATGCTCGCATCTAGGGCTGGTGAATGCTCGCATCTAGGGCTGGTGAATGCTGGCATCTAGGGCTGGTGAATGCTGGCATCTAGGGCTGGTGAATGCTGGCATCTAGGGCTGGTGAATGCTGGCATCTAGGGCTGGTGAATGCTGGCATCTAGGGCTGGTGAATGCTGGCATCTAGGGCTGGTGAATGCTGGCATCTAGGGCTGGTGAATGCTCGCATCTAGGGCTGGTGAATGCTCGCATCTAGGGCTGGTGAATGCTGGCATCTAGGGCTGGTGAATGCTGGCATCTAGGGCTGGTGAATGCTGGCATCTAGGGCTGGTGAATGCTCGCATCTAGGGCTGGTGAATGCTCGCATCTAGGGCTGGTGAATGCTCGCATCTAGGGCTGGTGAATGCTGGCATCTAGGGCTGGTGAATGCTCGCATCTAGGGCTGGTGAATGCTCGCATCTAGGGCTGGTGAATGCTCGCATCTAGGGCTGGTGAATGCTGGCATCTAGGGCTGGTGAATGCTGGCATCTAGGGCTGGTGAATGCTGGCATCTAGGGCTGGTGAATGCTCGCATCTAGGGCTGGTGAATGCTGGCATCTAGGGCTGGTGAATGCTCGCATCTAGGGCTGGTGAATGCTGGCATCTAGGGCTGGTGAATGCTGGCATCTAGGGCTGGTGAATGCTGGCATCTAGGGCTGGTGAATGCTGGCATCTAGGGCTGGTGAATGCTCGCATCTAGGGCTGGTGAATGCTCGCATCTAGGGCTGGTGAATGCTGGCATCTAGGGCTGGTGAATGCTGGCATCTAGGGCTGGTGAATGCTCGCATCTAGGGCTGGTGAATGCTCGCATCTAGGGCTGGTGAATGCTCGCATCTAGGGCTGGTGAATGCTCGCATCTAGGGCTGGTGAATGCTGGCATCTAGGGCTGGTGAATGCTCGCATCTAGGGCTGGTGAATGCTCGCATCTAGGGCTGGTGAATGCTCGCATCTAGGGCTGGTGAATGCTCGCATCTAGGGCTGGTGAATGCTGGCATCTAGGGCTGGTGAATGCTGGCATCTAGGGCTGGTGAATGCTGGCATCTAGGGCTGGTGAATGCTGGCATCTAGGGCTGGTGAATGCTGGCATCTAGGGCTGGTGAATGCTGGCATCTAGGGCTGGTGAATGCTGGCATCTAGGGCTGGTGAATGCTCGCATCTAGGACTGTTGAATGCTGGCATCTAGGGCTGGTGAATGCTGGCATCTAGGGCTGGTGAATGCTGGCATCTAGGGCTGGTGAATGCTGGCATCTAGGGCTGGTGAATGCTGGCATCTAGGGCTGGTGAATGCTGGCATCTAGGGCTGGTGAATGCTGGCATCTAGGGCTGGTGAATGCTGGCATCTAGGGCTGGTGAATGCTGGCATCTAGGGCTGGTGAATGCTGGCATCTAGGGCTGGTGAATGCTCGCATCTAGGGCTGGTGAATGCTCGCATCTAGGGCTGGTGAATGCTCGCATCTAGGGCTGGTGAATGCTGGCATCTAGGGCTGGTGAATGCTGGCATCTAGGGCTGGTGAATGCTCGCATCTAGGGCTGGTGAATGCTCGCATCTAGGGCTGGTGAATGCTGGCATCTAGGGCTGGTGAATGCTCGCATCTAGGGCTGGTGAATGCTCGCATCTAGGGCTGGTGAATGCTCGCATCTAGGGCTGGTGAATGCTCGCATCTAGGGCTGGTGAATGCTCGCATCTAGGGCTGGTGAATGCTGGCATCTAGGGCTGGTGAATGCTGGCATCTAGGGCTGGTGAATGCTCGCATCTAGGGCTGGTGAATGCTCGCATCTAGGGCTGGTGAATGCTGGCATCTAGGGCTGGTGAATGCTGGCATCTAGGGCTGGTGAATGCTCGCATCTAGGGCTGGTGAATGCTGGCATCTAGGGCTGGTGAATGCTGGCATCTAGGGCTGGTGAATGCTGGCATCTAGGGCTGGTGAATGCTCGCATCTAGGGTTAGTGCGGGCAGTCAAAGAGAAAGCCAAAGGCGCGGTTGAAGAGGTGACTGAAGGCAAACGCTGGCATGTGGGGATTGGTGCAAAGAGAGGTTTGGGGCATATGGGGATTGGGCGAGGAGAGGTTTGGGGCATATGGGAGACGGTGCATGGTGGGGGTCAGGGTTTGGGCCACGCAGAAAGCATTTTGAGAAGAGAGTTGCAAAGAAGGGTGGGGAAAAACGTTTGGGTGGTAGGGTTGGGAGAAGGGATGGGTGCAGATTTATTGACGAGAATGCTGACCTAAAAAAAGGGTAGTGCGTGCAACGAGGAAGCAGATATACTTACCCCAGAAGTCGACAAATAAGGCGGACGTGGAAACTTAGAGCACCAGCGATGTGACAGGGTGGTCGATAGCGGCAAGCTCTAATGCTGACTGGTAGGTAAACACTCGTAACGTGCTTACCCCAGAAGTCAACAAACAAGGCGGACGTGGACCGTGACAGGCAGGTGATACTGCGTCGACTCAAAACGAGCAAGTGGGGCTGCATTCCTACCCCAGAAGTCGACAAACAAGGCTGATGTGGACACGTAGAGCACCAGGGAGGTGACTGGCAGGTCGTACTGCAGATAGACTCTCTCTTGCAGCGCCACTGCTAGCCCGTCAGAGCTGCATGGGAGAGTGTGCGTGGGAAGTGAGAGGGAGATAAGGGAATGGCAGGGGGGCGCGGGAATGCACAAGGTGCCACCAGGTGAGTGGCAGGTGGTACTGCACATAGACTCTCTCTTGCAAGGCCACTGCTAGATTGTCAGAGCTGTGGGGGAGCAGTTGAGAGACAGGGAAAAGATGGGAGAGATGCAGTGGGTGCTGTGGATGTGACTGGCAGGTCATTTGCCCGTAAGAGCTGCAGAGAAGGGGGACAGGGATGGAGGGGTGAGTGAGAAGGAGAAGAGAGGAGCAGCAGGGGACAGGGAGTGCACGAGGTGCACTCCGTGTCCTCTCTTCTCCTTCTCACTCACTCGCCTCAGCAGGGGACAGCGAGTGCACGAGTTGCCTGCCGAGGGGGCAGGCCGGTCGTCGTGCATTCCTGTGAGGGCAGGTAGGTGCGCTTCTGCCATGCGATCGCCAGGCCATTCGCGGTGGGAGGGAGAGCGTGGGAGGCGGTGGGTAGGGGAGACGTGCCTGCCGCCATCCAGCAAATGGCGATGAAGTTAGATGCGCGTGCCTGTCGCCCTTGCTATGCTTTCTACCAGAAAACATGCCACCACCACCACCACCACCACCACCGGTAGCGCACTCATGGCCATACTGAGAGGTTTTCATGTTTAATTTGAGGAGGCATCAACCCCAATAGCGACAGCACGCACCAGAATAAGAGGAACGCGAATATGGGCACGGCTAGGGGTCCGATCCACCACCAGTAGCGCACGCCCATGCTGGCAGGCGGCCAGAGGTAGAGCGGCGTGGCAGAGGGCAGCAGCACCCGCGCTGCCTCAGAGGCTGGGGGGAACCAGAGCTGGTGGGGCAGGGGGGAGGGTACAGGTGGAGAGAGGAGCATGTGAGAGGAGGTACAGACGGATAAGGCACAATCATCCGTGTTGACTCGTGTGCCTCGGACCACAGGGGGACCACAGCTGTTCATGGGAGTTCGGGTAGAGGCAGACGGTGCTACAGTGAGACAGGGAGTGATGAAGGCATGGGTCATGATGGCATGGGTCATGATGGCATGGGTCATGATGGCATGGCTCCCTCACACTCTGACTCCCTCACACCAGCCCAGCTCCTCCCAACAGGCGCCGCCAGTGCACTCGCCACCACACCTCCACTGCCACTTGGGTCACTCCCTCACTCACCCACTCACTCCCTAACTCCGTTCCTCCCTACCTCACTCCCTCACACTCACTCTCTCACACCCACCCAGCAACTGCAAGCGAGCAGGCAGGTGAGAAGACAACCCCCAGTCGCAAGCAGTGCACTCGCCGCCACACCTCCGCAACTACTGAAGTCACTCACTCCCTCACTCCTTCCCTACCTCACTCCCTCACTCCTTCCCTACCTCACTCCCTCACTCCTTCCCTACCTCACTCCCTCACTCCTTCCCTACCTCACTCCCTCACCCAGTTCCTCCACAGCGAGTGCACTCGCCACGCCACCGCTGCCACTGATGCCACTCCCTCACACACCCTCCCTCACTCACTCCCTCACTCCCTCACACACTCACTCCCTCTCTCCCTCTCTCCCTCTCACACCCACCCAGCAGCTGTAGGCGAGAAAGCAGGCGAGCAGACAGCCCAAGAGGCGCAGCCAGTGCAGTCGCCGCCACGCCACTGCTGCCACGGGGGAGGAGCCACTGCAGGAGCCCACCAGCATGGGCGCCCCACTCAGAATCGACTGCCAGAGCTGCAGAGAGGGGATGTGAGTAAAGGAGGAGAGTAGGGACAAGGCAGGGAGGGGTTGAGTCACTGGAGAGCGCACTTTATGCCGGCCCACCACTGCAGGGGGGGAAGGGGACGAGCCACTGCAGGAGCCCACCAGCATGGGGGCCCCACTCAGTACCGACTGCCAGAGCTGTGAGAGAGCGCAAGTAAGCGAGGAGAGATGCGGACAACGCAAGGAGGCGCTGAATCATAAGAAGATGACTTTTGAGACGTCTCAAAAGAAGATGCGAGTTGAGGAATGGGAGGTGCTGAAGGCGAGGAGCGCACTCCAGGCCATCTCACTGTTGCCACGGGGGGATGATCCGCTGCAGGAGCCCACCACACCAGCATGGGCGCCCCACTCGGTATGGACTGCCAGAGCTGGGAAGGACAATGAGCTAAATGCCAGACTTGCCATGCCAGGCTTGCCATGCCTTGAAGCTGATGTGCAGCCTAAGCAAGCACTGAACGCTCTAGCATTAGCAGCAGCTCGAGGCAAACCCCTACTTAGGCTACAGCAGGCAGCTTAGATCCAGCGAGGTGAGTAGAAGTGTGTGCAGGCAGAGAGATTAATGGGAGGGGCATGGGCTTGCTTGCATGAGTGCGTGCGGGGGAGGAAGGGGCTTACTAGCAGTGAGAGGGTGTGGGGGAGGGGAGGAAGGGCTTACTAGCAGTGAGAGGGTGTGGGGGAGGGGAGGAAGGGGCTTACTAGCAGTGAGAGGGTGCACAGGGCATAGACCATGCAGGTGGCTCCGATGCCAATGCGACCGTTGAGCTGCCATGGGGGGAATCAACATGCACAGGGGAAAGGGGCGTGGGGAAGCGAATCAACATGCGTGAGCGGATTGACATGTATGACAAGGCCACAGGGACCATGCAGGTGGTTCCTCTATTGCCCATACACCCATCGAGCTGCCATGAGGGGAACATCATGCACTGATGTACTGAAGTGCATCTGAGAATTACTTTGAGAATTCCATTGAGAATTCTCAGAACCTGCGAATGCAACGGGGTGTCAGGTTGAAGAGCAACAAGCACTGATGTACTGATTTGAATCAATGGCACATATGATCCCCAACCATCAGTCGATTTTTTAGTCGACTCAAAAATCGCCTCATCACGCAAGGGTAGTCAAAGGGTTACCTATTAACACCCGTCCATGTGCCATTCTCAACAACACATACGCTTATCGCAACTGAACTGCACCGCTCAAATATCGCTCTTAGGAGTACATTGAACCTATGATAATGTCATCTCAGCAGCTACTATACCCCTCAAATGTAACTCACTAAACCGCACTGCACCCTCTCTGATGCACACTGTTGTTATGGCATCGGCAGCACGCCAGCTATGCATCCCCTCTGCTGTACTGCACTTCCCTGATTCACCTCTCTCAACCGCACAACATCTCTCCAATCCACCTCTTCAACCGCACTGCACATCTCTAATCCACCTTTCTCAGCCACACTGCATCTTTCAGATCCACCTCTTCAACCGCACTGTACCTCTCTTATGCACACTGCAGTGATGGTGATGGCAGCCCCAGCGCCAGCAAAGGAGTAGATGGGGACAGAGGACAGTATGGGCCGACCCAGGAGCTGCTTGTTGGAGTTGGGGGGAAGCAGGGGTAGCAAGAGGGAGGGGAAGGGTAGGATGGAGAAGACAGCGAGGGGAGACACTATGGAGCGACTTTTGAGACGTCTCAAAAGGAGACACTATGGGGCGACCCAGGAGCAGTTTGAGTAAGGGAGAGTGAGGGTGTGGGGTGAGAGAAGATGGGTTGGGGATGAAAGTGAGGTTAAATAAGGGGGAGGAGGAATGACAGGATGGGAGCGTTGAGAAGCCTCAGAGAAAGAAAGAGGGGCGCCCTAGGGACTGATGAGATGGGGAAGTTGAAGGGAAAAAAAAAACTGTGCACATGCACTCACATGCACATGCGCATGCCAGCATGCCTACTACCTCCACCCACCCACCTTGGTGGCCATGAGGGCCAACATGGCCGTGACCCCGCTCTGATACCGTCGAGCCACCTCGGAGTAGAGGGGAGAGTTACTCACACACATGCCATGCCAACACACACACACACTCACTCACTCACTCACTCACTCCTACTCACCAACCCACCTTTGTGGCGATGAGTGCAAGCACGGCCGTGACCCCGCTCGCATACCATCGAGCCACCTCGGAGTAGAGGGGGAAGTTGGCGGTGTCTGATCCAAAGGATGCTGTGGGGCCGATCAGCAGCTGAGAGGGGACAAAAGTAAGGTAAGAGATAGTGGAGGGTAGCAAGAGGGTCGGTATTAGGTGATCAAAGGCGAGGCATCTCAAAAAAGAGAGGGAAGTTGGTGGCATGAGATCCGAAGGATGAAGTGGGGGGTGATTCAAAAGCTGAGGTTTAGGAAAGGGACAAGGCGAATATTGCAAAAGAAAGCAGGGATTTGAAGGGAAGGAGAGAAGGGGACGAGGGAGAGAGGAGGCGAGAGAGAGACGAGGGGAGGTGATAGGGAGGTATGGTCGAAACAATCCACGAGGGAGGAGTTGGGGGCGTACGGGATGGGGATGAAGCAGTAAGAAGCTGAAAGGGAGAAGAAAACGGAGAAGGGTTGAGTTGAGAAGTGTGGATACGAGACGTCTGAACATCACCAAGACTGTAACATACAGTAACACGCGCATTTGCACTCAATGGCACATACAGAAACACATTCAATGTAGGATAACCCCTCGGCCTTCAACCGCTCCGTACAACCACGTTAGAGTCACATACCGTTTGCAGCCACACGGCAAGGGCCTTGGAGACCATGATGGCGACAGCCAAGCCTGCGACCAGCCAGCGAATTCCGCCACTGCTCGCCCACACCAGCAGCGACTCCCATCGTCGGGTTACCAGCACGGCGAAACCGCACCCATTGCTCGTCTTCCACCGATCGCTATCCGAAAATGTTAGTGGTAACCCGCTTTTCCCGCCATCTGCTCCACCTTGGGAATGCCGACCTCTACCTATCCCGAACACGGCTGCTGTGGCACCGCGACCCCATGCGACCATGGCTGCGACAATTCCGAAGCGTTTCCTATCCTTGGCGAAGTTCGCGAACCAAGCCTGCTGGCTACACAGATTCGCGACAAATGCAGTTGGCGTGGTAGATTTATCGAGGTTATCGCGGCTTCCCACTCGACGATTCACTCCCAAAGACCCGGCCTTGGGAACCTTGCCGTAACTAGCCGTTGGATCCGAGTTGGGAAGATGACCTTGTAACGAACGTGATTGTATCGAATGGCCGGCGTGTGTGGTCGAAGAACGAGCACTGCCTGAACCGTTCTCGCCGATCACTCTAACGAAAGGCGAATCGGCTAGAGGCACCCAGCCGTTCGACCTACCGGCGACGTCCTTCGAGCCGTCATGATAACCCATGCGGCCATTCCTAAGTTGGCACAAGTCCCGGCGTGCTACAGATGACTTGATGGCATAAAGACTGAACTGAGGCACCAAATGCTCAGGCTACGCAGGTCATATGGAACAATATCTTGGACCGTGACAGGCTGGCGGTGTGGCTCTTGCACACGCTGTTTGCAAATCGATAATAGTGGCAAGCGCTTTAGCCGTTACGGAACAGATTTGTACCGGCTACGCTTTTGTAGCGTACTAATTGAAGAGTGAGCTGTGTGTAGCTTCTGAAGGAGACTCAAGAAAAACAACCTGTTTACAAGAATGTCTGTGACCGCAATACGAGGAAGAGAGATCAGGGAATGGATTCGTGTGATAAAAACGGATATGCCGATCGGTGTTTCGGTGTTGTTCTGACGCCCTCTGACACATTTGAACGCGCGAAAGTATTCACGTCTTGCGCGTTTCCTATGATTGTAACGAAAGAAAGTAAGGGTTAGCGAAAGAAGATGTTACAGAAACAGACTTCAAGTTACACCAGAATTCACGTCGCTTTGATTGCGAGGAAGGACCCCCACGAAGCCCACATCGCGACGTCCCATTTCGTCGATTCGCCAGAACTAACCACGTCAACGCTCTCCCACCAACCCCTCGCCTGACCCCAACGGGGACGAAGTGTATAACTTGAAACAACAGAGCCAATCGCAGTCAGGATACTACCAGCTACCACCGTACTATACCGAACTCTATCTCCTTCCGATTGGGTCGTTCCCATCTCCTTGTCGAGAAAATCGGTCCTCCTTTTCCCTTGCTCTCCCATTTCCCACTCCTATAGCTTCGGTTTCTTGCTCTCTAGTCGGGCCTCCGATTTAGCCGTCATCGAGCCTAGTTTCCTTGAATTTCGCTTTCGGCTTGAGAAGGAACGGCCGTCCGTAGATTTACTCAGCGGAGCATTGAAGACGTGTTTTATTCGTTTTTGTGCCTAGCATATTGAGTCTAGGCCGATCGGTTTTGAGTGTTTCCCCTCACATCGCGTTTTCCATAGTATTACTGCTTCGTAATCTCCCTTGCGTTTCGCTTGTAACCTCGCCGCCATGTTCGTAACTGTTCGCAATGGTCCTGACGACACGCCACAGCCGATGGCAGTTCCACTCTCTCACTTCTCTGCACCACCAGGCATGGCAGTCGCACAACACGGCCCCGCACGTCGCGTGGTCGTCGCACAGCCTCCCTTCGCCACTCAAGCCCCCTTCGCGAACCCTAACGACACCACGAAAACTCTCGACGAGCGGTTTCGCGCTCTCTCCGCCCAGCGCAGTCAAAGCGTCCGTCGCGCGGAGGCGAAAGCGCGCCAAGCCGAAGCACGGCAATCGACTCTAGCTGCGCAGCGGAAAGTATCTTCCGCCGCCGCTCCTTCCGTTCCCCCGTCAGCTTCCGCACGGGCAGGCGGAAATCAAACAGGCGGAGGAGGGACCACTCGACCCAGCAGCACTGCTGCAAACGGATCGAGATTGAGGAGCAAACCCGCAGCTGCCACGTCATCGGCGAAAAAGCCCGCCGCGGCCGCAGCGGCACCAGCGTCCCAGCCCATTCAGTCGCGTCTCACCTTTCCCGGCGGGGCTGGCGCCGCGAAGGGGAAGGCGGGAGCTGCGGCGGGTGCAGCTGGTGCAGGCTCGGTCCACTCGCGCTTGACGTTTCCCGGCAACCAGCCGCCAGTGCAGGGAGTTCAGGTCCCGCCGAACCTGCGCTTTGCCGTGGGTTCGGGGGGCGCAGTTGCTGGAAGGGGGAGGGGTGCACGCGGGCGGGGAGCAGCGGGAGTGGGCAGAGGGGGGATGGTCGCGGGAAGGCGTGGGGGTGCGGTTGTTGCGGCGGCGGGTGTAAGGACGCGCGCCGCTGCTGCGCGGACCGCGTTTGGGGCGACCATGTTCGGGTTGGGGCCAAGAGGTGCGGGGAGGCCTGGTACAGTAACCAGAGCGCAGACTGCTGCAAGGGCGGGGGGAAGGGGAGGAAGGGGGGTCGGGCGGGGAAGGGGAGGTAGAGGGGGACGTGGTGAAGGGAAGTTGTCGGAAGTGGATTTGGATAAGGACTTGGATCAGTACATGCAGCAGGGATATGAGCAGTGAAAGGGGGCTTTAAGTTCGGATGAAGATGTGGATCAGTACATTTTCCAGAAATATGAGCAGTACCATGGTGCTGGGCAGTGATGGGGACGTTTCGGATGGTTGGCGAAGCTATGGCACTTGGAATCAGATGGATGGGGGTGGGGTGGACTGACCAGAGGTCTTTGCTGGAGTCTGCAATTAGTGACGGAAACTTTAGCTTCACCTGGCCCCCATTCGCATTGGTTTGGCAGACCAGTCTACTTGATGTGTTGGCTTGGTAGGGAGAATTGTGTGGGTGATGGGGTTAGTAATCCCCACGGATACATAGAATGATTCAGATAATGGATTTTTTTTTTTAATCTTACACATTATGTGAGTGAATAGACATCAGCAGTCGGATTTGTTTACCAGCTCCAATCATGTTAATATTACGAGCGTCGTTATAACGGTCACTGAGCTCCCTGTCTTGCCTCGGTGGAACCAAGGATGTTCGAGTCATGAGTAGTGGCCACGTGTTTGTGTTTCACCAACGTCTCTGCACTTTCGAACTGGCCAGTAACCAGATTCGCATCTTGCATTTTGCGTCAACTCATGGTAAAAGCTGCCAGACTTTAGCGCTTACATAAGCAAATGCGCTGGATTAGCGTCGGTGTGAGCTGTGCATGTGCTGAGCTGTGCAGACAACATGACATGAACAGCCAGCAAGTACCGTTAGGTGTGCCAAATGGGTACACTGTATTGTGCGGTTCAGAAAGTTTTCTCGCGATTCTTTATTCAATGAAAACGGTCGGGAAAGGTTTCAAGGATAGGCATTAAGCAGATTCTAGAGAAACATTTCTTTCATGTGCGTGTCAGAAATTGGATTCCAAGCTCCAACGCAGCAAGCGAGCACAACCCTGGAGTTATTCCTCTGGTATGGTCTTGTCTTGGCCATTCCTAGCTTCTACGACCTTCAATTGCATACCATCAGACGAGCATACCTCTGCTTGATTTCTTGCGAGTTTCCTGCTTAGTTCCGCATTTGTTTCTTGACAGTTTGTCCTTTGACGCCATTGCGACGTGGGGAAATTGTGTCAGGCTAGTATTGAGTCTGATGGTTTAAATTTAGCCACCTAATTAGAAAGGCCTTCAAACTCGCAACACCTTCTCTCAATCGCCTCGGTCTTCTCACCGCTTTCGAGATATCGTTTATCTGTTACGTATACAACGAACGTCACCGTGTCGCGAGGACAAGCATGTCGACCGACGCTGCTGCCACGAAGCCGGACGAGGTGACCGCTGGGGCGACCAGCGACGAGACCGCGCCGCTGAAGAAATCGCGGAAGATTCTTGTAGCGGTGGACCCGAGCGACGAGAGCACGTACGCGTTAAAGTGGGCTCTCGAGAATGTGATACAAGCGGAGGACAAGGTTCACCTGCTACACGCGCAGCCGTACCCGAAAGTCTACGCGGGACCTGCGGGTCCAGGTAAGGGGATCAGAATTTGCTTCACATACAGCATGGGGATAGAGGGGGTTGTTTATACTTCGCTTCTAGGCGCACTCATCGTGTTTTATATGAAGGCAACTCACCATCTTCTCCCGCCCTCCCCCCCAGCCGAGTTCAATTCCTCTGCGGAATCTAGGCGCGTCTCTTCATCTGAACCCACCAAGTCTTCTCCGCATCCCTGTGATGCAGACAGTTGATCCGCAGGAGGAGGCTGTCAGTGTCCCGTCGTCGCACACACCTTGTCTTACCTCAAGGCAACTCACCAATTCCCCCCCAGCCTGGTCCGGCTCTGCTGCAGGGCTGTCGGTCTGTACAGCCAGAGGTGGTGGACTGGAGGCGATGAGCAACAGGAGGAGGCTGGCAGTTTCCAGTTTATGCAAGCCAACCCCCCTGTTGTAGTCGAAGGCAACTCACCAATCTCCCCCCAGCCCGGTTCGGTGCTGCTGGTGCAGGGTTCTACGTGCCGCCAGAGGTGGTGGAGACGACGAAGAAGCAGGAGGAGGCTGGCAGTTTCCAGTCCATGCAAAGCAAGCTCCATGTGTGTGCGGCAAGGCTGCACGCCCTTTGCCTCTACTGGCTAGTCCCTTCCCTCACCAATCTCCCCCCAGCCCGGTTCGGTGCTGCTGGTGCAGGGTTCTACGTGCCACCGGAGGTGGTGGAGACGATGAAGAAGCAGGAGGAGGCGGTGAGCAGGCAGGTGCTGCGCGCTGCCAAGGCCATGTGCGAGCAGTTCAAGGTGCGAGGGCGGAGGGGGAAGGGGAGCGGGATAAAGGGGGGGGGCGGGGATGGGAGGGTGGGGGAAGGGAGAGTGGGAGGGGATGGAAGGAGAGGGGAAGAAAGGAAATTGGAAGAAATAAATAAATAGATAAATAAATAAACTAACAGAGCAGAGAAAGGTTTTACAGTGACCAATAAAGGCCAGGAATGAGAAGCGTAATGTGTGGAGATGGAAGAAGAGAGGCCACGGAGGAGGGATGCATGCGAATATGCGTGCACTCATGTGGGCCATGCCGTGTGGCACAGTGCCATGCCGTGTGACACCTGGCCTGGCGCAGTGTCATCACGCGCGTCATCAACCCTGGTTGAGTGTCATCACGTGGTATCAATCCTGCTCCTATGTTAGATAGGTCGATTTTTTAGTTGACTCAAAAATCGACAAAACAGGTGGCTGCAGAGGGGGAAGTGATTGAAGGAGCTGGCGAGCCCAGGGAGCCCCTCTGTGATGCCGTGGAGCTGGGAGCTGGGAGCTGGGAGCTGGGAGCTGGGAGCTGGGAGCTGGGAGCTGGGAGCTGGGAGCTGGGAGCTGGGAGCTGGGAGCTGGGAGCTGGGAGCTGGGAGCTGGGAGCTGGGAGCTGGGAGCTGGGAGCTGGGAGCTGGGAGCTGGGAGCTGGGAGCTGGGAGCTGGGAGCTGGGAGCTGGGAGCTGGGAGCTGGGAGCTGGGAGCTGGGAGCTGGGAGCTGGGAGCTGGGAGCTGGGAGCTGGGAGCTGGGAGCTGGGAGCTGGGAGCTGGGAGCTGGGAGCTGGGAGCTGGGAGCTGGGAGCTGGGAGCTGTGAGCTGGGAGCTGTGAGCTGGGAGCTGGGTGCATGCATGCATGCCTCACCCTCCGTATGCTCTTCATGCCTCCACATCCCTCTCCATGCACCCCTATCGATCTAATCTCAACCCCACCAGGTATCAGCAGAGGCGGTGATAGAGAGAGAGAGACCCAGGAGTCCATGTGTGACGCTGTGGAGTAGCTGAGGAGGGAGAGCTTGCATTCAGTGACTCGTAATACCTCCCCATCCCCCGCCATGCCCCCCATCCCTTCCCATACCACCAGGTATCAGCAGAGGCAGACGTGATAGAAGGAGAGCTCCGGGAGTCATCTGTGATGCCGGGGCGAGGTGCAGCACTCATGCCCCCTAGTGCCTCTCCACCCTTCTCCATCCCTTCCCATCCCACAGGTATCAGCAGAAGCAGATGTGATGGAGGGCGATCCCCGGGAGTCCATCTGTGATGCCGTGGAGCAGCTGGGCGGAGAGAGCCTGCACTCACAAGTCCTAGTGCCTCCCCATGCCCCCCGGTCCCTGCCCATCCCCCTCCATCCCTCCCCATCCCTCTCCATCGCATCCCACAGGTATCAGCAGAAGCCGACGTGATAGAGGGAGAGCCCCGGGAGTCCATCTGTGACGCCGTGGAGCAGCTGGGCGTGCAGCTGCTGGTGATCGGCAGCCATGGCTACGGCACCGTCAAGAGGTGCGTAGTATTGGGTCTCAGCACATGTAACAGTTGACAATTGTGGCAACGTTGCCAGCAGCTGCGCGTGCAGCGGCTGGTGATCGGCAGCCACGGCTTTGGCACTGTCAAGAGGTGAATGTTGGTGATGCTGTCAGCAGTCCTCCACTCCCCACATCGCCAGCAGCTGCAGCTGGGCGTGCAGCGGCTGGTGATCGGCAGCCATGGCTACGGCACCGTCAAGAGGTGAGTTTTAATGGGTGGGTCTCAGCACATGTAATGGTTGATTATTTTGGCAATGTTGCCATCAGCTGGGCGTGCAATGGCTGGTGATTGGCAGCCATGGCTACGGCACCGTCAAGAGGTGCGTGTGTGTTGGTGGGGGTGTCAGCACCTGTGAAATGTGAGTTGATGGGACGTCAAACATTTAGAAATTGATATTCATGGTTACGGTATGGTCAAGAGATGAGTGCTAATGGTGTTTTGAAAAACACATGAGTCTTGAAACATCTCTGAACGTAGTGAAGCGATGACTTGAACGTCTTGAAAGCCATGCGTGAGACTTTCAGTTGTTGTAGAGAATGTTAGCGTGGGTGAGACGTGGAGATGTACGTGAGTTCCTCTGCAGTGTGAGTGAGCTACTGCCGAGCATTCCTAAGCAGTGCGAGCAGCGGCTGCTCCACGTGATGCCACATTCATGCATCCACCATGCCGCATGCAACTATTATATCTTTCTCTCTTTCTCGCGCAACCCGTTCCATTCCCAGCAGTGTAGGGACTGTGTGTACCATGCATCATGGCACAGCTTCCCTCCCCACCCAACCCACCCCTCCTCCCCTACCAGTGCATTTCTGTGTGGTGTGAGCCACTTCTGTGTGTGCCATGCGCCATGCCGCAACCTCCCCTACCCCTTCCCTCCCCACCTAACCTTCCACCTCCTCCCCCTACCAGGGCGTTTCTGGGTGGTGTGAGCCACTTCTGTGTGTGCCATGCGCCATGCCGCAACCTCCCTTCCCCTTGCCTCCCCCCTTCCCCCTCTCCCATCCTCCTCATCCTCTCACTACCAGGGCGTTTCTGGACAGTGTGAGCGACCACTGTCTTCACCACACTCTGCTTTTGAGTCGACTCACGGAACTTCACCACCCTCAAAAGTGTTTCTGGGAGCGATTGCTGAGTTCACCACACTCTTCGCCACAAGCTCTACTGCCCGTCCCCCCCCCCCCCCCCCTCTTTTCCCCTTCCCCCACCTCACCCCCACGCCCTCTCCTCCCCCTCCTGGGCAGTGTAAGCGATTACTGTGTGCTCCAGTCCCCATGCCACAACCTCTCTTTCCCCTTTCCCCCCCCCCCCTCCCCTTCCCCTTCCCCTCCCCTTCCCCTTCCCCTCCCTCCTCCTAACAGGGCGTTTCTGGGCCACACTCTACTATGTTCACCACACTCTATGCCACTAACTCCACTGCTCTTTCCCCCCCTCTTTCACTCCCAGCCACCTCTCCTCTCCTGGCCACCTCTCCTCTCCCGGCCACCTCTCCTCTCCCGGCCCCCTCTCCTCCCCCTACCAGGGCATTCCTGGGCAGTGTGAGTGACTACTGTGTGCACCATGCTGCATGCCACAACATCCACTGCACTTCTCCGCCCTCTCTTCCCTCCCCCCTTTCCCCCCCCATCTCCCCATGCCCACTCCCTCTCCCTCTACCAGGGCGTTCCTGGGCAGTGTGAGCGACTACTGCGTTCACCATGCTGCATGCCCTGTGGTCGTGGTTCGGAAGGTGTAATATGGTGGTTCGGAAGGTGTAAAATTGTGGTTCGGAAGATATCCCCTCTGCTCCGTCGCTGGTATTCTGGAGGGTGTTGCTGGTTCGGAGATTGTAGCTGCCATTCCACAGCGTTTGATCTGGACGTTACAGCGAACATGAGTGATATGGTGGTGGTTCAGATGGTAGAGAGGCCACAGTACAGCTGTGTGGGCTGGTCAAAAGGGAGAGCAACGAGGCTGAGCTATGGGGTAGTTTAGATGGATGGGTTACAGAGTATATGGGAAGCTAGATGGAGTAATCAATTTGGAATGTCTTTAGTTTACCGGCGATGGAATGGGACGCGTAGCCTGTTTGTATATGAAAGGGTATGGGTGTGGTGGGCACAGATCGTGCATTCCATGTGAGCACAAGCTTGACCATATATTGCATGTGATACAGATTTATTCTGAACAAGGTAAGAGTTTCCATAAGATCAGGAAGGGTGTTTCTTTCTGTCAGAATGAGGAATGGATGATGCATTGATGTTGGTTGGGGTACATATAGCTAACCCTAAGTTTTGTACCCCCTAAGACAAACCTCACTATAGGCTACAACATTTGACACACCCCCATAGCCTAAGTGAGGGGTGTCTAGCAGAACCAAACGAGTACGGTCACAAGACCAGTCCAAGAAACGAAGCTCAGGGTGGATCACAACGTCACCACACAGTCTGAGCACAAACAACAGTGGCCACAAGGCCAGTCCAAGAAGTAACAGAGGTATATAGAAAGCAAAGTAAACAGTACACTCAAGCCTAAGCAACACGAGAACCAGTGTCAACAAGGCCTAACTGCACACAGCACCTCTGGTGGTCACAAGGCGGAAGCGCCTTGGTGAAGATGTCTGCAGTGTTGGCCTCGGACTCCACAAACTCAAAGCGAGCCTGTCCACGCCTCTGCAACTCTCGCAGAAGAAAGTACCTGACGTGAATGTGCTTCACTCTGCTCTCCAGTCGTGGCTCTCGACAAAGGAGAATAGACGCCTTGTTGTCAGTGAACAAGGTCGGTGCAGAGCTCGGCCGCTCACCAAGGTCGGTGAGCAAGAAGGTCAACCAACGCAGCTCCTGTGCCGCCATGGCACCAGCGTAGATCTCAGCCTCAGCTGTAGAGGTCGAGACCGAAGAGGAGCGCGTGGACCGCCAGGAAACAGCTCCAGAACCCAGGCTGAAACAGTACCCCTGAGTAGACCTGTGAGTCTCAGCGTCGTCAGCGTAAGAGGAGTCACAGTGACCAGTAAGTACGACAGACTGCTGCCCTCCAAGAACTAGCCCCACGCCTGACGTCGTCGCTAGGTACTTCGCCACCCTCACAGCTGCTGTCCAGTGAACAGGACGGTGTCTCCCTGGCGCAACAAAGCGCGCAAGAACGCTGAGAGGGAAGGCGAGGTCCGGGCGAGTACAAGTCATCAGGTACATGAGGCAACCCACAAGCTCTGCGTAGGGACCACTAGGCTCGAACGGCTCGTCAGGAAAGGGTCCAGTGAGTCTGTGGTCAACAGCAAGAGGTGTGCGCTGTACTGTGGAGTGCTGAAGCCCGAACCGCTGAAGGACCTGCTGCACCATGTGTGACTGTGAAAGTGTAATGGTGCGAGCAGCTCTGTCCCTGGTGATCTGCAGGCCAAGGTAGTGGCGCAGCTCACCAAGATCAGTGCAGGTGTGTCTCTTCTGCAGTTCGGACTTCACGTGTGCCAAAGCAACCCTGTCAGGGGTGGCGAAAACAAGGTCGTCAACGTAGACCAGAACAAAGAAAGGTGTGGGGCCACGACGAACGAACAGCGACGGGTCAGCAGAAGACGGCTGGAACCCAAGGTCAGACAGGGTAGAACGCAGGGTGTCGTGCCACTCACGAGGAGCCTGACGAAGACCGTAAACTGGTCGCCTCAGCCTCCACTGGGTCCCAGGAGGGAAAGAGCCAGTGAAGGCAGAGGGACGACGCAACCAGACCTCCTCGTGAAGACTGCCCTGAAGGAAAGCAGTAGAGAAGTCGAGAGAGTGTAACTCGTAGTCTCTCTGTGCTGCTACGTGTAGTAACACCCGAAGAGTGGTCATCTTCGGGGTGGGCGCGAAGGTCTGAAAGAAGTCAACTCCCTCGCGCTGACTGAAACCTCTAGCCACGTAGCGTGCCTTGAAGACCGGAGGAGATCCCGGTGGCCGCTTCACCCTGTAGATCCACATGCCGTCGACTACGTTCGCCCCCGGAGGGGGAACCTCATCGACGTAGGTGCCTGTGGATCTGTAGGAGGCCATCTCTGCGTCCATGGCAGCTCTCCACTGAGAGGCCCAAGGCCCTGACACTGCCTCAGCGTAAGTGCGAGGAGTCGGAATGTCAAGGGCGTCGGGGTCACCCTCAGGGGCGAGGAGCATGGCACAGAGATGAGGGGAAGCGGCGGCCAGGAACTCTAGCTCAAACTGCCTGTCCTCTAGGGCGTCACAGCCAAGGGCAGACACACCCCCGACGGCCAGAGGACTGGAAGGAGGAGCAGCCACAAGAGCGGTGGCGAAGTCAAGGCGGCGGGTAGAGGCAAAGTCAGTGACTGCGGCAGTAAGAGCGGACACAGAGGACACAGAGGCACGAGGGTGAGTAACAAGCGAGGCGAGAACACGAGAGAGAAGAGGACGGTACGTGCGGTAGTAGTCTGTGACAGGAGTAGGGAGCGACGCAGTGAGAGCCGACTCAGGAGGAGACGGAAGCACAGACGGAGACGGACGAGGTGGACTAGAACGAAGTAAGGCAGTACGAAGGTCAGTGAAGGGAACAGGAGACGAGGGACGAGCACGAGGGGAGCGACGAGAGGCCCAAGTCTGAGAAGAAGGAGGGGACAACGAAGACTGAGAACGAGGGAAAACAGCGGGAGAGGGGTCAGGAGGAGGAAGCGAAGGACCAGAGACGGGAGGAGAGGGGGAGGAGGAAGGAGAGGGAGAGGGGAGACCAAGGGTCCGAAGACCCGAGACAGGAGGAGGAGACGGCAGCTGCTGCTGCTGCGGCTGCTGCGGCTGCTGCCCCTGCTGCTGTCGCTCCTGCTCCTCGAGCCGCTGCAACTCTCTCTCCTCTCTCTCCAACTCCAGCTGCTCCTCACGAGCACGGCGAACACGAGCCTGGAACCTGGTCGGGTAGGGGTGGGGGGAAGGAGTAGTGTCCGGGGCAGCGGCAGCCCCAGAGTCGACCTCCGAAGCACCAAGCACACCACCCCCAGAGGCAGCACCAACACCAGCTCCAGACCCAGGCTCTCCAGAAACCGAAGGAACACCCTCACCCCCAGACGCAGCACCCCCAGACTCCGCACCAGCACCCCCAGACTCCGCACGACCAGTACCAGCCCCCGGAAGACAAGAGTCCTCTGCAACCCGCGGCTCAGCTCCAACTCCAGCACCCCCAGAACCAGAGACCTGTACAGGGACAGTCGCAGGACCAACCTCCCGAGAGGGAGCACCTGCAGGAGGCGGCGAGGAAGACTGTGGGGAGGGAGGCTGTACAGGGGGGGCTACCGAAGGGGGAGGGCTAGCCTGAGACACACCAGACGGGGCTGGACCAGGGGGGGGAGGCTGTACCGGGGGAGCAGGCGGGGGAGCGGCTGTCAGGAAGAGGGGGGGAGGAGGAACCGGGAGACCTCGACTGGGGTACCTGACGTAGTAGGGGGTGGACTCCTCGAAACGGACGTCACGGGAGTCAAAGAACCGGTGAGAGGGAGGGTGGTAAAAGGTGAAGTCAGAGGAGTCCTCAGGGAAACCAAGGAAGACACAAGAAACGGCGCGAGGCGAGAGCTTGTCCGCGGAGGTGTCGCGGACAAGAGCCAAGCACCCCCAGACACGAAACCTCGACGCGACACCAGGGGACCCTGTCCAAAGACTGGTCGGTGAAGCCTCCGGCCGAGAGACGCGTGGCCAGAGGTTCAGCTGGTGCGCGGCGTACCTGACTGCGTATGGCCACAGGAAATGGGGGGCACGGGCGTGAGTCAAGGAGGTGCGGGCAATCTCCATGACCAGGCCTATGCGACGCTCAGCAACCCCATTCTGCTGTGGGGACTCCGGAAGCGTCCAGGACTGACGAATGCCCTGTTCGCGACAGAATCCAGCGAGAATGCCGGAGCGAAACTCGCCCCCGCGGTCGGAGTGGAGACAGCTGACACGACGACCACGAGTGTCCTGGGTGGTAAGCAACCACCTGATCAGCGTAGAAGTCACCTCAGACTTCCTCGCCAGGGGGAACACTGTGGTGTAGCGGGAGTAGTCGTCAACGACCACCAAAAAGAAACGCTCACGCTCAGGGCCAGGGCGAGGAGAGGGGCCCCAGACGTCCAAGTGCAGTGTCTCAAAAGGCTCGGTGGCCGGACGAAGGGAGGAGGAGTGAGGGGTGGCACGCAGCCTACCCTCGACGCAAGGACCGCACGGTGGTGCAAGGGACGGCGGCAGCGACGGCAAGACACGCGGGAGACCTAAGACCAGACGCTGACTAGACATAGCACGCAGACGTGGAAGAGAAGGGTGTCCCAGCCGGTGGTGCCACAGAACGGTGGGGTGGGCAAGCGACCGACAGGAGCAAGACGCAGCGACTGGACTGGACGCGACAACCTGAGAGGACGGAACCACCTGGTGAGACGCAGGGAGGAGACTAGGGGGAGGGACAGGAACTGGGAGGAGGGGCTGCTGTGACGGCGGCCGCTGTGGCTGCGGCTGCTGCTGCTGCTGCCGCTGCTGCTGCTGCGGCTGCTGCTGCTGCTGCTGCTGCTGCGGCTGCTGCTGCTGCTGCAGTCGCTGCTGAGCGCGCGGGCCAGTGTGAAGAGTGTAGAGACCGGAGCCCGGCTCAGCAGCAAAAGTGGCGAGGGGCTGGTAAGAGTCCCCGTCAACACACACCGCAGTCTCTCCAGAAGGCTCAAACCACACACCCACGTGCTGACTCACAAGGGGTCGCACGCCCACCAAGTTCCGGGAGAACGAGGGGACGTGAAACCCAGTGAGAGACCCAGAAGGAGCAGCCGGACACGGCAAGGTGGTAGTGTGACGCGCGGTGACTGGTCCCGAAGTGGGATCAGCCAGCGCCACAGAAACAGGCGCAGGAAGAGGCGTAAGTGTCGTGCTGTCACGAAAGAAGCAGTGAGAGGCTCCAGAGTCCAGCGTGAACGACAGCGAACCGTCCTCTGAGGTAGCCGCTGGACTAGAGTCTACACAAGAACCTACACTAGCAACAGGCAACTGAGCAAGGCTAGCACCTAAGCTAACAACACCAGAGTAAGCAGAGTCAGAAACACTAGAGTCAACAACAGCATACATAGCATGAGGAGCACCAATCAGATCAACTAACTGCTCAGCAGACATGCCCCACAGAGCGGAGCCGTAGCGCTGAACCAGAGGAAGCCAGTCAAGGGCAGGACCGCCAACCCCGTAGGCCAACCGGACCGTGTCAGTGAGCTGAGCAAAGCACTGACCAGGGGGGTGAAAGCGGCCACAAGGGTGGCCCCGACGAGGACCTGTCAGAACCTGATAGGTGCAGGGAGGGTAAGCAGCACCACGCTGGGGCTGACGCAGCCCCGACCCCGGAGCCAGCTGCTGACGCTGCTGCTGCTGAGGCTGCTGGGAGGAGAGGGGCTGCTGCTGCTGCTGAAGCCGCTGCTGACGCTGAGCCTGGTACCACGCCGCTGCTCCACCTAGCGGGGCCGGCAGTACAGGAGACGACTGACGAGCTCGGGCGTCGCCACCACCAGCAGGCGCAGTGGAGTCACCAGCCGCTGCACGAGAGGTCTCTCCAGACGCTGCACTCCCACCACCGCCAGTCGCAACAGCACCCCCACTACCTCCGCTACCTCCGCCTCCACCTCCACCAGAACCACCTTTCTTGCCCCCCTTGCCGCGGGACCGCGACGCAGTCGTAGCAGCAGCTGCAGTCGCGTCAGTAGCGGCAGTGGCAAGAGAGGCAGTGAAGGTGGGTAACTGCGGGACTGTGCACCCGTGGAAGAGTGGGGGGGGCACAGCACCAGAGGCGGCAGCTACCGAGCGAAGGTTGCTCTCGACGTCCTTGAGCGCAGACTCAAGGACCTCAACTGTCAGCTCACTAGGGTGCTTCAGCAGGAGCGCGTCACGTACGGAGGCAAGGCGGTCAGGGAGGCTAGTGGCGATGAAATAGATAGTAATCGCCATGGGGGGAGGAAGCAGTGCAAGCTGTGCCTCAGTGCAAGCAGCGCGGTAACTAGCGTCGAGCGAGCGGAGGTGAGCGATCAAGTCAGCAGAGCGCTCAAACGAGGCGAGATCAGGAAACAGGAACGGGAGGAAAAGACGGCCAAGAGAGACAGTAGCGGGAGTAGAGTAGCGGGCCTTAATCGCAGTGAGGTACGCAGCAGCGGTGCGAACCTGAGTGAAGTGGACCTCCTCTGACTCAGGGAGGAGGCTGCTGAGTGCGATGCAGGCCGCAGCGTCACGTGACGTCCAAGCCGTCCTGTCAGCGCGCTGACGGGCAAAGCGAGCCGTAGCAGCATCGTCAGGGGCAGGACCTAAAGCGGCAGGCTCGGGGGGCTCGGGGAGGTCACCAGTAGCGTGCGACCAGAGGGTCTCGCCCCCCTGGACTTGACTCTCTAACAGACGGCGAGCACGAAGAAGCCAGACGGAAAAGTCAAGAGGTCTACCGTCAGCGTCGAAACGAAGAACTCGCGGAGTCGCCATAGCGAAAACTAACGCGAACGAGCAGGCGAGTAACAGCAGGAGGTAAGAGGCAAATTAGGGTGCAGGTGGGACTTAGTCGCAGCGGAAGAGCGGGCTAGAGCGACGGGCCAGGGCGTAGGGTCGACGGGACGGGGGAAAGGGCGGGCACGATGCGACGGGGCAGGGCGACGCGACGGGGCAGGGCGACGCGACGGGGCAGGGCGACGGGACGGGGAAGGGCGACGCGACGGGGCAGGGCGACGGGACGGGGAAGGGCGACGCGACGGAGCAGGGCGACGGGACGGGACGGGGACGGGACAGGGCAGGGGCGACGGGACGGGACGGGGACGGGACGGGGCAGGGGCGACGGGACGGGACGGGGCAGGGCGACGGGACGGGACGGGACGGGACGGGACGGGGCAGGGCGACGGGACGGGACGGGGACGGGACGGGGCAGGGGCGACGGGACGGGACGGGGCGACGGGACGGGACGGGGCAGGGCGACGGGACGGGGCAGGGCGACGGGACGGGGCAGGGCGACGTGACGGGGGGAAAGGGCGCGACGCGACGGTGGGAAAGGGCGCGACGCGACGGGGGGAAAGAGCGCGACGCGACGGGGGGAAAGGGCGCGACGCGACGGGGGGAAAGGGCGCGACTCGACGGGGGGGAACGGGCGCGACGCAACGGGGGGAAAGGGCGCGACGTGACGGGGGGGAAAGGGCGCTAGGCGACGGGGGGAAGGGCGCTAGGCTCGGCACTAGGCGCGGTAACAACGGAACCGGTACGAACGAGAGGTAGGATCAGGCTCGGGAGATACGAACGGAGAACGGAGGAACGGGATCCCACAGGATCCTAACCTAACTGATACCATGTCAGAATGAGGAATGGATGATGCATTGATGTTGGTTGGGGTACATATAGCTAACCCTAAGTTTTGTACCCCCTAAGACAAACCTCACTATAGGCTACAACATTTGACACGTTCCGGGCAAGGAGCTTTAGAGGGTTTCAAAAGCAGATGCAAGCAAACATCACTAAAGATCACAGATCTAGTCATGTTACATACATAGCCTATGAACCTACACATTCCGGGAGCAACTTATCTTAGGCAGTTGCTCTAGCGAAATGGAAAAATTGAAACCCTCGTTTGTGTGATACGTTTGCAATCAATGCTGAAACTTTCAGGCACTGGAAAACGGAAACCCCAAGGCACCGAACTAGGCTCTACCGAAGGGCGAGCCGGAATGAGGGGCAGGAAGAAAGTTTGCCAGGGTGGGGGGCTGAGCGAGGGTTTTGCTTGGAATATCCATCCCTCGGCTTCCCTGCTTGTTAACCCGCCCCTTCACAGTGACACAGGGGTTCTTGTCTCGAGACTGAACGAGCTTGTTTGGTCTTCACCATTTTGTACCGTCACGCCACCTTCACTCACACTTAGGGTTCCTCATAGGGCAGATCTCGCTGCGCGCGAGACGCGCCCAATCTGAACCTCAGTTAAGGTGACGCAAGTCCTAGTCACATCGTGCACCGGTGGCGCCACCTTGACGTCGTTAATTACGCACACAGGGACATTGCTCCTGACCGCGAGGCAATCAATCTCGTCCTTCACCTTCCTCTCCGTTGTCACGCTTTTTACCAGAGTCACATCCGATGCAGCCGCGGTAGAAAGATCTACCCGGCACACGGGGCAGGTGGTCCTGTCGGCGAGCCAGTGGTCGATGCAGCTGACGTGGAACCGATGCGCGCAGGGCAGAGAGCGAACCAGCTCCATTTCGTTAAAGTCACTCAAGCAAACCGTGCACTCCTTCGTCAACGCTCGGGCCCCCCGTTTCAAGCACTGCGAGTGGCACTCGCTAACAAAGTCTTGCGCGGCAACTCGCGCGTCGTGCGCATTCGACACGCCATCCAGCGGCGGAAATTCAAAGCCGCCCATCGTCGCCACTCTGTCGATGCGATCTTTAACGAGAGTTTCCCGCGCAGATTCGTTCTCCCGCGCAGATGACGGTCGTCGATTTGAACACGGACAGGTTCGTTCTGCAACGACGCCCCGAAGCTTCCCGGCACCATCGGGGTGGTCGGCAGGGTGGAGGCGGCTTGCAGCGGGAGCAGCGCGATACGGTCTGACGGGGAACGATGCGAGCCGCGCCGGATGTAGACCCGAGGGGGTTGAAACCGGCACTGATATAATCACATTGGGTAGAGTGTCGTCGAGCATATCAGACGAGTCGCGGTCCGCGTATCTTCCAGCTGCGCGACGGGGTCGGGTCCACTTGAGAAACGGCATCGCGGCGCGATACTGAGTGGCCGAAACTTAATAAATGCGCAAGGAGAGAGTGTTTCGTGCTGCTTGACAGGCGGCTCGAAGGAAATCAGTGGAAGGGTGGCAACAGAGTGGCTTGAGTTACGAAGATATTCTGAGATGTCTCTTGAACTAACCGCTCGTCTCAGCAGGAAGAGCAAAGAGGTCTGCGTGTCGGGAAAAGGAGTGAATCGAGCGGAAAGAGTGTCCAATCGCACGGCACGTCGGATTGTCGGCACAAAGACCCTCCAATTCGTCCTTTGGATTGCATCATGGGGGGTGTGGATGAAATACACCCTTGTTCTCAGCACACTCACCGGCGGAAGCACTGGCTACAGTGTTTGGACGTAGCGGGCTGGTGCGATAACTCGGTTGCGGGCAAAGTCGCACGAGGTGACGAGGCAAGCCCTGGACAGTAAAAAACAGTTAACAATGAATAGCCGTCCCAACCGTTTTGAAAGCAACAGTACCATTCTATAAAGCTTGAAACATTGACTGACCGCCTTGGGTGAAATTGTCACTATAACGCATGTGATAGGACCTTCTTTGGTCCGTTGCGGCTACACAAAGCGTCTCGGTCAGTATAACATATGCCAGTCTATCGAGAATAAAGGTGTACACTGCCCATTGAGGAGGTTTTCCTAAGATGGCGATATCAGCCAATCCCCTGCTTCGCTGGCGTGCTTCGCATGGTGGCGACGTTGACATGCGCAGCCGTCTTACGTCGTTTTTCCCGCAAGCAACCGTGGGTTGCTTCACAATCGCAAAAAAAAAAAATCAACGAACAGGCATCAGCCAATGCTTCTTCACGCTACAGTAGTTGAGCGTGAACTCGGCACACCCCTGGACGCTGACTTGTGGTGGTGTTGCCGTTGCGCGTGCTGCCGAGCTGCTTCCTAGCTCTCAGCGGAAGGGCATTCGCGGACATTCTCTCGGCGCGTCTCGCACCACTGTAAAGAATGATACACCCAATTCAACCCTATTCATGTTCGCGATACAGGCTCCATCATGTACACCCGACAGTCCAGCTGGTCGGGTCTTGCATGCCAGAGCAAAACCATTACAAGCCCGCGCGCAAAGAAATGTTACGACCGCTGCCAGCTTGATTTCTAAACTTGCAGAAGAATGAACAAAGTTTACTGTAAAAAACGAGCTGATCATGTTGGTAAGTAGGACAGATACTTACAAACCCATTTTCACCATAAACTAGTCTTACTTGACTGAGTCAAAAATATCTGTTACTCTAAAAGACAAAAGGTGTAGTGAATCAGAACTACTACACGCCAAAGCTGCATTCACCACAAATTTACAGCTCGTTACTTCCGAAACGCTTGACTCGGTGCCGACAATGCCAGAGAGTGCACCTGCACTGCTTGCGCCGGATCGGTAGCACTCTTAAGCGGCTTAGGCGAGCTTCGAGGCAGTTCACTCACACGTGTGACAGAAGTTGCCTCAATCCGACGTGTCTTACTCCGAGCCTCAGAAGGGGCAAACGATCGCCCCAATACCTTACTCGGAGTACGTCTCGAAGTGGCCATACAGGAAGGTTCCTTCACGGGCAAACTTAGTTACGCGGCGGAACTCCACTAACTCAGGCTTGTTGGGAGAGTAAGCCTCGCTTACTCGGAGTAGGCCCGCGAAGGGTGAACCCAACAAAACCGCAAAATTTTCTTCCACCTGCCAACATTAACCTCCTAAAACATCTTCATCTTCCCATTCCTCCTGTCCCTTTTGCTCTCGACGTCATCCACTCATTTTATGGACCAGTTTTCCCTTTTGTGAGAATAAATTTTCTTGGTGACGAAGGGGGCAGCCTGGGCCGAAAGCAACAGTGATTTGAAGGAAATCGCGCTCACGACCCCAGCAACTTCCCTAAGCGGAGTTTGGGGGGCGTGCCGATCACCCCTGATCCGCAAGGAAATTTACTGAAAGAGGGAGGAAGCACCCAGCGACACGTGCACACACGAGTGTGCCAAAGTACCGATCAGGGCCCATAAGAATGTTGGCAATGAAGGGGGCCTTCGTGGGCTTTACAGCATGCGGTGTTACAGACAAAAGCAAATGCTGCATGTGGTGCTCCAAGCCAAGACATCAGCAAATGCTGCATCTTCGATCGGTGAAGGGAACAAAACCACGCACAGTAATGTACCAGAAGCGGACGACGACGAAAGGAACGTTGTACAGTTCACGAAGCGTTTACTGTAGAAAAAACCCGAGAGAGTGGTTCGGCATCCGTTCAAAATTCAGCAAGAGGGACGGGAGGAAACGTGAAGACTGGGTGGGACGGGGACGACGAGAATTGAGCCCGAGGAAGGGCGGCAACAAGAGGGAATGAAGGATGGAAAGGGAGGGAGAGGCTGGAATCGAGGGAGGAGAAGGGAGCAGGGTCCCCTCTTACGAAGTTTTTAACGCACAAAGTATTGCCCCCATATTGCACTGCAAATCGGGGTGGTGCCTGCAAATCGGGGTGGTGAATCGCGAAACTGCTGGTTTTGCTAGTTAATACCAAGGCCCAGTTCGGCAGGCATTAAAAAAACGGTTTCCCCGTATGGGCTACAGTAAACCGACCACCCTGGAACCTTCTTTGATAAGCGCGCGAAAGGTTATCTAGGCTCGATATAAGCGGATCATCGCCGAACCAGACAATAATGGAATGCCAGCCGAACACCCCTTTTAACGCTGGCATTTTTCACAAGAGGAACCTTCCTCGAATTCTTTTTCTCAGGCAAACTGTCCATTTTCTCATCCGCCGCACCATGCGGCCTCGAGGTCCCGCACCATGCGGGGGATCATTGATTCGGGGCAATCACACGTTGCCCTGAAAAAAACAAATCCCGGCCTTTCTCACCCCTCTTCGTGCCCGCTGGAAAATCGCACATCACCAACACACCATCTCTAACACATCGAACGCACAGTATGCCTTGCGCGATTTTTTTTCGACGTCCACCGCTGCTTTGCAAGGCTGCCCGGGCTGCCCGTACAGTGATTCTACGCTCTCTCAGCGCAGCCGCATACAAGCTTCTCCGAAGTTTTGTTTTCGGTTGATGCCATTAAATTTGGCCCATTTAATGCCAACCGAACACGTGGCCCATTTTTCCGAAGTTGCCCTGGGGTAACAGTCTGACTTCGCTGCTGTTTCGAGGGGCCATTTTTTGGGAGCCCATTAAAAATGCCGATAATGGCGATAATGGCCAGAATGCCTGCCGAACTGGGCCCAAGAAAATGCTAGGGTAGACGTTTCTTAGGAAATTACACACGTAGTCACTGTTAAGCCCGGTTATCACGTTTGATCGCATGCGAATCACGGTCACAGTACAGTGCGGATCTACGCGGGTGATCACAGTGCTCACACGGATACACATGATGCTCGTTTGACTAACCCGAGGTTGCCATGTGAAGGAGGCTTGTAAGTGATTTCGAGAATTTCGCCAGCTCGCAGCTAGCAAAAAATGATTTGTCCGGTGCTTATAAGGGCTCATAAGAAAATTTGTAACAGTTTGACTTCGGTCTTTTCAGTCAAACTTCAGTTTCTGTGGTTCGTATTGGTTAATATCACTGCAACTTGCTCGAAGTGCTTGTAAAGAGGGTGCAACTGGCTAGTAAAAAAAACCACCGGTGCAAGGTTTCCATCCGGAAGAGGGAAAATTTGCGTGCAGGAGTTGGGCATCATGTGTAGTCACACCTTGCCCCGCAACTCTATCATGTTTGGTCACAGATGAAATGCTAAATAAAATAATGAAACTGCTGGAGTCACTGTAGGGATTCAAGGAATTTTCGCTCGATCGCAGATTTTGTCAGTATAATAAAATCTCTAAAAAACCATTTTTAGATTTTTGAAACTCCAAAATTTATTTTTTTTCTGCTAGTGAAATAAATATAAACCCCATTCGGGTGATATTTTTATTTCAGGAGGTATCAGCATCGGAAAGAGTAAGCTAGTACAACCACAAACCACGCAGTCGACGTAAGCAGTTAGTTTGTTTGGATTAGGAAGAATGACGTCAAAGGGCTGATTGCATTGAAGAACGTAAATTGCACTATCCGCCGACGAGAGGGCAGAATATACGTGAGCAATCATCCGACGGATGCAGGTCGTTATTCCGCAAATGAGAGCCAGCAGAGAGCAAGGAGCGGTGTGGCCAAAAGTTGGGAGTCGGAACTGATGGGAGTGCAGCAAAGCAATCATCAGGAGGAAGGACGAAGAGAGCGAGACAAATGGATGAATGCAGCGTATTGCTACTGAGCTGACCCCCACAGCCATTATCAGATCAACCACTACAGTATAGCTATGGCTATATGGCTATATGACTATCTCTGGGACAAAAATATCAGGTGAAATTATTTGCGTAGTCACTATTAAGCCCGGTTTATCACGTTTGGTTACATGCGAATCAAGAACGGTCACAGTATAATGCGGATCTATCGCGGGTGATCACAGTGCTAACACAGATAGTTACACCTTGCCCCACAACTCTATCACGTTTGGTCACAGGTAAAACCCTAAATAAAATAATGAAATTGCTCGAGTGACTGTAGGGATTCAGGGAAATTTCGCTCGCTTGCGGTTTTTGTCTGTGTCATAATATCCATAAATTTTTATTTTTAGATGGGTGAAATTTCAAACAAGCAAAAATCATGTGCTAGGTAACAAGAAATCGCATTTTAGAGACGCAAACAGTCAATCGGGGCCATGTTGGGCGTGAACTTTAGGACGTAGGCCCGATCGAGTTTGATCGCCTCGATCACATGCGAACAAAAATTTCTAGGAAGCCTGAAGGCCAATTTCCGGCAATCGGGGTCAATCAGCTGGTCGCGATCAACTGATCGCCCCAAATCGATCAGACCCGATTTTCACCCTGATCAGAGCTGATTTTGTCAGAATGTTATTATTATCTAGCCTGTAGTGGGGTGCTCTATAGCGAGTACAACCCAGTTAGGGTTTGCTATATGTACCCCAACTGCTGCTAGTGAAATTCTCTCTCCTTTCTTCATTCTTGTTTCTTCCTTCTAGTTTTGTCATGCCATCAGAGCAGGTCGACCCCCTTGGGTCGATCCTGTGGGTGGGCCCGCCACCTAACTGCTTCCGCTGCTGTTCTGCTTCTCGCGCGCCTCGGGCGCGCGCCGTCTTCTTCCTGCCGTGCGCTCGGGGCGTACGGCGGTTTTCTGCCCGCCGTGCGCCCCGAGGCACGCGGCGGTTTTCTGCCCGTCGCGGCGCCTTGGGGGCCCGCGCGTCGCCCTCCTCCCGTCGCCTCGTCGCGGCGCCCTAGGGGCCCGCGCGCCGGCCCCTGAGGGTTTAGGGTTTAAGGGGGGTGACGTGGGAGTGGAGCTAGGGGTGCAGCAGGGGGTGTGTGAGAGGGGCGTGGGACGGTCGGGGGAGGTTGCGTGGAGGTAGCCGTCGTGACGCCAGCAGCGCCAGTAGTCCGGATGCCCTCGCGCGTTTCGGTAGCCCAGCGAGCCTGCTTCGCCAGTCGCCTGTGGGTCCGTTGCTCCTGTGTGTGCTCGTCGTAGCCGCAGAGCCAGATACTCCCGTAGTCCGGTGCCCTCGTGCGCTCGGTAGCCACTGTGCGCGCCGCTCCTGTTGCCCGTGTGTCTGCAGCTTCAGTCAGCGCCTTTCATCTTCTCGCCCTCACAGTCTCTCCTCCTCCTCATTTGCCCTCTGTGATCACCTCTAGCTGTACTTATAATTGTGAACTATTACTATGCCTGCTCATTGTGCTGATTACACCCCACTTTGGCTATGGGGGTGTGTCAGAATGTTATTATTATCTAGCCTGTAGTGGGGTGCTCTATAGCGAGTACAACCCAGTTAGGGTTTGCTATATGTACCCCAACTGCTGCTAGTGAAATTCTCTCTCCTTTCTTCATTCTTGTTTCTTCCTTCAAGTTTTGTCAGATTTTCCTCGATCATAGGCGATGACTTGACTGCATGTGATCGGGGCCTACAACGACGCTTGCGATTAGTTACACTGTTTCCCTGACAGGGAAACTAAAATTTTTGCCATGGGACGCATGGTCGCCAATCTCGCTAGAATGGGGACGGAAATGCCAGGTAAATGTACCGCGCTTGCTGAGCAAGCGCTGATAATCTTCTCTGAAAAACCTCTATAATCGGGCGGCTCAGGCTATGCGATCAGAATCAACCCGATCAGATCCGACCCGATCAGATCATTCGTGATCGAACTCGATTGGGCCCACGTCCTTAGTAAAACGACGGAAACGTAAAAGCAAGCCGTCATAACGAATCTCAATACTTTTTCGTCAATTCTCGTCAAATTCGTGAAAGGTAAGGGCGCGTCAATTATCGCCGCATTTGCGAAATCGGCTTTTGGCCGCTATTTCGTCGACCATTTTGTCGACATTTCTTTCGCGAAAATCGCCCAAATGGTCTGACTTCATGACGACACGGAGTTGGCCTGCTTTTGCAACAACTGCAAATTCGACAGGTTTGCTGGCCGATTTGCAGGCCGAAATACAGAAACTGTAAAATTTGCAGTCGCCCAACTGACCGGGTTCGTACGATGAAATCGCACACTTGAGCTCTGTACACGTGCCTCACGTTCAGTCGCTGGTAACTGTGTGCGACGTGCCAGAGCTCTGTCCCACCGACGCGTCGGAATCGAGGCCGGTTTGCAGTCGACTCGGCGTCGTTTCCGAGTCGTCTCATCAAAACGGCCATTAAATCGGCCATCAAATTCGCGAGAGTCGCCAAATGTATTGCGAGCGTCGCTAGCTGGTTACTGTCGCCAAACCGGCCCGACGGATTTCCCAAATTCTGAATGTCGCGCAAATTGACGCGCACTAATGTCTAGTCTCATATTTCTGTTTGTGGCTTGAATTGGGGACTTCTAGCACGAGACGGCGGCGCGAAAAGCTCCGCTTTTGCCGATTGGCTGGCTCATATACAGTACATGGTCAAATCAGTTAATCGATTGGAAATGCAGTGCCCCATCCTGTTGTTGCTTGTCACTTGCCCCGCGCCCCAAAATCAAGAACCTTGCAAGTATTATATTTGGTTGGTATGGTTGGAGGTGAACCAAAGACTAGCACAGGTATGTTCAACGTCTTATGTCAACTCCTAACTCAGCCTCTCTCGCGTCTTGGCAAACACATTCAACTCATCACTGCTTACAATGTCTCGCCTGTACTCAGTAATCCTCCTTGTGCTCCTCTTCGCCCGAGAAGCACAGCCGTTTCACGTCGCACAGCCTACCGTATCCACTAATTCCGACACCGACGCGACAAACGCCGGCGGCTCCGAAATCTCCAACGTTCCCGTCAAGCTTGACACCTCGATACCGCCTGTGCTTCAGACCGCAGACTACCCGCTCTGTCCTTTCAACCAACGCCCGCCAGCGCGAGCGAACGTGACATTTTCGCGATGCTTGGACACGGCGGAATGGTCGTGCTGCGACGACTGCATGGACATGCTCGGGGCGCTGAAAGCCGTTAGCGCCGATGAGTCGACGGTGCTCGAATTTCTCCTTCCGTCGGTTCTTAAAACCGCGCGGGGAGCGGCAGTTCGAGTGAGTTCGCCGCGATCGATTATTTGTGCGAAAGAAGGTTCGCAATAGTACGCTTTTGAATTGAGTTCGGAACGAGGTGAAATGAACAGCCCGCGGCCCAAATTGCGGATCGCGCGGGTCAGCCTGATTAATTTTGACGGGGTATTGTTGTGACCCCGAGCTGAGTCAGCCTGCTTCCCGCCCCGGACAGGCTGGCGAGCTCGGTTCCGGGCGGTTCAGTGCAGCACGCGTGGTCTGACGTGCAGGGCTCGGGTCCCGGTAGCGCTACCGAGGCTGCTACCGAGCGGATACCGAGGCTACCGGGTGAATTATATTGGGTAGTCCAGACCGAACCAGATTAAACTGAACCGAGATGTTTTCATCTTCCCGTTACCCATTCTTTCCGCTCCCCCACCCCTGTACCCTGCTCCCGTTCCCTCCCCTCACACGTCCGCCCTCACCCCAACCACAGCAATGCGCGCGGTTTGTGGGGTTCGATCAGTGCAGCCAGGAACTCGAGGCGATGAACTGCGGTGTCTTTTGCAACCCCGGTGCGTTTCCGATCTCACTCTCACCCCAAGTGACATTTTCACGGTGCTGAGCCATTCAAGCCACATCTGCTGGAACCATAATTCGCGAAGTTTGCGAACTTGCAAAGCCGAACAGTGCCAGCGATGTACATTGAGACCTTTGCTTAAAGCCAGGGTCTCAAGTAAGCTAAGGAGCTGTCAACTGCTTTGCAGTTGAAGCTAGGTTACCTAGTTATTGCAGACGAAGTTCTTTCTGGTTGGTTTGGAAAATCAGCGTGCGACACACCCCGTCAGTGCCCCAGAAGCGATTGCACAACACTTTTGGGTACTTGAGACTTTCGATAAGTTGGGGGCATTTTAGGTTTGGTTTCGAACCAAGTTTCCAAGCCTAGAAGGTTCGGATACACCCAACGATTTGCGTTCGCTTCGCACCCCTCGCTTCTCCCCACTTCAAACCTTTCACCTCGCCAACCAATCACAGCCCAACTTTCAACAGCAACTGCAAAACACTCGTAGTACTTGAGACCCTGGCTTTAAAGCCCAAGACCTGAATTACAAAAAGTAGTAGGCAAACTGTGCACAGTTTGCCTACCGAACCCAGAGTTGACCTCCCGAGCCAAGCTGGTTACCAGAAAACATCCCGCAACAAAACTCAGAGTCGTGGAGCAGAAGAGGTTTGGTTGGCGAGAGCCCCAACCACACCCCCAGCAAGAACAAGGGCTCGGAATGTTCACAGTTTGCAAAAATGGTAATTCAGGCCGTGCTTCTACCGATAGTACGCGAGCTCCTCATGCGAAGAGAGAATAAAGCATAGGCCATGAGCACTTCCGCCTTGATTCCTAGCCATCATACGGCTTATTTAGAACTCCAGACGTATCTATCCCACGGCCGATATAGAGACCTCGATTACTTTTCTGGTCGTAGCTTATCGGCGTGACAGCAAGGCGAGGCCATATCACGTTTCCGCACTCGGTCGCCCTGGCATCGCCCTTCCGCAAATATCGCATTTGGCCTTATCGTCTTCCGCGTCCCCCACGCTTCCCCCAACCGTCTCTTGCATACCCCCCACGCACACGCCCACGCTTTCCCTCATCGTCGCTCACGCTTTCCCCCACCGTTGCTCACGCTTCCCCTTACCGCCACTCACGCTTCCTCCTGCCTTCACCCACGCTTCCCCATACCGTCGAGAGCGTCTTCCCCCACCTTCACGCATCGCCGCTCATCGCCCACGCTTTCTCCCACCGTCGCCCACGATTTCTCCCACCGTCGCCCACGATTTCTCCCACCGTCGCCCACGACTTCTCCCACCGTCGACCACGATTTCTCCCACCGTCGCCCACGATTTCACCCACCGTCGCCCACGATTTCTCCCACCGTCGCCCACGATTTCACCCACCGTCGCCCACGATTTCTCCCACCGTCGCCCACACTTCCCCGCACCGTCGCCCACGCTTTCCCCCACCGTCGCCCGCGCGTCCCCTCCCATCGCCCTCCCTGTCGCCTGGAAATTTCCCTTACCGCCGACCTCCCTTCCCTCGCGCCTCTCTCCACGTCGCCATCACTCCCCTGCCTATCACGTTCCCCCTCTTCATCACCATCGCTTCTCCACCTACGCCGCCCACCCTCTCATCCATTCCTATCGTTGCTTCCCTCCCCTTTGACTCAATGAGTCTCTCTCGCTCTTCCCATTGCCACTCTCTCTACTCCTACACCACCCACCCTGCCTCCTCCTCTCTCTTGCGCCAACCTCCTCTCTCTTGCACCAACCGCGCACGCATGGCAGGTGCTGCTGCGGCTTTGGAGCAGAGTGCTGGGCGCACAGCCAGGGCAGCGCGTGCAGGCGGGCAGCAAGGAGCGTAGTGCTGCAGGGGGCGGGGCAGGGGAGCGGGGGAGGCGGGGCAGGGGAGCGGGGGAGGCGGGGCAAGGGAGCGGGGGAGGCTCGGCAGGGGAGCGGGGGAGGCGGGGCATGGGAGCGGGGGAGGCGGGGCAGGGGAGCGGGGCAGGCGGCGCAGGGGAGCGCGCGAGGTGGGGGGGGGTTAGGGAGAGAGGGTGCAGGGATCCTCCTATCCCCCGTTCCATCCTTATACCTTGCTGCAGTTTTACCTCTTACCCTCCTCCCTTACTCCGTTCCTTCGTTCCCCCAGTCGTCCTCCTCTTCCTCTCTCTTCCTCCCTTCCTCCATCTCTCCCACACTCTCAGCCTCACTACCCTCTTTCCCCTCTCTGTCGCCCGTCCTCCCTCCCTCCCTTCCTCCCGTTCTCCCTTCCTGCCATTCTCACATTTCTTTCATCCTCCCTCGATCCAGACCCCTTCCTCTTTCCATCTCCCGCTCTCCTACTCTCTTCCTCACTCCAACCCTGTGTGTCAGTTTCACCCTTTTACCATCCCCATTGTACCCGGTCACACTCTTTCCTCCCTCCTTCGTCCCTCTCTTTATCCCTCTTTCCCCCTTCACTTTCTCCCATCCACCCTTCCTCTCATCCCAATGTCCTCTCATCCGCCCTTTCTCTCATCCGCCCGTCATCCTCCCCTCCTCCGACCCAACATCGTCTCCTCCTACTTCCCTTCCTTTAATCATCTATTTCTCTCATCCCAACCCTCTCTCTCCTCCCTCACCTCCTCTACTTCGTCACCACCTCTCCTCCCTCTTCGCCTCCCATTCCACATCTCCGCTGTGCAGATTGTGGCATCAGCACCCGGGTTTCAAGAGAGTTTCTGTCCCCTCTTGTTCCCATCCCTCCAATCATTTGCTCCTCTTCACCCCATCCCCTCCCTTCCCTCGAACGAGCGCGCTCATTCCCCTCCCGTCACCCACTCACACACCCTCCCCTCGACCTACAAGTCGTTCTCCGCTTCCATCGCATACGCGTTCATTTCCCCTTCCCTCATCTCTGCATTCCTCACCTCCCCTTCCCTCATCTCCGCATTCCTCACCAACCCTTCCCTCATCTCCGCATTCCTCATCTCCCCTTCCCTCATCTCCCCATGCCATCCTATCTCCAACTCCTCCCCCTATCCCTCCTCTCGCAATCCCTCCACTTCCAAAGCCATCATTTTCTCATTCCCTCCCCTCCCCGCCCCGTTCCTCCATGTCTCCCATCTGCCGTACCTCACCTCCATCTCACCCACCCAACCTCCATCCTTGTTATCTCCCTGCCACCCTTTCTCCTCCCCACCCTCCTCCCCAGCCTCTCTTCATCCCCTCCCTTCTGCTTCTCCCCCAAGCGTCCTTCCTACCTCCCTTCCTCCCATCATCACTTGCTGTCTTCCTTCATTCCTGCATTCCTCACTTCCTCCCTTCCTCCCTTCCTCATTTGCCAGTTGTCATTCTTTTGCATGCTTGCTTCCCTTATACTTCAGCCACGTCACATCTGACTTCTTGGTTTGTGTTTGGACAGGTCTGCTCTGCATCGGGTTGTGATGTGATGGCTGTCTGATAGTAACACGACGTATAGCCATGCCATGTATTGGATATTTTTATATAATACAGGATTATGAGCCTCGGAGCAGTCATACACATGACCAATACCAAGGAGTTGAACAATTATTATATTACCATATCTGTAAATTTAGGGGAACAATGCTAGGGGGTGTGTGTGCAATGTTGCTTCCCGGTTTTGACTGGTACACTGCCCCCAATAATCCAGGCCGTGGTAAAGCCACATCTGGTGCTGGGCACCTGTAACTGCATTGGGTAATGTGGGGGTGAGTGAAGGGGGAAAGACAGCAAACGGAATGAGCAGGGGGGAAGAGAAGAAGCAGCGGGGGACAGATTGAACAGAGGGGGAGGGAGGAAGCAGGGGGGAAGAGAGTGAGCAGAAGTAAAGGGAGGGAGCAAGGGTGAAACAGAGGGAGCAAGGGTGAAACAGAGGGAGCAAGGGTGAGCAGGGAAGGGGATGGGGGGAAGCAGGGAAGGGGATGGGGGGGGGTTAGGGAAGGGGATGCGGGGCTGGGAGGGGGACGGGGGGAAGGAGGGAAGGGGACGGGGGGAAGCAGGGAAGGGGACGGGTGGAAGCAGGGAAGGGGACGGGGGGAAGCAGGGAAGGGGAATGGGGGAAGCAGGGAAGGGGATGAAGGGGAACAGGGAAGGGGTTGTGGGGAAGCAGGGAAGGGGATGGGGGGAGGCAGGGGAGGGGACGGGGGGAAGGAGGGAAGGGGACAAGCAGGGAAGGGGATGGGGGGAAGCAGGGAAGGGGATGGGGGGAAGCAGGGAAGGGGAATGGGGGAAGCAGGGAAGGGGATGAAGGGGAACAGGGAAGGGGTTGTGGGGAAGCAGGGAAGGGGATGGGGGGAGGCAGGGGAGGGGACGCGGGGAAGGAGGGAAGGGGACGGGGGGAAGCAGGCAAGGAAGGGGGGAGACAGGGAAGGGGATGGGGGAGGCAGGGAAGGGGATGGGGGGGAGCGGAAGGCGGAGGAGCGGAACAGAGAGGGGGAGAGAGCAAGGAGAGGTGTAACGCATGAGCCCTATGGTGGCCACCTCGTTGACATCGAACATGCCCTGATGAGGGGAGGGAAGGGAGCGAATGTAGGACGCGGAGGGGGAGAGAGGGAAGGGGCTATAGGTAGATACAAAGATGAAGAGAGAAAAGGGGAGGGAGGAGAGGGAGAGCACATGGTTGAAGAGACTTGAGAGGAGGAGACTGTGTCGTGAGAGTGAGGAACTGGGAACGAGGGGAACTGGGAGAGGTAGGTACTAACAGAAAGAGAACCAGGTGTGTGTAAAATAGGACACTCACTGTGCGTGGATGGGCAGAATTCAGAACCAGCACGTCAACCCCGCACGCCCCTCCCCCACCCAACCCCACTTTCCTCCTCCCCTCCCCCCCCCCCCTTCCCCCCCTTCCCCCCCTCCTCACTTTCCCCTCTCCTCCCCCCCCCTTTTTTCTGCCTTCCCCCCTCCTTTCCCCCCCCCCCCCTCCGCACCCACCCACATTCAGGATAGACGACTCACCGGGCGCGGATGGGCGGCATTCAACTCCGCACGGCCCTTCCTCACCACGCGCCTCCTCCCCGCGGAGCACGCTTTCCGCCTGGCGCACTGCGTCGTGCAGCACGTCCGCTCCCCCCTTGAGGTCGAACGGCAGCACCACCACCCCCTCCGGCGCGTGCGTTCCGCAGCAGGAGGCGCCCACTGCCTGCAGGCGCTCCGCGGAGCGCGCGGAGAGGATCAGCCGCGCGCCCATCGCCGCGAAACGCTGCGCCAGCTCCTGGCCTGGTACGGGGAGCGGGGCAGAGTGGGGCGCGAAGAGGGGGGCGGGAGAGGGGGGAGAGGGGGGAGCGGGGACCCGGGGGAAGGGAGACGTCGCGCGGAAGGGGGTGAGGATAGAGGGAGTGAGCAGGGGGAATGGGAGTGAACAGGAGAGAAGAGAGTGAAGGGGGGGAAGAGTGAGCAGGGGGAAGAGAGAGAGAGAGTAGGATGGGGGAATGGAGGGGATAAAGACGAGCAATGGGAGGGGTAGAGAAGGCGACTGGCGGGGAAGCGAGGGCGACTGGAGGAGAAGCCATTGCGACGGGCGGGCAAGAGAGAATGAGCAGGAGAGAGTGAAAGGCAATGGGAGGGAAAGTGAAGGCGACGGGTGGGGAAGCAAGTGCGACAGGCGGGGGAAGAAGGCAACGAAGGCGACGGGGAGGGGAAGTGACGGCAAGGGGTGGGGGGGGGAGTAAGGCGACGGGAGGGGGAAAAGTGAAGGAGACGGGGGGTGGGAAGTCGCGACGGGGTGGGGGAAGAGAAGGCGACGGGGGGGGGGGGAGGGGGGGCTGGCGCGGGGGGGAAGTGAGGGCGACGGGGTGGGGGAAATGAAGGCCACGGGGTGGGAAAAAGTGAAGGCGACGGGGGGTGGGAAGTCGCGACGGGGTTGGGGGGGTGACCGCGACGGGGAAGAGCAGGCGACGGTGGGCGGGGAGTGAAGGCGCCGGGCGGAGCGTTCGCGACGGGCTGGGGTCGCGAAGGCGTCGAGCTGCGGAAATGATGGCGACGACGCGGGCGACAGAGAGCGGAAGCGTGGGACCTAGGGAAAGGAAAGGAAAGCAAGGGGAGGATCATGCTTGGACGAACGGGTGTGATTCGATTTTCGTCTGCGAGATTACGCTACGCAGTAGTTGCACAATAACCTGCTAACACTAGCTTTGCGCGTCATCATCTAAATCCGCGCCACCCACATCGTAAGGCGCATCTGAACCCTTTTGAGTGAACGCTCTCGCCCTGCCCTATCTACGAGTATGATTTATGCATCATACCATGAGTGCTATCTCAAACTGTGCACAGTATGGTATGCACGGGCTTTTCTGGTTGTGGGAAGGACCCCACCCATCTTGGGAAGCGAGAAACTTTTGTCGCAAGTTGTTTCGCGAGTTGAAAGTCTCTCGCAACCCAACCGAACCTCTCCGTGCCTGCCTCCCGAGCCTAGTTTTTGGCGTTGACTTCCGTTGAGTAATTCAGGTCTTGGGCTTTAATACAGTACAGTAAAAGTGTACCGAATGATTTGAACTCACGGGTATCTACACTACCTTTGTCTCTGCAGATAGTGGAAACTATGTTGTTGCTGATTCAGAATGGTCTGGGACCTTCTCTGTATGCGATGGATACGCATCTTACGTCTACTCCGAATGCAAAGGCCTACCGAGTAAGTCGATAATACATCTTAACTTCCGTCACATTGTTTCGTAAACGTTGCCCTCATACTTCACTACTGTATTTTCCCGGATATAGGACCCTCCCGAAAAAAGGACCCCCGGGACTTGTGTTCGGGTCTGGGACTCTTAATATGTACGAAATGTGAGAGGACCCCCCTTTTGCTATAAAACATACCCCCCTTTCCTGTGTACAGTAGTTGAAAATGGTTATGCGCGTCACCTTCTAAAGGGGCAGAATCCGAATTTTGTCGTGTCATTTGTGTCAGAATCGAGTTCTGACACACCAATCGCGTCGGATACAAGATCTGACGCCTTTGACGCGCCGCTCGCGCAAATTTCGCGCACGCGAGATGTTTTTTGCTTCGAACATAAGACCCCCTCCCCCCCCCCCCACCCTTCAAATTCAAGTGTACACCCCTAAATGGCATAAGTCTACGTGATTATTAAGTGTACCCGGGACTCTTACAACTCGTGCTGATTAAAATTTCGTGCACCCTAGTCATTTTGCCTCTATTTTAGGAAAGTCCCCCGGGTCTTATATCTGGGAGAATACGGTATATCAAAACTTTAGCTCAAACCTTGCTTGCTCCTCACCTCTTCCACCTCTCATTGTCCCTCCCTCCATAATACCATCACCATCTAAATTTGCTATTAGTCATTTGCCGCCCTTAATCGCCATTTTGCCTCATCATGTTCTCCTCCCGACCCTTTTCATTCGGCTTGTGACGCTAACAGTCGCCACTGGAACAACATTTGGCAACCTGCTCAACAACAAGGAGGTGTTTTTTAAAGTGCTCTTCGGGTCGCTTTTCAGGGTGCTGGGCGGGCGAAACATCACCGTGAACGTGACTTCAGTAAGCATGAGACCTAGCAGTGAATCTGGGTTGCTAGAGGTGTTTCGATATGGGGTGTAAGGGAAGAGGGAAGGGTCTCCGGGTAAGTACGTCCTCACTACAGCTGTGCCAGGCTGAATGCAGAAGGCGTTTCTCCATTGACGGATCTGATCTGAGGTTCACAATTGAGGCTGTGAAGACTGCATTCTTCCGAATGTTTTGTTCCAGGTTCTTCCTCCCCTGTGCAGGTGACGAGGCACTACACGCCAATCATCTGCGAGCACCTGCAAAGCGGGTGCGCTGCTGTCCTGCGGGAGCAGCGTTGGCACGCCGTCAACCTGCGATGTTGGCACGCCGTCGACTTGCAGCACTGGCAAGCCGCGCCTCTGCACTGCTGGAGCGCGGTCGACCAAGTCGTGCTGGCACGCGGTCGACCGTGCTGCGCTGGCAGTAGACTTGCTTGCATGCTAGCTCTGATGTAGTCTAGTCTTGCCAACTTCATTGTACTATTGTTGTCAACCTTTCCCACTGGGACAGGCAATATCTAGATACGATGCAATCTACATCCGGCCACGTTGACTGGTCTGTTTCTGTTCCAACTGGGTGTGTACCAACTGGGTGTGTACCAACTGGGACAGGCAATATCTAGATACGATGCAATCTACATCCGGCCACGTTGACTGGTCTGTTTCTGTTCCGCTGTTGTTTCTGCCTTTTACAGGGCCCGACCGGGTGTTACAACGGGGCCAGGCAATATTAAACAAAGATGCAATCTACACTAGGACCACATTCTGACAACACTTTTTTCTGTTTTTGCTTCTGGTTCTGTTTATTCCTTCACCTTACAGGGACCGGCCGGGTGTTACAGCGGGGCAAAGCAGTACCCACCAATCCCTGCCTGCTGCGACCCGCTCAACGAGATCCCAGGGTGTCACTTCAAGGACAACTCGACTTACGGCGCGTTCGTTGGGCGCAGGGTCGCGCCCACGGAGTGCAAGTCGTACGCGCAGGTGTCATCTGGAGGGTCGGATCCATCAGGCTTGGTGCTGCCCTCGTCAGCAGCAGCACCGCCTGGTAAAGCTGGTGGAAGGACAAGACAGAGGATGGTGGAAATGGTTTTGACAAACTTCCTCTTCTGGTTTGTGGCTCTGCTGCTGTTCTGGATATAGAGCTGGCTGTTGGTTATTGTTTTCGGACTAGTACGCCGTCTACGTACTAGAGCTAGCCCCCTTCCCACTTTGCTACAGGGCTAGCCTATTTCCTATGTTCTAGGGCTGGCCCTTTGGTGTTGTTTTTATAGGAATAGCTTCTTTCTGGTATGCTGGATCTAGTCCCTGTTACAGAATAAAGCCCCTTTCCTATGTTCCCGAGCTGGCCCCCTTTCTTTTTGTTTCAGGACTACCTACCCCTTGCTTCTGTTCTGTTGTGTCTCACAAAGACATACCCTTCTGTATGGAAGGCACCATTCCGATTTGAGAGAGGGAGTGGCCAGTATGCTATGCATCCTGTTGTAGCAGCCGATACTGAGCTCAAAAGTCCAAGCAGAAAAAGCGGATCATGAAGCAAGACATACTTCGACTCAGCTTCCCTTGCGGCATCCCTGTTGCGAAGCGCATATTTGAATACACACAGCACGGCTCCCCCACAGCCTCTCCTCTGCAGCTGCCACCTCACAGCTCGCACGGCTGCCAGCTCACAGCACGCAGTGGCGCCTCACAGCAGCTGCCGCACCCCACACACCCCGGCAGTCACGAGCAGACCCAGCAGGCTGTGGTGTTTAAGTCGACTCAGATGTCACCTCCAGCTCACAGCCAGCTATGCTGCCTGCTGCTCGGGTGCCCCGCAGCTGCTGCTGCCAGCTCAGCTCACAGCAGCTGGCGCACCCCAAACACCCCGGCAGTCACGAGCAGACCCAGCAGGCCGAACGTGCCCCACATGCCCTGCACCCGGTTGCGCGGGTTGCCCGTGTAGTAGCTGGGGCAGAGGGGGTTGGGAGGGAGAGGGGGGGAGAGGGAGGGAGAGCACAGGGAGTTGTGGAAAGAGGGGAGCGAGAGAAAGCGTGTGAGAACGAGTGAGTGAGAGCGAGTGAGTGCGAGCGAGCGTGTGAGAGCGAGTGTGTGAGAGCGAGCGTGTGAGAGCGAGTGTGTGTGGACGAAAGCAGACGTGCCCCACATTCCCTACACGTGATTGCCAAGGTTGCTGGTGTAGTAGGGAATGGAAGAAGGAGGCAGAGGGAGCGGGGGAGTGGTGTGATTAAAGAGAGGTATTGAGACGTCTCAAAAACTCGTTTTTACCACGTGGAAGAAACACACGTGATTGTGAAGGTTGCTGGTGTTGTATGGAATGGAAGGAGGAGGCAGAGGGAGTGGGGAAGTAAGAGAAGTGGAGGAATGGAAGGAGTGAGAGTACTTGTGTGAGAAGTGAGTGGCACGGAGAACACGTCTGTGAGTGAGTGTGTGAGAGTGTGTGAGAGAGAGTGTGTGAGTGTGTGAGAGATAGTGTGGCACAGACATAATCGAGTTGGAGAGGAGAGCTGCGAAATGAAGAATGCGGGTCAGAAGATGGAAAGTTTGGGGAGGGACGGTCGGACTTCGGAAGGGGTGGGGGTTTGGGGAGGGTGGGATTCTGGAGGGGGTGGGGGTTTGGGGAGGTTGGGGGTTTGGGGAAGTTGGGGGGTTGGGGGTTGGGGGAGGTTGGGGGGTTCGGGAAGGTTGGGGGTTTTAAGGAGGGTGGGGGAGGAAGAGACGTGCACGCAGAGCAAAAAGAGTGGAACCTTGTGGGGATGCCGATGGGGAGAATGGAGAGCAGATTTCATAATCGACTAAGAATGAAGAGGGAGGTGGGAGGCGAATGAATTCTTGTTAATGGCAGGCGCATGGTAAGGCGAGGGCAAGGGAGAGTGGGACAAGGGAGATTGGGAAAAGGGAGATTAGGATGAGGGAGAGTGGGATAAGGGAGATTGGGAAAAGGGGGAGTGGGATGAGGGAGAGTGGGATAAGGGAGATTGGGAAAAGGGAGAGTGGGATGAGGGAGAGTGGGATAAGGGAGATTGGGAAAAGGGAGAGTGGGAAAAGTGAGAGTGTGAGATGAGTGTGAGGGAAGAGTATTTACCCGAGAGAGTAGAAGACACGGCCAATGACCCACACCATTCCACACCTGCAGGCAGCATGGAGTATGGATGGACGAGAGTGTTGGAAGAGAGCCACACCGCACCACACCGCACCACACCATGCCCCACCATGCCACACCATGCCACGCCGCGCCACACCACACCATGCCACACCACACAACACCACGCCACACCATGCCACAACATGCCACAACATACCACACCATACCACACCATGCCACATCCGCAAACAAGGGGGATGAGGGGAGAAGGGAGAAAGACAGAGAGGTAATGAGGAAAGGATGGAGGAAGGTGAGGCGGGCAGGACGGGAAGAAGGAAGAATTTGAAGAAAGAAGGATGATTAGAAGGGAGGGCGGCGGGGCGGAGGACAGGGAAGGGATTGCGTCTGGGAACAAGCAGCAGGGGGAGGGGAGGCTCATTACGAACAAACTGTAAGTACCAATTTTACCGATATATATTGGACCAGTTGTGAGTACCAAGAAAGGTGACGTATGCAGAGGCAGTGATGGGATGGGGTAGGCGTAGCCAGCAACGAGGACGAGCGAGAGGAAGGCGGAGTGGCTTTAAAAAGACGGGGCAAGATAAAGGGTGTGATGGGAAGAGCAAGATACGCGGAGGCGGTGATGGGGTAGGCGTAGCCGGCAATGAGGAGCAGCGAGAGGAAAGCGGGGTAGCTCTCAAGGGTGTTCTGATGGGCGCGCTGATAGCAGTTGAACAGGCTGTCCTCCTTGTCCTCGTACATCTGCATACCCAGGGATGCAGAGCGGTGCAGAGCGGTGATAGAATGGGAACACACGACACGGTAAGAAAGGAAGATGAAAGGAGGTAGCGAGGAGAAATGCTCCCTTCTCTTGACTTGTATCCATGTGTCGCCAGAAGCAACTGCAAGCCAGTAAGGATGGCTTGCTGCCAGATGCGTGTGGCAGTGTTTGAGTCTATGAGGCAGTCAAGGAGCACATCACAGCAGTCAGACCCACGCGCAGCCCTCGCGCGTAAATTGTTATTTGATGAAGAAAAGTTGTGCGTACAAACGCTGTGCATGCAAACACCCGCATGGCATTGGAACCACAACGTGCAACTTGATTGAAGCGCAGGCGAGGAAATAAGGGCATCACAATGCAATGCAATGCACGGCGCAGCGCAGGCACTTGTCTTGCATGGCGCAATGCACGGCGCAGCGCAGGCACTTGACTTGCATGGCGCAATGCACGGCGCAGCGCAGGCACTTGTCTTGCATGGCGCAATGCACGGCGCAGCGCAGGCACTTGTCTTGCATGGCGCAATGCACGGCGCAGCGCAGGCACTTGTCTTGCATGGTAACCGCTTCAAAATGACATCACTCGCTCGCCCACTCACATCTCAGAAAGCAGCACCAGTGTTACAAGGCCTTGCTGTTACCAGCACCAGCTTCTTGAACTGGCTTGTGCACCTGGTAACCACCTGGTAACTGCATCACAGTTCTCCCCTTTCTCAAAGCAACACGGCACGCACATGTGCTCTCCTGTGTGCACCTTGTTGTGTCGCATTGCAATGTATTGTACCACCTGGTAACCACCTGGTAACCACCTGATAACCGCATATTGAGAATTCTTAGAAATCACATTGTGAAAAGCAACAACCTACCTCTCCAAGGCTTTTGTAGAAAGCAACATTAGACCACTCTTTCCCGCCATCCTGTGCGCACCTTGGGGTACGGGACGTTGCTGGCCCTCCGTTGCTTCGCCACCTGCCACGTCAGCACGCACAACACAAGTGGGTTGTACTAAGTCAGCTGGTTGTGGGTGGAACCAACCGAGCACATGGGATGTAGTGTAGTGTAGTGTAGTGTACGTGCGCTTTTACATGTGCGCTTGCGCGCTTTGAGCAAATCGGATTCGTGAGAACGAGAGTTTTGCGAGGTCCGCTTTTACATGCATGCGATATGCCAGCCCACATACTCGATACAGGCCAGTCCGATATAAGCACGCTACCTGGATCATCTGCCAATGCGTAAGAACAGAGCTAGAAGTAGCGATCAGCAATACCAGCACGCATACCCGTTATGATTCAGTCAGATACAAGCAATATACCTCGATCATCTGCCATTGCGTCAGCACAGCGCTAGCAGCAGCGGTCAGCACCACCAGCCCGAACTCCCGCGGAAGCGATTCAATCACCACCGCGCGCGCAATTCCTGGCCGCGCGGAAACGGCGGACGCGGGCTTCCGCGACCACGAGCTGGCGCTCCGCAGCTGCAGTGGGCAGGCGGAGGCGAGTCCGTGGCGGGGTAGGCGCGCGGAGACGGTGCCCCGCGGTGCGCTCGCGCGGGGAATGACGGGGGCGACGCAAGATGCGGCAATGGAGGCCATGGCGGAGCGCTGTTGGCGTTGTGTGTGGATCGGTGCTGAGTTGAGAGGATTATGGCCGACAGTTTGAAATTGACTTCATTTCTACAGCAGAATTTTCCGCATTTTGGGATCACCGTCAGGGTTCTCGTTATCAGACCAATTTGGTCTGATGGTCTGAGTTTAAGACTTGTTTTTTTGTATTCATCTGCTTCCTAAGAATTTGTGTTTGTTCTCATCTGATCAGTAAGATTAGCGTTTTAGGTTCGTATGATTTTTCCAGACGTGTAGAACTCTTAATCTGAATACACAGATATCGAGTTCGGTTTCGTCTGAAACCGACATCTTGACCCACTAGGCCATATGCCCAGTGGACCAGAGGATAGGACCACCACAGGTACAGCCATTTGCTGCCCTGTAACAGCACGCGCATTCATTACGCGTGTCTTATAGCAGCCTCGCTGGCATGTAAGATCGGCCGCAGCTGCAGCAGTAGCAGCTGCACTGGCAGCAGCAGAAGCAGCTGCTCGAGAAGCGGCCCTGGCAGCAGAAGCAGCAGTAGGATGACTTTTAACTTGTTTTTTTTTTTCGTCTTGATTATCAGACTAGGAAAAATATTTTATCTTATAATGCAGACCACGAAAGTTTTGTCGTCAGAGCCTAAGACGGGGAAAAAAAATTTCAGGGTACTGTCAGACAGGCCCTAATCCTAGCGAGAACCCTGATCACCGTATACGGTACTACAGCTTACTGGAGCACGTCCTGCAGTTTCAACAATATGGAGAATATATATATTAGATAATATCCGCGGTATCTTACTATAAAAAAAGGGGAAGTTTAGGGCGTCAGGATCCGCACAAAGCATGTCATGTGAAGAATAAATATTTAGTTATATTACTATCATTCTTACTGGCTGTACATTTTGTGGTGCAATGCTTCGCTATAATCCACAATATTCAACCACGTGTGATTGGATTCCAGACCTGTGGGTGCGCCTCGGTAGAGGTGACGGACCTCGAGAGGCCATGTGGATCACCACCTGGGATCCATGTGGACATCAAAGCCACATCCGAACCATTCGTCTGCTCGTTCGGATGAAACCCTAACTGAAGTACACGGCAGACGATAATCGGCAACTTTCCCGTCAAGTTCCTGACGAACGTCAGGCTTTCTCTGTCTGTGTTGCTGGATTCAGGCACCAGAAGGTGGAATTGGTTTGAATTCTTGGAAACCTAAAATTGATGCTTGGACGTCCCTCCTGCCTGTTTTCTGCGCGATGGCTCTTGACCACGAAACCCTAGATGGACTTTTAGGTTAGGTTCTCTCAGTTTCTTTGTCACGCATAACGTGACTAACGTCTCTTCTTTCTTTTCCTTTTTAATGTAGGTCTCTGGTTACGATTTCTGTGTATGGTATCGTCAGGCGTAGGCTATTCTCGGTCGTCTAGGGTTCCATGGAGGCACCAGGGAGTTGAAGGGAGGCCTCGGGTCTCCAGTGTGCGAGATGGAGTTGCATCGCGGGGAGGGGTCCGCGGAAATCTCGTCAGGTCGCTTCCAGGCGCCTCCCCTCGGCGTGCCGTGCTCGCGGCCCGTGTCGGTATCGGACGTGCTAGCAGACGGCGGCCGGCTGTTTTTGCATTCGTCCAGAGGCGTCATGGGAGCCTCGATATTACCGCAGAAGCGGCTGCTTGCCAGCCCGAAACAGAACGGATGGTTTTCCGTTTCTGACGCGTCCGGAGCGACTCTGGCCTTCTCGGGAGTGTCTGGTCGGAGCGACTCGGCTTTTTCCAGTCGCAGCCGCAACGGTAGCGTTAACGGGACGGCTAACGGAACGCATAACGGAGTGCATTCGGGGGATCTCGCAGCAGCGGCGGCGGCGTTAGGGTTACAGCCGTTGGTTCTGTCGTGTAGCCGCAGTGCCGCCGAGCGAGCGAATCGCCTGGCATTTCAGACGAGTGCTTCCGATAGAGGGCCTGATTCGTTTAAAGAACCCGAGTCGTTAAAAGGACCCGACTCGTTTCGCTGCAGCGTTCGTCCTCCGGTCTCCAGTGCCGCTGGTGAAGAGTCCTCCGGCCCTCCAAGCATCCGTCAAGAGTCGGCGGCGAAGGACGCATCGCCGAGTCTGGGGTTCTCTAGCCGTTTGCTCTCGCCTTCTCGCCACCGACAGCGTTCGCAGAGGAAGCATGGCGAGGCGCTAGCGCAGGCAGGAGGTAGAGATGTGTGCATCGGAGACGCGTCGAAGAGCGACGACGGACCGAAGGACGCGCGCAGTCGTAGCCCGCATGATTATGGCAGGGTGTCGCACAAGGAGTCGGATAGAGTTTCGCAGGAGTCGTACAAGGATTCGCAGGGGCAGTCGCACAGGGAATCGCATGTCGCGCATCAGAAGCGAGAATCGCAGAGTACTAAGCCGCATTCTGACGTTAACGGTTGTGATTCAGAGCAGCGAAAGGCGACTGACGGGGATAGCTTGTTCCCGCGAGGGCAGCGGTTCCAGCAGCAGCAGAAGCAATGCGACGGGCAATTACCCGCAGAGGGCGCAGGGCTAAGGGACTCGGGTATTGGGACTGGTGAAGGTGCCAAGGGCGAGCATGGGAGTTGTCTGTCGTTATCCGTTGCAGATCTGAAGTCCAAACCAAGCCAAGGGAAGACTCGAGGCTATCAGGCTGCTGGACCCGTTGCTGAGCAGCAGTCGGTGAGACGCGACGACTGTCCTTTCTGATTTTAGCCTTTTCTTTTCTTTTCATTTTTTCGCTGGATGTCGTCACGCGCGGTCGTATTATGTACACGTTTTTTTTTTTTTTTTTTTGCGCGTTTTTGCGACTAACAGTTCGTGCTCTTGCGCGTTTGTGCAGAGTGGAAACGCAGAGACAGCAGCAGAGCAGATACCCTTTCGCAGCAGCTTATTACCTGACCCCACGGCAGCAGAAAACTCTCCAGCGGCAGCAGCGGTTCACGAGCTGGTCTTCAAAGCGAAATCAATCACGCCATCAGACCAGTTACTCGCCGATAACGACATTCCCAGGCGAATAGGGTTACCACTGGTCAGCCACGCGCTGATGGACTGCGGGAATTTTCTCTACCCTCCGTTCAAGAAGGCCCGAGCCACCAGAGAACCCAAGTTTCGCAAGCCCAACGGGAGCCGACTACTAGGCCTGGCCGAACCTCCGTGCTGCACAGGCTCGGAACCGAACCTGTCGTTGAGCCTGTCTTTCCCGCAAGACTGCAATTCTGAGCGTGAATCGCCACCTGCCCCGCTGTCTGTAACCACTCCTCGCGCTGATAAGCACAACGGCTTATCAGGGGAGAGTCAGCCTGCTCGCCCCAGCACGCCGGTTCCCCCCGCTACTCCGTCCTTCTCGCTTCTGGAAGGCCCTCTGTCGTTTTCCCCTATCACGCCGGACGGGGAACTCTCGCTTGACGATTCCGTCACGGCTGCCCGCCTCCGAGCCGTCTCAGCCGCTCGAGCAGCCGTAGAAGCACGCGCATTCGCCGTCAGAAAAGCGCGGGCAGCTTTACGGGCAGCTGCGAAGGCGAAGGAGGCGGTAGCGGCGGTGATAGACGCGGATAAGCAAGAACGAGCGGCAGCAGGAACGGCAGAAGCAGGAGCGGAAGAGAGTCATAGACGTCCGGTCAAAGCTGAAAATGGGTTCATGAGGCCTGATGCTGTCAGGACGGGCGATTTAGTGGCGGGAGGGGAGCTGGACGGTACAGACGTGTCTGGGAGCGGTGCAGTGCGGTTTACTTCGAGGTGGCGGCTGGCGTTGTCGGAGCTAGAGGCGCGCTGTGAACGGCTTTTAACGCGTACAGGAGCAACAGCTGCGGATAGCGAAACAGGCGGGAGAGCCGTGACGGCAGGTGCAAAGGGGGAGGAGGGTGAGGAAGGGGAAGAGCGGGGAGATGGTGAGACTACTACCTGCGTTTGGCGAGGAAATAAGGAGAGTGGGGGCAGTGAGAATTGTCCGTCGGGGCTGGGTGCTCATATCTCGCTCGATTTCCATCTGAGTAGACCAGATGTTGCGAATTGTGCGTTGGTGCCGGCAGTCAAGGAAGAGGAGACGACACGTGGGGAGAAGGAAGAGGGGTTGGTTCTACGAGAGCGGTGCTTGGCGTGGGGTGAGGAGGGAGCGACGGCAGGTGAAGAGACGCCGGGGATTGAGGTAGGGAACGAGCCAGGGGTGCAAAGCGGCGAGGTACGGCGGTGTCTGTCTGTGGACCTGGTGATGGGCCTTGGGTGCTCCTCGTCGCAGGGGCAAGGCGCCGGTGGCGGTCGCGGAGTGGGTGGTGGTGATAATGGGAGTGAGGGCGCGGGACAGGCGGCAAGGGGCTCGAGAGAGGTTGTGAGAAGGAAGGGGCGGCGGGATGAGGGGGAAAAGGAGGACGAGGAGGACGAAGAGAAGGAGGTGGAGCAGGAGGAGGTGGAGCAGGGAGCGATTGAGATGGAGGAGCTGAGTTTGCCTCCTGTCTCGTGCGAGAGTGAAGAGTACAAGCAGGCACGCCCGCCGTCGCTGCCTTTTGGTGCAGCGCACTGCAAGCGGCTGTCCAAGGCTGGGAGAGGCAGCAGCGAGGGGCGCAGCCACGGCTTCGGCCTGCCAGACAGGCTAGATGGTCTCCCAGGCGAGGCGGTGGCTCGTGAGTCTACTCAAGTGGCTCGTGAATTGACTCAAGTATCATCCGACCAGGCTGGTGGGAGGGTTTCGGACACGGCGGGTTGTGAGAGGCGAGGGCAGCTGGGGTGTGGCAACATGGCGACGTGTGGCAAGGCTTGCGTGTCAGCAGCAGCGTGCAGTTCAGCAACGGTATCCCTTCCATTGGCTCACACGACAAAGGATGGCACGAGGCTGGATGGTGATGATGACGACAAGGCACGGTGCGAGATCGCTCGGGACGGGAGTTACTGTACTGCTGCCACTGATAGCAAGGCTGCTGCTGCGAATAGCAACGCTTCTGCGGCAGATGGCAATGCTGCAGCAGCTGACTGCGCACGTGCATCTTCCAATCATGCAGCAACTCTTGAGGGCTCGAGGCAGGAGGGCCGTCCGGCGTGTGGCGAGGGTTCGGCAGCAACGGGTGGGAACACTGATGCTGGGGAATGCACAGAGAGGAGTGGTGGTGATGCCAGTGGTGCCAGTGGTGCCAGTGGTGCAGGTGATGAGAAGAAGGCAGAGGCGACGGAGTCTTGTAGAAATGAGGGCGGACAGGCGGTTGGAGGGGACAAACGCGCGCTTGTGGGTGAGGGGCGAGGTACAGTGGAAGTGGGCGGAGGTGTGGCCGGAGGTGTGGGTAGCGGTGTGTGTGGAGGGACTGCAGTAGGAGAGAAGGAGAATGGTGGAGAGAAGGAGAACGGTGGAGTCAAGGAGGGGGCAGAATCTGCAAGTGCTGCTGCGGCTGCTGCTGCTGCTGCGTCTGATAATGCTGCTGCTGTTGCTTCTGATGCTGAGACTACTGCTGCAAGAGCTGCAGACGCCACTGTGCCTCCCGCTCTTCCCGCCACTCCCATGCCTGCGAACACTGCTGCTGGTGCCACTGCCTGTGCCGTTGCTGCACCTTGCCCCACTGCTGCACCTTGCCCCACTGCCGCACCTTGCCCCACTGCCGCACCTTGCCCCACTGCCGCACCTTGCCCCACTGCTGCCACCATCACTGCCAGTGCTGATTCCCTGGGTACTCGCCCAGCGACGAGCCCCGCTGCCCCCGCTGCTGCCACTGCCGCCACTGCCCCCGGTGCCCCCACTGCCGCCACTGCCGCCACTGCTGCCACTGCCCCCACTGCCGCCACTGCCCGCACTGCCGCCACTGCCCCCACTCCCGCCACTGCCCGCACTGCCGCCATTGTCCCCACCACCCCCGTTGCCCCCACTGCCGCCGCTGCCCCCACTTTCGTCACTGCCCGTCGCTTGTGCGAGGACGAAAAGCCAGCACAGCAGTTGCGCCAACCCTTCAACGGTTCCCCTCTTACCACTGCCGCGGCCGCCACTGTCGCTGGCACTGCCACTGCCGTTGCTGCCTGTAGTGTCACTCCTGCTGATGCTTCTGCTGCATCTGCCGCTGCTCCCACTACCACTGCCGTCGCTACCCCTGGTGTCACTACCACGACTGTTGCTGCGTCTGCCACGGCCCCCCCTGCTGCCCCACGTCCTGCTGCTGCCCCACCTGCTGCTGCTGCCGCCCCTGCTTCTGCTGCGTCGCCAGGCAGTGCGGCAGCAGCGGGCGTGGGCACTCCGCGGCAGCGCTGCGCGTCAGACGACGAGAGGCTGGCGCGGCAGCTGCACCGCGCCTTCAACAGCTCCCCGCGCATCCTCGCCGTCCTCGCGCCCACGCCCAAACGCTCCCGCAACCCCCGCCACCCCGCTGCGCCCGCTGCTGCGCCTGCTCCTGCGCCTGCTGCGCGTGCTGTGGCAAGTCCTGCGCTTGTTGCTCTTGGGGTGCCTGGGAAGACAGAACGGGGGGGTGCGGGAGAGGCGAAGGGGAGAGGAGAGGCTGGGGGGAAAGTAGAGGTACGGGGGAAGGTGGCAGTAAGGAGAGATGGGGCGGTGGTGGTAGGAGAGGGCGGCGATGGGGATGGGAAGGCTGCTGGAAAGGGGGATAGTGCCCAAGTGAAGGAGGACCGTGAGGCTGAAGGTGGTGGTTCTGGTGTTGGTGGTGTTGGTGGTGATGCTGGTGTTCATGGTGTTATTGTTGGTGGTGGTGTTGCTGATGCTGATAGGTGTAAAGCTCCTCCGAGTGACACTCCAATGGGCGGACCCACCCCTCTTGCTGCTTCTGCTGCTGCAGCTTCTCGCGCTCCTCCCCTCCCTCCCGTTCCTTCTCTTCTTCCTTCTCCCCCTCCTCCTGCTGCTGCTGTTGCTGCTGGCACTGCCGCGGGCTCGTCCTGCCGTCCCCCGTCTCTTCTGGCGCCGCCATCATCTGCCGAGGGCCCCCTCCCGCCCTGCGCCACTCCCCCTGCCGCTCCTCCCTGCGCCACTCCGCCTGTCGGCCCCTCTTGCGCCAAACCCCGCCCCATTTCCCTCGCCCCCCTTGATGTAGCCCACTTACCCCGCGCAGGTGACGTCAGCCCTAAGAAAGATCTCTGCCCCAAGTCGGCTGTTTCTGAGACTGAGGCAGCCAGAGGGGCGGCAGAACAGGAGAATGGGGAGAAGGCTAGGGCGGGCCGCGGGCAGATGGACGGGCAGGCTGGCGGGCGGGTAGTCGGGCAGGCGATTAGGGTTTCGGATGTGACCCCGGAGAGTAGTGGGACGGGAGGTGGTGGGAGTGGGGGGGGAGGATTGAACGGTCGGGGCGCGGAGGAGGGGCGTGTGCGGAAGCGAGGGGGCGGAGGGGGAGGAGGGTCAGGGGGAGGTGGTTCAGGGGGATGGGGGGGTGGCGGAAGCTGTGGAGGGGGGAAGGCGGGTAGTAATGGGAGGGGAGGGGCAGCAGGCGGAGGGGGAGGGGGAGGGGGTGGGGGATGGGGTGGGAATGGGACGGGGGGCGGTGCAGGGGGAGGCACTGGCGGTGCCGGGGATGGGGGAAGAGAGGGCGGCGGAGGGGGAGGGGGAGGGAGAGGAGGGAGGGGAGGGGATGTTGCTAGTGAGGAGGAAGAGGACGAGGACCGAGGGCGGAAGGGAGGGAGGAAGGCGGGCAACGGCAAGGGGGGTGGCAGGAGGAGCAGCAACAGGGAGGCTAGCAGGAATGGGAGGGATGGGAGTGGTGGAAGCAGCAGTGATGATAGCTTGAGTGACCATGAGGAGGACGAGGGGGAGGAAGATGAGGAGGATGATGATGGAGAAATGGACGGCTCAGATGATGAGAGCAGCCCCAGGCGCAGCAGCAACGCCAGCAGCCGCGATGGCAGCAGCGGGAGCAGCGACAGGGAAGGGGAGGAGGAGGAAGAGGAGGAGGAAGAGGAGGAAGAGGAGGAAGAGGAGGAGGAAGAGGAGGAGGAGGAGGAAGGTGTGGAGCGGAAGGCGCAGAGGAAGCAGCGAAGGAGCTTGAGCATGGCTCGAAGTGCGCAGGCGGGCAGACGGGGGTCGTGGGGGGCGTGGGAGGAGGGCGGCGGGAAGGCCAGCCGCGACAAAGGCAGGGGAGGTTCTGGCCCTAATGACCGGGGAGACTGGGACAGGGAGAGGGAGAAGGAGAGGGAGGGTAGTCCGGACGTGGGTGGTGGGGGAGCGTGGGCGAGTGAGGTGGGTCAGGAGGGCGGCGGAGCCAAAGCAGGCTTGCGAGTGAATCACCACAGAGGCAGCGGCCGAACATCAGAGGGGGCGATTTTTGGCGGGGACACGTCGCCTGTCATTCCCGTACCTTCAAAAGAGGCTCGGCAGCCGCGCTCGCAGCTGGTTTGCCACCCGAGGCGGTTCCCGAAGCTGGCTCTAGCGGGGATAATGGAGGGCGAGGGAGGCGAGGAGGGGAAGGAGGGGAACGGCGAGGGGAAGGTGAAGGAAAGCGGGTGGGAGAAGGTGAAGGGGTTGGTGAGGGAGAGAGAAGGAGAGAAGCGGGAGAGGAGGCGGAATGGGTTGGGTGAGGAGTATGGGGGGGAGAGGATCAAGAGGGTATGGGAGAAAGAGAAAGAGGGGATGAGGATGAGTGAGGTCGAGGTTTTAATGCAGAAGCAGAGGGAGAAAGGGGGTGAGCTGGAGAAGCACAAGAAGCGGAAGAAGGAGAAATCGAGGGAACGGAGCGTTGCAGAGGAGTGGGGAGTGGTGGCGGACAGAATGACTGAATGGGGCGTGGGGAAAAGCAAGGGAAGGCAGAAGCGGTGGGCAGTGGCGAGTGGGAGAAGGAATGGGAGAGAGGCGCGAAGGCTGGGTCTGCGGAGAGGGAAGCAGAAAGCCGAGCAAAGGTCAAAGAAGGGAAGGACGCGAGTGGGAGCATGGCGTGGGGAAGGGCAAGCGAGAGAGGCAGGGATTACCTGGGAGAGCTGGGGAGGAGTAAGAGAGAAGGCGGCAAGGAGGGCGGGCTGGCGGACGAGAGGGAGAAAGGGCGGGCATTAGAGCGTGAGAGACCGGGGGAGAAGCCGGAGGGTGATGAGCGGTACGAGGCGGTTGAGAGAGTCAAGGACAAAGAGAACATCCGCGGACGACTCAAGGATTGGGGAGAGGTGGAGAGGGGGGAGAAGAGCAAGCAGGAGGAGCGGAAGAGCGAGAAGGGAAGGGCCAAGGGGCGGGAGAATCACTTCTCAGTAAGGAGCGGCGAGGTCGGGGAGGCCTGGATGGTTGAGTCGAAGAAAAAGGACAAGTCTGAGGGCTTTCTGGGTGGGAAGCAGCAGCGGGATGGGATAGTGCCACATTCGCTATTGTCACACTCGTTAGTGCCTTCGTTACTGGCTCGTGCTACTGTAGCTCCGCAGGTGGAAGGGAAGCGGTGGCGAAAGAAGGGTATTGTGGCTGGCCGTGCGCGGAGTGCTGTAGAGCAAGACACTATAGAGGATGTGCTTTTAGAGGATCTTAGGGATCGTGACACTAAGGAGGGGATCAGGAAGGAGAGTGCTGTGAAAGGTGCGGAAGGGAAGGAGAAGGGGAAGTTGAAGGGGAAGGGAGAGAGGGAGAAGGAGGAGAGGGAAAGAGAAAGAGAGTGGGATGCAGAGAGGGGTGCTGTGAAGGTTGCTGGGGAGACCGGCGTGCCTCTCAGTGTGCCTGTCAATGCCACTGGTGGCTTGAAGGCGAGCTGTAAGCGCAAGCGCAGTGCGGAGAGAAGTTTCTCGGAAGGTGCTGCTGCGGTGCGTGTGGTAACCTGTCCTGCTGGTAACCATGTGCCGACCAGTAACCTTGCTCACCCTGGTAACCACAGGCACGCTGGTAACCACATGCACGCTGGTATTCACGCTCAGGCGGGTAACCACGCACACTCCTGTAACCACACTGGCTCCGGTAACCACATTGCGGCTGCGGCAGATTGTGCAGCAGCAGCAGCAGCGGCAGGTGGGACTGAAAGGCCAGCAGCAGCAGACTCGATGGGAGGAGCAGCAGGGGGAGGAGGGGGGAAGGGAGGAGGAGAGCCCACGGGGGCGGTGGAGCGGATGGGAAGAGCACCAGGCGTACCCAGGGCGAGAAGCGCGGACGCGTTTGCAGCACAGAGGCATGCTGAGGGGTTTGCGGGGCACAGGGGCACGGATGCGGCTGGGGGGGCGAGGAACACGGATGGGAGTGCGGGGCGCAGAAGCGAGGACGGGCTTGCAGGGCCCATGTCGCCACCTAGGGTCCGGGTGAAGGGAACAGAGAGTGGCAATCAGGAGGGGTTTTGTGGGCCCATGTCGCCGCCTAGGAACAGGGTGAAGGGAGTGGAGAGTGGCAGTGGTGGGGGCGGGAGGGATGCGATTCGCGCGTGCACGAGTCCCACGGGGCGAGGTGTGATGCGCAGCAGCTCTGCATCGTTGTGGGGTGAAGGTGAGGCTGCGTGGGGTGTGTGGTGCTTGGTGTGTGGTGCTTGGTTCTGCAATGGTTGCGGGTTCATTGCTACTGTCCTTCCTCCTTTCTACCTTTCCTCGTCGTCATGTCGTGACGTGTGGGGTACGGGGCCAGTCGTGTGGGGGGCAGGCTAGTCGTGTGGGGGACGGGCTAGTCGTGTGGGGGACAGGACCAGCAAGCAGCTTCCCGTTGTCGCTTCGTCTCCATTATTTCCTGCAAACAACCATCCGTGCATCGTGTGACTATTGAGGCGCCTTAAAAGCAAACAGCCATCCTTGCATCATGCATCAGTCACTCACGCTGCTGTCTCATCCTGTTACTACATTTTGAAGACTCACCCCCTTATACACATCCCTTTCATCTTCCCGCTCCTGCCACTCTGCCCCTGTGCCCACACCCTCACCCGCTGCTGCTGCTGCTGCTGCTGCTGCTGCTGCTGCTGCTGCTGCTGCTGCTGCTGCTGCTGCTGCTGCTGCTGCTGCTGCTGCTGCTGCTGCTGCTGCTGCTGCTGCTGCTGCTGCTGCTGCTGCTGCTGCTGCTGCTGCTGCTGCTGCTGCTGCTGCTCTGCCCGTGTGTCCGCACCGCCCGCTGCTGCCCTGCCTTTCCGCCAGGTACCCGCGCAAAGCGCCAAAGCCCACCTCACCAAACCCCGTCGCACCAAACCTCACCACTCCACACCCAACATGACAGCGTCCTCTATTCACCAGGACATGCCACTATCAGCCACGAGCCTCACCACTCTCCTGCCACTGCTCCGCACCATGCCGTGCCTCCTCCTGCTGATTCTTCCCCGCATGCCACAGCTGCAGAAGCAGCAGCCCTAGCTCTAGACATGTTCGCTGCTGCTGCTGCTGCTGCGGAGGCGGGTGGGCAGACAAGCAAGGAGGAGGAGGACGAGGGGGGAGGAGGGAGTGACAGTGGTGGCCAGCAGCAGCAGCAGCCGCAGCGGCAGCAGGAGGCACAGGAAGAAGCAGCGTTGGGGGAAAGAAGGGAGGGGGATGGGGGAGAGACGGGTGGGCATGTGGTGGAATCTACACCGTTGGATCGGCTCACGTTCCTCTCAGATGCACAGCCACGTGTCCATGAGGATTCTCTTGGGCGGCAGAGTGCAGCGTGGATAGAGGCTAGAGGGGAAGGGCGGAATGGCGGTGGGGATGGCACTGGCATGGCGCTGGCTCAGTTAAGTGCAGGTGACGCTCAGTTAAGTGCTGGCGGGACAGCTGGGAACCGTGATGCTTGGAGCTCAGATGTTGGTGCTGCGGGTGGTTGTGCGATAGAAAGGGACGGACGAGGAGCAACAGGAGGAGCAGAAGGTGGAGCAGGAGGAGGAGGAGGAGGAGGGGCAGAAGGAGGAGAGATTTTGAACGAGGAGCATAAAAGTGATGAAGACGATTGTTTGTCCGGATTAGACCTCATAGCAGCAGAGGCAGCGGAGGTGCTTGCAGTGAGGCTGCTTGTATCGGGTATGCAGCCTGAGCGGGCGGCAAGCCCGTCTTTAGCAGCGCTAGTAGAAGCAGCAATGCTGCCTTGTAGGGGGGACAGCAGGGCAGGGGACAGGGAGGATAGCAGGAGGGAGGATTTAGAAAGAGAGGATATAGTTGGGGCGCATGTAGGGAGGGTGGATACAGCAGAAGGTGTGGGTGGTGGCTGTGGCACGAGTCAGGGCGCAATGCAGCATGAGGAGAGGCCGAGGGCCGAAGTGGGACGGGCAGTGGGGTGGGATATGGAGAAGGCCGCTGGGTTGGGGCAGTCGGAGTGGGAGTCAGGTGCAGCTTGTACAGAGAGACATGCAGGGGCGGCTGGTGCAGAGTGGCATGCAGGGGATGTGCAGGAGGAGGGGGAGAGAGGGGTTGAGGTTCTGAAGCCAGGGGTTGGTTGGCATGGATTGCAGATGCGGTTAGATGGAGGGTCACATGGAGGGTTACCACGCGAAGGGTTACAACAAGGGCGGTTACAACAGGAAGAGTTACAACAGGAAGGGCTAGCACAAGGGAGGGCGTTGCAGGAGGCGTGGAGGCCGAAGCCGAGGATTGTGGACTTGAATGAGCCATGGCGGGAGGAGGACGAGGAGGAGGCGCAGCAGGAGGAGGTGGAGGCAAGGATGGTGGGCGAGGCAGTGGAGAGTGCACCAACTGTTCGACCTTCCTCCCCGCATGCAGCAACTGTTCGACCTTCCTCCCCGCATGCAGCACTGCCCCCAGCACCGGTTGCTGCAGCGGTTTCAGCTGCTGCAGCTGCTATGGTTGCTACAGCCCCTGCACCTCACAAGGCACCATTGCTGCCAGCAGCAGCTGCTTTTGTGCCTGCAGCAGCCAGCCCACATACTGCGGGGTTAGAGGCTGCCCACTCACGCCCAGCAGCCATCCCTGCGCCTGCTGATAGTCCACGTGCTGGGAAATCCGAGCCTTCTCCCCCACAGCCAACAGCCGTCACGGTACCTGCAGCTGCTGCTGCGGGCTGTGAGGCGGCTTCAAGGGCTCCTCCTGCATCACTGGTATCAGCCGCGGCAGCAGCCACAGTAGCAGCACCACTTGCAGCAATAGCTGGTGGTGCGGGTGTGTGTAACAGTGCCGGTGTTGTTGCTGGTCCAGGCGCTATTGTTAGTGCTGCCACTCAGGCTGGGGCGCCCAATGCCGGTGCTGATGCTAATGCTGCATGTGAGAGCAACGCGCTTGCAGCAGCTGCATCCGTGGAGCCTGGGATTCGCTCGGTAGAACCTCACCCTGCAGGTCTGCACGTGGTGGTGGGGGATGAGCAGGAGTGCGTGGGTCCCAGCGCCTCTCTCCTGGTGTCGTGCAGCTCTGCAGGCGCAGGGTTGGACGATGGTGACCTTCATAGTGCAGGCGTGCGGGGGAAGGGCGCAGGGATAGATGTGCTGGGAGGGCCAGGGCTGAATGTGCCTGACAGTGCAGGCACGGGGGAGCAGGGGGAAGCTGTGGAGGAGCAGAGGAGGGCGGAGGGGATGTGGGGCGTGGGAAAGGAGGAGCAGAGTGAGGTGGAAGGAGAGCGGGGTGGGGAGGCAGGGGGTGGGGAGAGTGAGAAGGGGGAGGGGAAGGTGAAGGGGGAGAGGATGGAGAGGGATGAGGGAGGGAGAGAGGGGAATGTGGATGGGGGTGTGAGGAAAGAGAGAGGAGAGAAGAGGAAGCGGGACAAGAGGGAGAGGGGTGAGAAGAGAGAGAAACGGGAGAAGAGGGATAGAGGGGACGAGAGGGCGAAGGACAGAGGGCGAGGGGAGAAGGGAGAGAGGAGAGGCAAGGGGGAGAAGGAGAAGAGGCGTAAGGGGGAGAGGAAGGAGAAGGGGGAAGGGGTGAAGGGGAAGGGGTGACGAGCGAGAGGGGAGACAAGCCGGTGGGAAGAGGGGGAGGGGAAGATGGGGAGAGGTGGAAAGAGGGGTGAAGGAGGAGGGGGAGCGTGTGGAGGTTGAGGGTAAGAGGAGCAGCGCAGCAACAGAGGAGCCAATGGCAGCACTGCATACAGGAGACGCGCGACCAGCAGAGACAGTGAAAGCAGCGGCGCAGGGGGCAGAGGCGCAGAGAGGAGAGGCGGTTGCATTGGCTGGGGTGGTGCCTGTTGTGGCTGCTGTAGGTGACGGTGAGCAAGTGGTGGTGAAGGGAGGGATGGGGGAGAAGGAGAAGAAGGGAGAGAAGGGAGAGGTTGAGACAGAGGGGGAGGAGGTGAAGAAGGCGAAGGGGAGAGCAGGTGAGGAGGTGGTGGTGGGGAGACGAGGGGCGGCGAGGGAGGGCGAGGCGAAACAGTGGTTGAAGGCAGAGGGGGTTGAAGGGGAGGAGGAAGTGGGCAGATCAGAGAGTGGGATGATAAGGGATGGGAGGATGGGAGAGGAGATGGTGAAAGAGGAGGCATTGGAGGAGGAGAGGGTGGAGAGAGAGGAGGGGATGGTGAGAGAGGAGGGGATGGTGAGAGAGGAGGGGATGGTGTGTTGGAATGACGATGCGCTGTCTGATGTGAGTGATGATGCCGACACCGATGCTAATGCCGACACCAACGCTGATGTGGATGCTGTCGCCAGTACTGGTGCTGGTGCTGATGGCATCAGTGCTGGAGGATCTGCTGCTGCGCTCAGGGAGAAGAGGCCTGATGAGGAGAGCAGGCGTGATGGTGGTGCGGTAGGGGAGGGTATGGAGCGGTTCAAGAGCGAGCCTGAGGCTGCCAAGGGGGATGCTCTGCGCCGAGCCTCTGCTGAACCTGAACCCAGGCCTGAACCCGGGCCTGAACCTGAACCTGAATACGAACCTGAACTGGGTCTGCAGAGTGATTCTTCCAATGCTCACGATCGACTCAAGCCCACATTCTCTGATGTCACCGAACCTGGTGCCTCGGAACCTGCAGTTTCCGAGCCTAGCTTTGATGCTCCTCAGAACGTGCCTCACGTCTCCGAACCTGACACGACAGAAGTGGATGGTTACGAAGCTGCTGCTGCGACTGAAGCTATGGATATGGATGCTCTTGTGTTGAGCCGGCTCAAGCCTGCACTATCTGATGTCACCGAACCTGATGCTGCCGAGCCTGATGGATCCGAACCTGATGCTATGGATGAGATTTCCCCTCTTCATGTGCTCCCGGACTTGGAGGCAGCTTCAGCTCCAGGTTCAGCTGCATCTGCTCTAGGTTCGGCAAGCAAGGGCCTGTCCTCTCCAGGTTCGACAAGCAAGGCCTCTTTGACTCCAGGTTCGGCAACCAGACCTAGCCGAAAGGTTATGAAGGAGCAGGAGCAGGGGCGGAGGGAGCTTCAGGAAATGATGGGGGAGGAGAGTAAGGGAGAGGTGGTTTTGGATAAGAGGAAGGGAGGAGAGGAGAAGGGTGGAGAGAGAGAGGGGAGAGAGAAGGGGCGTGACCGTACAAGGGAGGAAGGGAAAGGGAAGGTGAAGAAGGAAGAGAAGAGAGAAGCAGAGAGAAGGAAGGAAGGGGAGAGAGAGGGGGAGAGAAGAAAGGAAGGGGAGAGAGAGGGATACAGGAGGGAACGAGTTCACAGAAAGAACTCGAGCTCGTCTTTTGATGTGGGGCGGGAGAAGGGAGAGGAAGAGAGGAGGGAAAAGGGAGAGGAGGGGAGGAGGGAAAAGGGAGAAGTTGGGAGGAGGGAGAAGGGAGAGGAGGGGAGGAGGGAGAAGGGAGAGGAGGGGAGGAGGGAGAAGGGAGAGGAGGGCAAAGGGAGAAGGGAGATGAGAGCAGGAGAAGCAAGGGAGAGGAGAGCAAGCGAGACAAGGGGGAGGAGGGGAAGCGAGAGGAGAGGAAGAGAGCAGAGAGTGTTGATAGGCGGGCAGGAGTGAGAGGAGGGAGGGCAGTGAGAGGAGGGAGGGCAGTGAGAGGAGGGAGGGCAGTGAGAGGAGGGAAGGGAGTGAGAGGAGGGAGGGCAGTGAGAGGAGGGAAGGGAGTAGACGGGCTGTGGAGAAGGGGAGGGGGCGGATGAGCAGTGTGGAAGGGGAGGAGGACAGTGAGGAGGGCGGGATTGGTAGGGGGAGCAGGGAGGAGAGAGGGGGGATAGGAGGGAGAGAAGCGAGGGAGGGTTCGAGTGGGTGGGAGAGGGAGAGAGAGAGGGAAAGGGAGAGTATGTTGGGAGGACGTGGATCGTGGAAGGAGGGAGAGGAGAGAGCGAGAGAGGAGAGGAGGGAGGGAGGAGAGAGAGAGCAGGAGAGGACTGGAGAGAGGGAAGGGAGGGAAGAGAAGGGATGGAAGGGAGGGACCTCAGGGAGTGGAGGGAGGGCAGGGAGGAGTGGGAAGGAAGGGACGGGAGAGACGCAAGAGAAAGCGGCCGAGACAGAGACAGCGGCAGGGAAGGCAGGGAGGGGAGAGACAGCAGAGAAGGGAGAGAAGGCAGAGAAGGGAGGCGCGAAACGGGGTTCAGCGACTGGCCGTTAGACCCGCCTCTGGATCCCGACGGCTTCCCCCTCCCCATCGACCCCATGCTGCTCCCCCGCTCTGCCGCCGCCGCCGCCGCCGCTGCTGCTTCTGCTTCGTGGCGAGACGGCCCTAGTCCCAGGCTGTCGGGAGGAGGCGCAGGAGGGGGCATGCGCAGGAGCCCTGATAGGGAGTTCTTCCTGGGGCCGGGGGGAGTAGGGGGGGCAGGGGGCGGGTGGGGTGCCGGGGGGCTTCACCCTCCCCCCCGCGGCCTCCCCCCTGGGCCAGGCAGGGCGTTTGGGGAGCAGTGGGGGGCCCTATGAGTCCCGCTGTCATGGCTGCCGCTGCTGCTGCTGGGGTGCCGGCGGGGTGGACTGGGCCGCCAATGGGGCCGCGCCACCTGGCGGCTCGCCGTGCTTCTGCTGCTGCTGCGGCGGCGGCGGCGGTGGCTGGCGGGATGGGGATGAGGGGAGGGCCGCTGGGGGGGATGGGAGGGGGAGAGGGGGCGCTGGAGGGATGGAGGAGCTAGTGGAGTTGCACAGGCGAGGGGGGGAGCATGTGGGAGGGGGAGGGCCTATTCGGGGGAGGCACAGCCTGCGGGAAGCTGCTGCGCTACGCCGCCCGGAGCATCTAGCGGCAGCTGGGTTTGGAAGAGGCGGCATGCACGAGGTTTGGCGGAGGGATGGGTGGAGGGAGGCAGGCATGAGGTTAGGCCCGGGAGGGCCCGGACCTGGGATAGGCCCGGGAATGAGGATGGGTGGTGGATTCGGAGGGTATGGGATGGGGCCTGGACCTGGGATTCCGTTTGTTGGGGGGGGGGGGGGATGTATGGGGGGGGCCCAGGTCTCCCCCGCGACCCCAGGGATCACTTCCCCCTGGAGCTGTGGAGGGGTGCCGGGGGGAGAGGGAGTGATGGGGGGAGAGCGGAGGGGAGGAGAGATTCGGATGGGGGGAGGATGGGGTGGGACGAGCCTGGGGGAAAGGAAAATGGGGTGATGGGGGGAGGGGAGAGAGGGGGGCTTGGTCCCCCCACACCCTCAGGGGGAGGTCCAGGGGGGAGAGGGGGGGTGGGGGGTTTCCAGGGGGAGGGGAAGGGGAGAGGGGGATTTCACCCATCGCCTGGAGCAGGGGAGGGGGACTGGGGAGCGATGGGGAGCGGAGGGGAAGGGAGAGGAGGGGAGAGAGGGGGGAGAGGGGAGGGACGACAGGAGGGAGGTCAGGAGGAGGGGGCAGTGAGTGGGGCTCGCCTGTAGGGGCAGGATCGAGTGGGCGGAAGCAGCAAGCAAGCGGAGAGGGAGGGGGAGGGGGCAGTGGAGGAAAGGAGATGTTACGATCTGCTAACGGACACCGCCGATAGAGCTAGCTGAGAACAAGGGTACTGGTATGGTACTCGGTGTTGGGCTGAATGATTTTACCTAAGCGTTTGGTTGGAGAGTGTATAGTTGTGCTCGTTCACAGGGGCGAGTGCCCGTCAAACCCTTTTCTGGGGCTCTGCATGGATCCAGGCTAGATTACGCTTTGCTAACCAACTCGCTGCTGTAGATTTCACCTACTTACCGTACTAAAGCCAGTCACATTCGAGAGCTGTTCAGTAATCCCATTAGGTGTATTGGTGGTGTGGTTTGAATTGTTTCAGAAGTTAACGTATTTGCGAACTCCATCCATTCGACTACATACCGTAAAGTGCCACCTATAGGACCCGGGGGACTCTCTACAAATGCTTGAAAAAGTGCTAGGGGGACCCTCTGGCGGATGCAAAATTTTAAGACCCGGGGTACACTTATTTATCAACTATCATTCTGTTCTTTAGGGTGTACGGCTTAATTCGGGGCGGGGGGGGTCTTATATTTATAACGAAAAACAGCATTCATGGGCGGATTTCGCGCGAGCGGCGCGTCAGATCTGTGTCAGAATTCGAGTCTGACACAAAAAATCGTGTCAGAATTCAAGTTTCTGTCAATAAAAGCTGACTCACAATAGCAAGTACAACTACTGTATACAGAAAAGGGGGGTCTTATGATGATTAGGGGCAGAAAGGGGGTCCTCACAAATCCTGCCCAAATAAGAGTCCCTCTGCTCCTTCAAGAGTCCCGGGGACCCTCTTACCGGCGGGTCCTATAGGTTGCACTTTACGGTACCATGTTCCCTCGGGGTATATGCCCTTAAGGAGTAGTGGGTATATCTTTCTGTTGAGTGTAGCTCTAGGATGTTTAGAGACTAGACTAGGTATAAAATATTTACATTGACAGTACCTACAAGACATCGGATTTACCCCCTAAAGCCACCCGGAAGTCCGGGTTTCGAAGTAATTTTACTCCGATAAGAAACCCCAGGATCCTACAATACTGACCTATGATGGTACCTCTAATGCATGCAACGGCAATTGGCCATCCAGGCAACCATTTCGGCGACTTGTGCTCCAATTACGACTACCGTGGACTGCAGCATTGCTTTCCGAGTTTGAAATCTGAGTGGTTAATTGATCCTGCAACACATGAGACATGAGACATGAGACATGAGACATGCGACATGAGACATGCAACATGAGACATGAGACATGAGACATGAGACATGAGACATGCGACATGAGACATGAGAGATGCAGCAGCATACCTCGGACACAAATATGCCATGGATGCCCGCTGGCACGCGCTGCGGCAGGTGGATGGTGGCGACAGGCTGTGGGGCGAGTGACCTTGCGTCCAGCACCACCACCTCTGATGCACTGCTTGGGGCAGAGCGCGGGGAATCACAGGGGGAGGCGGTGACGTGAGGGGACAAAATATTGGGGAAGGGAGGGGGGAGGAGGTGCATTCCATGACAAATGATAGTCTTGAGGCAAACAACATGGCTGGTATGCCCAATGGAGCAGCTGAGAGGCTGCAAGGCAGAGAGGCTGCAAGGCAGAGAGGCTGCTGCAAGCATGCGAGGCAGAAAAAGAAATGTGAAACCGAGGGATGAAAAAACACCACTCACTCTGTGTTGCTGTCATACACGAATGACAGCACGTAACCGTCATCCTCCTCTGCCCCAGGCTCGTCACTGCGAGGCACGAAAACAGGCTCGGAGCCGAACCTGCCAGTTCCGTACTTGAAGAGCCCTGAGATGCAGCCGCTGACAGCCGGGTGCGGTGCTGAGAGGTCTGGGGACTTGGAGAGATCGACCTTGACCACTCCACTTATGTTTTCACCCTCGAAGGTCGCGCAATACACATAGCGCTGCTTACTGCGTTGAGGTGGAGGGGGGGAGGGGGGGGGAGGGGGGAGGGGGAGGGGGGAAGAGGAGAAATGAGGGGTTAGGAGACGACAGGAGCGGAAGCAAGCACGGGGGAAGGAGGAGTGGGAGTGAGAGGGAAAGAAGGAGGCGTGTAACCTCTGAACCACTCGTTTTGTTTTTGTCACACGCATGAAATATGTTTCAAATAGTGAAGACAAAATATCCACGCAACCTATCACGACCTGACAACTTTCCATGAAGCCCTCATGGGTTCGCAGGAGATCACACATGCATGCACACGCATGCGCACGCGTGCACATGTGCACACACGTCCCGCACATACACACGTTCAAACGCATGCATCTACACACAAGCAAACACACATACACACATCAGAGACACAGGTACACACAACACATACACGGATACACACACACGCCAGTATCTCACCGGCCAGTGTAGCCCCCATGCATGCACGGAAAGTCGCAGCTGAAGGAGGTGAGCTGGCGCTGCGACGCCTTCCCCGTTGCCAGGTTGAATCGGAACTCGTAGCTGCGGAGGCGAGAGTGAGACGCATGTGTGAGGCGAGCGGGAGAGGCATGTGTGAGGCGCACATGGAAGGTGGGGAGAAGCATGGGAAGGGGGAGAGGAAGCATGAGGGTGAAGAATTGAACTGGAGGAGATGGCAAGAGCGAAGGGGAACAATCACAAAAGAGGGAAGGAGGAGTGCGAGGGAAGAAAGGTGAAAGACATGCGGCACAAATGCGCAGCTGCAATCATCCAGCCATGACGACTCATCCAGCCATCAAAAGACTCACAGCATGCCATCAAAAGACTCACAGCATGTCATCAAAAGACTCACAGCATGGGAACCTGCCCGGGCTCCGGTTCAAGGCTGGTGATGCTGTCGTAACGGCTTGCAATCAGCACCACCTCCGTCTCGCCTCCCTCCGCCTGCTCCTCCCACGCGTTGACCGTGTGGAAGATGAACAGTGGCGGCAGCTCAAACCACCGCATCTCCGCCTCACTCTCCGCGTACCGAGGCAAAACGCCGAACCTGGCCAGCCGGTCCGGGTTCCATAGGAACGGCATCTTGTTGTTGATGACCTCGCGAGGTGTGAACTCCAGCGGAAGGTCGAGAAACACGGCGTGGTTCTCCGTGATGGCGAAATCATGCATCAGTGTCGGCGCTGGGATGGAGACGCGCACGGGCGGGCCCATCTCGCCTGCTTTGGACACCACTCGGTAGGTCAGGTACCGAGCATCGGGCTCGCAGCCAAACGTAAAGAGCTCGCCGGTTACCGGGTCCACTTTGGGGTGCGCAGTGAACGGGTGTGTGAGCCGCCCGTCATAAGTCATCCTGCCTTTGGTCTCCAGGTCCCCATCGGGCTTCACTTCTATCACATACGGCGCATCGGCCTCATAAAGAGCCAGAAGCCGCCCCGCGTGGAAGACAAGAGCTGTGTTGGCCGTGCCGTTCCCCTGCGACCTGTCTAGCACCCCCAGCCAGCACCGCAGCTGCTCCAAGAGGAGTCTGCCCAGCCCGGCGTACCCCACCAGGTCGCTGAGTTTGAGGAACATGGCGCGCTGGTGGGCGTCTTCCTGTGTGAAGCGGCTGGTGCGCACGTAGCGGTTGACGTAGCTGGCTTTGCCGTGCTTCATGCGCACGCTGTGCAGCATGCTGGGAGGGCGGGGAGAGGGGGAGGGGAGCAGGTGGAGGAGGGGGAAACCAGGGGGGAGCGATTGAGAAGGCAGAAGAAAGCCAGGAGGAAGCGACTGAGAAGGCAGGGGGAAACCAAGGGGGCGTGCGCGTCCGTGTGCACGCAGTGGTACGCACCCGTCACCGTCGAAGAGGTGGTAGTTGAAGGTGGGCGTGAACCTGGGGTTGGGACCGTTGCGCAGCAGCACACCGTTCAAACACTCCTGTGGGTGGGGGGCACAGCAGCACCACAGGGAGACATGGCCGAGCGGGGTGGCGAGGTGAGGGTTATGTGGGAGGTGGGGTGGTGTACTAGCACGATGCATAATGGGGAAGCGACAATTCAGCTGAGAGGTACGAACGACTGATAGCAGGGTAACGCTGCCTACTCCATCGCATGAAGGGATATGTAACACGAACCCTAAACCCGATCCCAAAACCCTTACTGGCAGATGGCCGGTGATGGGGAGGTCAGTGATTGGCCCATTTTCGTTCTCCACAGGGGCAAAGCTCCCCTCAAGGAATGTCCTGCTGGGCGGCGCTTTGACCGTTGCATTGAGCCATCGCTCAATGGCGTTGCACAGCTTGCTCGCAACACTCTCATGTGCCGCTTTCGGCTGCACATGCGACGGCGCTGTTGACTGCTGCTCGTTGGTGTCCCAGTCCCAGGGGGTCGCCATGATGTCGTGGCTGGTCTTGTGAGGAGATTCGAGCACCTGGGGGTGAGGTGAATCAAGTCAGAGAATCAAGTTATCCACGGTAAAGGAGCGCCATAGATTCCCGGATTTTGACTATAAACGGATTTAGAATAATAATAATAATAATAATAATAATAGTAATAATAATAATAATAGTAATAGTAATAATAATAATAATAATAATAATAATAATAATAATAATAATAATAATAATAATAATAATAATAATAATAATAATAATAATAATAATAATAATAATAATAATAATAATAATAATAATAATAATAATAATAATAGGGTCGGGTCCAAACTCACGGTGTGCAAAGAGGGAGAAGTCGAGTCGCAGAGAGGCCCGGCCACGGCGGTCATGGCGGCAGCCGGCTCGGCGCCGCGCGACCGCCTTGACACGGCCGGCTTCCCGTGGGCACGGGAAGAAGCCGCCTTGTTGCGATCCGAACCATCACTGATGACAGACTTGGTGGCAGCGCAACGAGTGCGAGTGGAGGCACGGGAATTGAAGGCACGGGAATTGGAGGCACGGGAATAGGATGCAGGGAACTGGAGATTGCCACTGGTAGAAGGCCGACCGAGGAACTGGCTGGTGAAGGTGGTGGCGATTCCGGTGGTCATAATACAGCACGCGGGATAAAACGTCTGACGGTTGTGAGCTAGCACTAGGTGAAGTCGAGGGAGCAACAAAATACAGCACGGGGGATAACACGTCGGAGGGTTGTGAGCTAGTAGCTGAATGGAGTCTACAATAAGCGCTTCTTTGAAGGTTGGCGCTGTTCGCGTACTTAAGGAAGACCCGAATTACTGGGTCCATTATTACTGGGTATTTAAAAAGGCTCGCGTAGTACGTGCAGAACACGGGGCGAGACTAGGATCGACGGGGAAAAGGAAGCGTGTGAGTTATTCTAGAGCGAAGTCTTTAGAAATCCGCCTACGGCGAAGAGTAGAGGCTACGGCGTGAGAAGTGGGAGAGGAATGAAGAAATGTGAGGAGAACAGAAAGGAGAAATGAAGTATCGGGGGAGGGGGGAAAATCGTGGTTCGAGCTGAAGGCGTGTATGCGAAAGTCCTAGATTCGGACTTGAGGAGCGACTTCGCGAACTGTATAGAATTCGCACACTCTTCAAGTCCGAGGAGTACCTTCGCGAACTCATGCGAAGGTACTATTTCGACGATAGTTCGCGAACAATAGAACTGGCGCGTACGAGGCCAATTCTATTGAGCAAGCCCTTCCCCGTTATACGTTTCTGCCTGCGGGGTCGAGGCCCGGTGGGAGCGAGATAGGCGTGTAGTGAACGAAACGAACCAGTCCGTTAGGGCGTGTAACATTGCGATGACCAAACCCGAAATCCGACCATTTGGTCATGTTGGGCGACATGCGAGGGAAGTGGTAATAAACACCTGGGGCGTCCTCTGTAGATTTTCAATGACCATGGTCGATTTAGGGGCACCCACCCTCAACTACCCCCGTATTAATAATTTATAGGTCTAATCTAAAATACAGTATTCGAACAGGAGTGGATGATACGAGGCACGAGGTTGGTAGTGTTTAGCAACCTCATAGGCCTTCGCGAGACAAATTTCGGGGACTGCCACGTAATGCTACCTGCGGTTGCCTCCCCAATTTTAATTCTGCGGGTGACAATCACGGCGGGGATGTTTTCGTGACTAAACTGGTCGTACGTACGGTCGCTTGGTTTGGGCGTTTGCTGAATCGGTCGTTATCGTGGTCATTTGGCGGGAAAATCTCGCATCCCTCGCCATCGTGTTACTCCCTTCGCATTCGCACGCCCCAACCAAATGGTCGGATTTTGGGTTTGGTCATCGCAATGTTACACGCCCTTACGGTTGCTGGAAGGAAGCGAGTTTCCTCCAGCGTCATGTGTAGTTTGGCGAGAAATTCTTCCCCCCTCGGGGCATGAGCAGTTTCGCAAATATTTTTTTGCCAGGTTTTGACTCCACTGCATCCCGCCCCACGAACAGTGACGAAAACACGAAGCTGAATTTGGAATTTAAGAAATCGTCTGACGCCACTTGGCATCTTCCCGCCAAGCGTTCCAGGCGACTGTCAGATTCAAAAGCGACCTACTTCCAGGGTTACATTTTCAAGTGTGACTTCAAGGGCTGTGCAGCTAGTGTCGAGGTCCTGCGTAACAACAAGAGGCATGGCAACGAGGTTGGAACTCCCAAACCAAAACTACCAAAATACGGTGTCAAAGAACCCTGGATCTCGTGTTTTTTGGTCTCGCATTCCCTCCCTACGTCCTGCTCACGAACTCCTGCCTCCCTCACAGAGCTTTTGTAATTCGGTCATCTTGTCGCTAGGTCGAACCTCTCGACCCAGAGTGTCGCTGGTTCCCTTGCTTCGTCGCGTCTTGCCGTGAGGGTCATTCCGGGGTCGGCCTCGATCCACCTGCAGAATTCTTTTCTCGATCAGTCAGTCGTTCGCACGGCTCCGTTAACATTTCCTCGTTTCGACGCGTAGCCGAAGCCTCTTAAAGTGTCGAGATCTTATAACGAGGACATGGCGGCGGCGGATGCAGTAGCGGAGGCTGTGAGCGGGCTTTGGCCGCTCAACGAGGGCTCGCGAGCGAAGATCGTGGATCGCATCAGCACCAACCTCGTCAGCATATGCTTCTCTAAGGACAAGGTCCGAGCGACGGCTGTGCGACGGGTGTGCGACAATGTGTGCGACGAGGTGCGATATGCTGCAGTGCAGATCGGGTCAAACGAGCCGTCGCTGCATTCGCAAGAAGGCCTTCCTTGGGCGATCAGACGGAATATGACGCGCCTCAGACGTCGTCTCGTCACAAGAAGACCTTCTCTCATTGGCCACGCCGATTCCTCCGTGTCCTACCGTTTCGGTCAATTAGTCCCGCCCTCTCCCCGATTCTGCAAGCGCTGGTCTGCCTTCTCGTTCGCTTCGTTGATAGTTCTCACGTGTCCTGAGCAAATTCGACTTCGCATTTCGGCCGGTCCGTGCTGCTTCGGTTTCTTTCATTTTTGAATCCTAACGGGCAACGGTTGACGACGGGACGACGGGTTAGCTGCAAGTTTGCGCAAGAAAACCAGCTTTCAAGTTAGCACACGCTCCCCCTGATCTTCTATGCCTAACCTCGTAAACTCTCCCCAACGCGTAACTCTTTCCTCCCCCTTCCCGCGTCCCCTCCCCACCGCTGCTCGCACGAGCAGCGCTCCCGGTGGACAATGGTGTGGCGCGCGGCCTGGCAGAGGATGGACACGGACGTATCACGAGTTGGTTTTGAGAATTCTTAAAAACCAATTAATTTGGCGGAGGTGCGACACGGAGGGCATCATAATCTACGCGTGGCTCCCGCAACTCGTGATCTAGGCGTGGCACGCCTGTCTCACCTTCCCGCAACCTCCCTTTCTCTTCCTCCCCTTCACTCTCCCCCTTAGCCCTCCCCCTCCCTTCGCGTCCCTTCCCTCCTCCCACCGAATCCTCCTCCCTTCCGTCTCCTTTCCCTCCCACCGATCCCAGTCGCAGCGCGTGGACGACGGCGTGGCGCGCAGCGTGGCGGAAAGCATCGAGGCGGAGGCGTCACGACCCGTGCGTGGCGCGCCAGTGTCTCCCTTCTCCCTCCTCACTCCTCCCCTCTTCCCTTCCCTCCCCACCCACAATCCCCCGATCCCAGTCGTAGCGCGTGGACGACGGCGTGGCGCGCAGCCTGGCGGAGAGCATCAAGGCGGAGGCGTCACGACCCGCGCGCGGTGCCTCCATTCACCCCGCTCACTCATCCCACCCTCTCCCCCTCCCCACCCCGATCCCAGGCGCAGCGCGTGGACGATGGGGTCGCGCGCAGCCTGGCGGAGAGCATCGAGGCGGAGGCGTTCGCGGCGACGCAGGCGCGCGCGCAGGAGGGGGGCGCGGCGGTGAAGGGCAGCGCGCTGGTGATGATGTACGCGCGGCACGCCAGTGAGCTCATGGTGGATGCTTTCAAGAAGGAGCGCAAGAAAGGGGGAGCTGCGGAGGAGGTGGTTGAAGAGGTGAGTCTCGGTTGGGATTGGTGTGTGGGGATTAGGGTGGGGGACCGCTGGTGATGATGTACGCGCGGCACGCCAGCAAGCTCATGGTGGACGCGTTCAAGAAGGAACGCAAGAGAAGGGGAGAGGGCGCAGCTGTGGAGGAGGGCGTTGAGGAGGTGAGCTGAGCGGCTAAATGTGGTAGAGGGAGTGAGAGTGGGAATTGGCGGTTCTTGTGAGGGGGTTTCGGAGGTGAGTGTGATTGCCGCTGGTGAGTGTGGTTGCGGCTGGTGAGTGTGGTTGCGGCGGGTGAGTGTGGTTGCGGCGGGTGAGTGTGGTTGCGGCGGGTGAGTGTGGTTGCGGCGGGTGAGTGTGGTTGCGGCGGGTGAGTGTGGTTGCGGCTGGTGAGTGTGGTTGCGGTGGGTGAGTGTGGTTGCGGTGGGTGTGCTGTTTCTAATGTCACTCAACGACTTTGTCCCTGCTGCATCTGTTCTGTTCCTGCCTTGGACTGCCTTGGACTGCCTTGGACTGCCTTGGACTGCCTTGGACTGCCCTGGACTGCCCTGGACTGCCTTGGACTGCCTTGGACTGCCTTGGACTGCCCTGGACTGCCTTGGATTGCCCTGGACTGCCTTGGACTGCCCTGGACTGCCTTGGACTGCCTTGGACTGCCTTGGACTGCCTTGGACTGCCCTGGACTGCCTTGGACTGCCCTGGACTGCCTTGGACTGCCCTGGACTGCCTTGGACTGCCTTGGACTGCCTTGGACTGCCTTGGACTGCCTTGGACTGCCTTGGACTGCCCTGGACTGCCCCGCCTTAAACTGGTTTCTTGTTGGCAGTTTGACATCTCTGGCGGCAAGAGGGAGGCCTTGAGCAAGGAAGCAGCGGAGAAGCTTCTCGCCCCCCTGCTCAAGCCCAACAACGGCTGCAAGAAGGTGCCTCTTCCGACCCTCTGAACACCTGCTCACCGCACACTACCTCTTATACCCGTGCTTGCTATACCCATGCCTGTCACGCCCATACCCGCTACACCCGTAACCACTGAGCTACTACACCAATACTCCCCCACCCCCATGTTACCTTGCTTGACAATGCACATGTACTCATGTTACCCATGTCGTCCTGTTACCTTGTTACCCATGCTACAATGTCATAATGTTACATTGTTACCCTGTTACAGTGTCTTCCCGGTACCCTGTTATCCTGTCGTTACCCATATCTACCCTGTAACTCTTACCGGTATCCCTGTAACCCTGTAACTCTGTAACCCTGTAACAGGTGAAGCTCAACAGCAAGGCGTTCACGCTGGAGGCTGCTGAGGTGGCGCACCAGGCGCTGACCAACGCGCGGGACACGCTGACGCATGCTGACCTCAGTGACATCATTGCCAGCCTACCGGTGGGTGGGAGGAAGGGATTGGGGGGGGGAAGGTGGAGAAGGGCGAGGGAGAGGGGAAAGGGGGAGGAGGGCGAGGGAAGGGTGAGGGTGAAGTGAAAGGGAGGGGGAAGGGGAAAGGGAGGGGAGGGGGAGGGGGAGGGGGAGGGGGAGGGGGAGGGGGAGGGGGAGGGGGAAGGGGAGAGGGAGGGGGAGGGGGAGGGGGAGAGGGCCAGTTGGGTGTGGGAGTGTGACGTGTGTTGGGCGAGCAGCAACTGAAGGATGCGGCCCTTCAAGTGCTGTGCGCCTGTGCCCATGCCTGTGCCCATGCCTGTACCCATGCCTGTGCCCATGCCTGTGCCCATGCCTGTGCCCATGCCTGTGCCCATGCCTGTGCCTATGCCTGTGCCCATGCCTTTGCCCATGCCTGTGCCCATGCCTGTGCCCATGCCTGTGCGTGTTCACACGTGTGCCTGTGCGCCCGTGTCCATGCCTGTACCCCATGCCCATGCCATGCCTGTGCCCATGCCCATGCCATACCTGTGCCTGTCCCCATGCTCATACCCTATGCCCGTTCTCGTGTGCCTATGCCCGTTCTCGTGTGCCTATGCCCCTTCTCGTGTGCCTATGCCCCTTCTCGTGTGCCTATGCCCCTTCTCGTGTGCCTATGCCCGTTCTCGTGTGCCTATGCCCCTTCTCGTGTGCCTATGCCCGTTCTCGTGTGCCTATGCCCGTTCTCGTGTGCCTATGCCCGTTCTCGTGTGCCTGTGCCCGTTCTCGTGTGCCTATGCCCGTTCTCGTGTGCCTATGCCCGTTCTCGTGTGCCTATGCCCATTCTCGTGTGCCTATGCCCGTTCTCGTGTGCCTATGCCCATTCTCGTGTGCCTATGCCCGTTCTCGTGTGCCTGTGCGCGTGTGATTGTCTAACAGGAGGAGGAGGCACTGCAGGTGATCACGAGGGTCACATCGGCGCTGGAGGGGTGCAAGCTCGAGTCACTCAACCTCTCAGACAACGCGTTTGGGGAGAAGGGTGTTCGAGCTGCTGCTGTCGCGCTCACCTCTCAGGTGCCACCTGCTGCTCTCTCCGTCCCGCCTCCTGTTCCTCTCACCTCCTCTCCCGAGGATTTTCTTTCAGCCCACTCTTCTCTGCGCCACCTCTCTGTCCTCCTGCCATGAGGCTACTTTCTTGGCGCCTCAAAGCCGTCGTTCCCCGGACCCCTCCCTCCCACCCTTCGCTCCCACCCTACGCTTTCCCTCTCACCCTTGCTTACGCCACCTCAAGGACCTTCCGCAACCAGATTCGTTCTTCCCGTCACATCACATCACATCACATCACATCACATCACATCACATCACATGCTGCCCTTTCTCTCTAGCCTGCACCCGTGCCTGCGCCATCTCTACTTGAGCAACAACGGCATCTCCAAGGAGGCAGCAGCAGCCAGCAAGAGTCTCCTTTTCTCGCACTCGTCCAACCCCTGACTCCCACTGTCCCAACCCTCTATCTTTCCTCCTCTCTTCCCTTTCTTCTCCACGCCCCCACCCAGCCATGTCTGTGCCACCTCTACTTGTGTGCCACCTCTACTTGTGCAACAACGGTATCTCCAAGGAATCAGCAGCATATCATTTCCTCTTGCACTCGCCTACTTTTTGAGAATTCTTAAAAATGCACTCGCCTACTTTTTGAGAATTCTTAAAAATGCACTCGCCTACTTTTTGAGAATTCTTAAAAATGCACTCGCCTACTTTTGAGAATTCTTAAAAATGCACTCGCCTACTTTTTGAGAATTCTTAAAAATGCACTCGCCTACTTTTTGAGAATTCTTAAAAATGCACTCGCCTACTTTTTGAGAATTCTTAAAAATGCACTCGCCTACGTTTTGAGAATTCTTAAAAATGCACTCGCCTACTTTTTGAGAATTCTTAAAAATGCACTCGCCTACGTTTTGAGAATTCTTAAAAATGCACTCGCCTACTCCCTCACTCCCACTCATTCCCCTCCCTTCATCCCACCTCGTCCCTCGCCCTCTAGCCATCCCCACGCCACCTCTACTTGTGCATCAACGGCAACGGCATCAGCAGCCATCAAGAGCTCATTTGTCCTCCTTTTCTTTCTCCTTTCCTCCGTCCCTTTCCTTCCCCTCCCCCAATTCCGTCCTCCAGCCATCCCTGCGCCACCTCTATTTCTGCAACAACGGCATCAGCAAGGAGGCAGCGGCGGCCATCAGGGAGCTGCTTCCTGCCCAGGCTGTGGCGTCTCTTGAGACTCTCCATTTCTTCAACAACATGTCAGGTGAGCCTCTCTCTTAGGCTGCTGGGACGTGGGAGGTGGGAGGTGGGAGTTGGGGGGTGCGACACACGTCCGTCCTGGTTTTGCTGTCGCATTGGCGTCCCCGGAGACGCTGCACTGCACTTGTTCAGCAACATGTCGGGTAAGCCTCTTCGGCTGTTGGGAGGTGGGAGGTGGGAGGTGGGAGGTGGGAGGTGGGGGATGTGAAGCGCCTCCGTCCTAGTTTCGCTGTCCCTAACCCTAAACCCGGCGACGCTACACTTGTTCAGCAACATGTCGGGTGAGCCCCACCTCTTTGGCGCCCCACCTATTTGGCGCCCCACCTCTTTGGCGCCCCACCACTGCAATTTATTTCAGTGTTCCACCATACCCACCACCATACCCACCGCCATACCCATTGCCGCCACCACATGCAGGTGATCCGGGGGCAGCTATTCTGGCAGATGTGGTGAGGGAGGCGAGGGGGCTCAAGGACCTTCGATTCGCGTCCACTCGCGTGGGGACAGATGGCGCTAGGGCACTGGCGGACGCCATTGCTGCCAGTGAGTCCCATGCGCCCCTGCAGGTTCAAAGTCACTCTCATTTGTGTCACCCTGGTGTCACCCTGGTGTCACCCTGGTGTCACCCTGGTGTCACCCTGGTGTCACTCTGTTGTGCTGCTGTGCCCCTGCTTTGTGCTGTGGTGTTCACTTTCTCGCTTCCCTTTCGCTCCCCTTCCCCATCCCATGTGTCAGGCTCCACCCTGGACCGCCTAGACCTGAGAGACAACATGATTGGCCGCGACAAGTGTGCGACACTGAGAGCGTTTTGAGGCGCCCCAATAATCTCAAGGCATGTCGCGGTGTGCTGCTGCAATGCTGCTCTGTGCTGTTCACTGTCCCCCCTTTCTCCTTGCTCCCTTCCCGTCCTCCAGACTCGACCCTGGAGCGCCTGGACCTGAGAGACAACATGTTCGGCCCCGAGGGGGGCGCTGCTTTGGCATCGGCCCTGCAGCACCACCCCAACCTGAAGCAGCTCATGCTGGGGGACACTGGTGAGCGGCAGTGTGGGGATTATACTTGTAGGGACACTGTAGGGCAGTGTGGGGCAGTGTGGGGCAGTGTGGGGCAGTGTGGGGCAGTGTGGGGCAGTGTGGGGCAGTGTGGGGCGGTGTGGGGCGGTGTGGGGCGGTGTGGGGTCGTTGATCCAGTTTCGAGGAAGCGGGTGATGAGGGTGATGAGGGTGATGAGGGTGGTTGTCATCAACTGACACTTCCCCTTCACTGCTGCATGCATGCCCTCCCAACCTCGTCTCCCACTCTAAGCCCCTCCCGCTCTAAGCCCCTCCCGCTTTTAGCTCCTCCCGCCCACCATGCTGCCCCTTCCCCGACACACCTCGCCCTTTCTCCCTCTCTCTCCCTCTCTCTCCCTCGCTCTCCCTTCCCCCTTCTTCCTTCTCCCCCACTCTCCCCCCACATCCTCTCTCCCCACCACCAGCGCTGGAGCCTCTCCGCTTTTCTGACCCCACTTCCTCTTCCCATCCCCCCTCCCCCGTCCTCCTCTCCCCGCCCACCATCCCTTCCCCCACCCCCCCCCCCGTTTTTCCTCTCCCCGCCCACCAGTGCTGGGCCCAGCTCCTGGACAGGCTATCCGCTTCCCTGTTCCCACTCCTGCCCGTCTTCCCCCTTCTTCCTTCTTCCCCCGTGCTCCTCCCTCCCCCGCCCACCAACGCTGGGCGATGACGGGGTGGCGGAGCTCTTGGGAGCCCCTCCGCTTCCCTGTTCCTACTTCCCCTGTCCATCCCTCCCCCTCTCTCTCTCCCCCATCCCTCGCCCCCTCTCTCTCCCCACCATCCCTCCCCCCCACCCCCCCCCGCCCACCAGCGCTAGGCGATGACGGGGTGGCGGAGCTCCTGGACAGCCTCGCCCAGTCCACTCCCCAACTCGAGGTGCGCTGGTAGGGGGTAGCGGGGGAAGGGGGGAGGGAAGGGGGGAGGGAAGGGGGGAGGGAGGAGGGGAGAAAGAAGAGGGTGGACTAGCTCTTGGGATGCCGCAGCAGCCTCTCCCAGTCTACCCCCCAACTCGAGGGGCGCTGGTAGAGGCACGGGGGTACTGGGGGAGGGTGATGAGATGAATGGGGGGTGGAGCGTTGAAGGGAGAGGGGAGAGGGTGGGCTAGCTGGAGGGGCGGTGGTAGAGGGAAGGGGGGTACTGGGGGAGGGTGCAGGGTGGGTGGTGGAGGGTGGAAGGGGGAAGGGAGAGGGGAGAGGAGAGGGAGAGGCGGTGCGGTGCGGCAGCCTCGCCGAGTCAACTTTCCAACTCGAGGTGCGTAGGTAGAGGGTAGCGGTGGGGGGGTGGAGAGGGGAAGGGGAGAGGGGGGATGAGGGAGAGGGGAGCGGGGAGGTTGAAAGGGTCGAGGTGTGTTCCTCTCTTCACCGTTCCCTTGTTTCCTCCCTTCACTGTCCCCTTGTTTCCTCCCTTGTTTGCTCTCTTGTTTCCTCCCTTGTTTCCTCCCTTGTTTGCTCTCTTGTTTCCTCCCTTGTTTCCTCCCTTGTTTCCTCCCTTGTTTGCTCCCTTGTTTGCTCCCTCTTTTGCTCCCTTGTTTGCTCCCCACCCCCTCTGCTCCGTCCACCAGGTGTTACAGCGGGGCGGGTGGCAAAGAGGAGGGAGCGGGGCGGGTGGCGGGTGACCCCTTCCTCACCTCCCCCACCTCCTCCACCTCCCCCACCTCCCCCACCTCCCCCAACTCCCCCACCTCCCCCACCCCACCAGGTGTCGGAGCCAGGGGGTAACGAGCTGTTGGAGGAGGCAGCAGGGCGGGTAAATTTGCTCAAAGTGTGATAAAACGTTTTGCCGTCGCCACCCCACCTCATCCTTGCCCCTCCACCTCACCCTTGCCCCTCCACCCCACCCTTGCCCCTCCACCCCACCCTTGCGCACCGTACCCCTTCCACCAGGTGTTGGAGCTGGGCGGCAACGAGCTGTCGGAGGAGGGCGCGGGGCGCGTGGCGGAGAGCCTCAAGCCGTTCAGTGCGCTGAGAAAGCTGGTGATGTGCGACAATGAGATGGGGGATGCTGGAGTCGAGACGCTGGTGGCCATTATTCCAGATCACTTGCGGTGAGTGTCTTGGGGTTGACTCAAGCAGCCTTAGGGTTGACTCAAGCAGCCTTAGGGTTGACTCAAGCAGCCTTAGGGTTGACTCAAGCAGCCTTAGGGTTGACTCAAGCAGCCTTAGGGTTGACTCAAGCAGCCTTAGGGTTGACTCAAGCAGCCTTAGGGTTGACTCAAGCAGCCTTAGGGTTGACTCAAGCAGCCTTAGGGTTGACTCAAGCAGCCTTAGGGTTGACTCAAGCAGCCTTAGGGTTGACTCAAGCAGCCTTAGGGTTGACTTAAACAGCCTTAGGGTTGACTCAAGCAGCCTTAGGGTTGACTTAAACAGCCTTAGGGTTGACTCAAGCAGCCTTAGGGTTGACTCAAGCAGCCTTAGGGTTGACTCAAGAGGCAGTGGTGAGGAAGCTGGTGCTGTGCAGCAGTGAGATGGGCGACGCTGGGGTGACCACGCTTGTGGCCATTATTCCGGACCACCTGCGGTGAGTGCCTTAGGGTTGACTCCAGAGGCAGTGTGCCTTAGGGTTGACTCAAGCAGCCTTAGGGTTGACTCCAGAGGTAGTGTTGACGGAGCTTGTGGTGTGCAACAATGAGATGGGCAATGCTGGGGTGACGACTCCTGTGGCCGTCATTCCCGACCACCTGGTGTGAGTGCTGCTGCTGCTGGCTCTAGAATCGACCCATGTACCGTTCGGGTTGACTCTGAAGCCTGTACTGGGCGTGGTGCTGTGGGGCAATGAGATGGGCGATGCTGATGAGGACACCCTTGTGGCAAGCATGCCCCTGTCTTGAGCGCTGCTGCCCTGCCAGTGGCTCTTGGGTTGACGCAGACGATCCCTGCTTCTTATTGCTCCTCCTCTTCAGCTATTGTTCTTTTAACTGATGCTTTCTGGTTTTTATCACCGCCCCTGGTCACTTATCCCGCTTCACCCGATGCAAGGTGGTTCTCGCATTTGTCTCTCTTGGACATGTTGTTGCCTCACATCAGTTCTCTCCCTTGTCATGGCGTCAGGTCGCTGGAAGAACTGGATCTCTGCTTAAGCAAGGTGCTTCACACATGTGCCCCTCTTGGACATTTCGTCGCCTCACATCATTTCTCCCTTTTCCTTCTCTCAGGTCCCTGGAAGAGCTGGATCTCTCCACCAATGATTTCGGCCGAAAGGGTGCGGAAGCTGCTGCCCGGGCAGTCAAAGATTTGGAGTCGTTCAAGCTGCTCACCATCAATGGCAACCACATCTCCGCTGATGGAATCCGGGCAGTTAAAGAAATTCTGGGCGTTCCAATCGAGGATGGGGAGGAGATGGATGGTGGCAAGGGTGTTTTGGGACCGTTGGATGAAAATGATGAGGATGGGGAAGAGGATGAAGATTAGAAGCGAATACAAGAGAAGGCAGGCCGCGTTTGGTTTGGTACAATATCACGATCCACCTAAGATCAAGGAGAGGATGTCTTTTTGGCTAACATATCGATTGACCGCTCCGCCAATCTCATTGTTTGTATCTCAAAGTAGCAAACAACATCCCCCTTCCCCTTGCCCAACACATGATCCAGAATAAGCTGCACAGGTTGATCGTAAGTTCAACCCTAAGCAGTTAAGGTATGTTTGAGGGTGTGGTATTGCATTTAAAAATAATTTACTGGTAACAGGAAAGAAAGGCTTGGGAGTTCTGTGTATATCCTCCTCAACTGTACTCGGGACACCACCACGCGACACTGCACAACAACGCCCTACTACCCTTCATCCTTCACCCCCGAAACCCCCATTCCCCCTTCCCCCTCGCGACTGCACCACATCCCTCGCCCGAAACATCACCTGGCCCAATGGAGGTACGTACCGCATAACACGTCCTCATCAGGTTTCGATTCTCATCAAGCAACTCTTGCCTAGTCCGCTGCGTTAACGGTGTACTGAACGCATTAGCTACTGTACAAAACAAAATATCTGCATCATAAGTTGTAGCCGTCAATATCCTCTTCCTGCCGCCCACTGTGAGAGGAAAATGCCTCGCGCTGCGTGGGGGGATGCGTACAGTAGTCGGCTAGCCGTGCCGTCCAACTGCTAGCAGCGCAAATTCCCCTTGCTCCATGAATCCAAGGAATCCACGATCACCCAACAGTGCTCACATATGCTGCACAGTCAAGACAAAACGACGACGCGTGTTTTTACTCGGCAGTCGGAGTAGGCGGAGAAGCAAGCCCATTGACATGTCCTGAAACACTCGCATGACTCTGCCTGTTACTCGCACCCGCCTTGGAGCAAGGAAAGAAAGGAACAAGACTCGACGTTTATCGTCGTATGGGTTGCGTAGATGTTACATTCATATTTCACAAAACATGAGAACAAGCAATTTAATGTATTTATATAGCACTAAGTTTAGTTTTGATGTGATAATGAATACGACAAGCTAATTCTTATGATTGCCTTTCTAAACGTCGGGTGAAATTATTATTGTGTTTATTAAGTATTGAATATAATTAGTGAACAATGTTATATGTTTTCAAAATGATATTTTGTAGCAATGATATGTTATGAGGTTCTTGCTCCAGCAAGTATGTGTTTCCAGCTCACACAAAATTCACGTGATAATGTGTGTGTTCTCACGTGCCACCAGCGTTTGGTTTATTTTTTCCAAGTGCCCAGGTCCTGTGCTGGCTCAGATTGCCCCGTCGTTTTCGGGCTTTTTGTATATGAATTGTTTCATGCGTCGTCCTTTTCTGGCAGGCGCGCAAATTCTGTTCAGTGTTTTCGTTTTGCCCCATCGTCTTTTTCGTGTTGTGATTCATGCCTCCTCCCTTCCCCCAGATTGGTTACTGTAGTTTCTTGTTTGCCGATCCCTCCCTCCCTCCCGTCATCACTTCTCCTCCCCTACCCACCACCTGTTGCCTCACCCTCCCATCCCACCCACCTCGTCATCGGCTCTCCCTCCCACCTTCCCATCGCTGCTCCCTTCCACCCCGCTATCCACTTTCCATTCCACCTCGCCATCCCCTCTCCCTCCCACCCGCTGTCGCCGCTCCCTCCCTCCCGCCGTCGCCTCTCCGTTCCTCCCGCCGTCGCCTCTCCCTCCTCCCCGCCGTCGCCGCTCCCTCCCTCCCGCCGTCGCCGCTCCCTCCCTCCCGCCGTCGCCTCTCCGTTCCTCCCGCCGTCGCCTCTCCGTTCCTCCCGCCGTCGCCTCTCCCTCCTCCCCGCCGTCGCCTCTCCCTCCTCCCCGCCGTCGCCGCTCCCTCCCTCCCGCCGTCGCGTCTCTGTTTCTCCCGCCGTCGCCTCTCCCTCCTCCCCGCCGTCGCTTCTCGCTCCTCCCGCCGTCGCCTCTCCCTCTTCCCCGCCGTCGCCTCTCCCTCCCTCCCGCCGTCGCCTCTCCCTCCCTCCCACCTTCGCCTCTCCCTCCTCCCCGCCATCGCCGCTCCCTCCCTCCCGCCGTCGCCTCTCCGTTCCTCCCGCCGTCGCCTCTCCCTCCTCCCCGCCGTCGCCTCTCCCTCCTCTCCGCCGTCGCCTCTCACTCCTCCCCGCCGTCGCCCCTCCCTCCTACCCCGTAGTCGCCTCCGGCGACAAGTGCACGGGCGCAACCGCGAGTTGGTGCGCGAGCGCGGATTGGTGCGCGAGCGCGGGTTGTTTTCTGAGTTACCGTGGTAAATCTGGTGCGTTCCCGGTCCTTTCTTCCTCCCTCCTCCCTCTGAAATTCTTTGTTTATTCTTCTTCATTTGTTTTTGTTTGTTTTTGCTCTCCTCGTAATTATTGTGTGTCGATTGGTCTTCTCTTGTGTAGCTCTCTTCGTCAAGAAAGGGAGGGACGCGGAGCGCGAGGGAGAGCGTGTGCACTGGAGCGCACGCATAGGAAAGTACGTGTAGGAGTGAGCTTGAGAGAGCGCGTGAGAGAGCGCGTGAGAGAGCGCGTGAGAGAGCGCGTGAGAGAGCGCGTGAGGGAGCGCGTGACAGTGCGTGTTAGAGCCCGTGAGAGCGAGCGCGCCTGAGAGAGCGTGCGAGGGAGCGCATGAGTGAGAGTGCGCGTGAGAGTGCGAATGAGAGGTTGCGTGAGGGAGCACGTGAGGGAGCGCGTGAGGGAGCGCGTGAGAGCGCGTGAGGGAGCGCGTGGACAGTGTGTGAGAGAGTGCGCGAGAGAGCGCGTGAGAGTGCGCAAGAGAGAGCCCGCAAGAGTGTGTGCAAAAGAGCGCGTGGGAGAGTGTGCGCGAGAGGCCGCGCGAATTTGCGCATGAGGGAGCGCGTGAGAAAACACGGGAGCTTGCGCGTGAATTTCTGTTGCGCTTACTTTGTTTTTTAGTGCATCAAGGAAGCTGCATTCTCTGATTTTGTTTTCTTGTGCAACTAATGCAAGTTGTATTCTCTGATTTTGTTCTTGTTTGTGCAGGGAGTGAGTTGCATTCGCTGATTTTTCTTTCCTGTGCAGGGAGTTCAAGCTGCAGCCTTTGTTTCTTGCGGAGAAAAGGGATGGGAAGAAGGGAGATGAGGAAAATGAGGGAGGGAGGGAGGGAGGGGAATGGGGGACAGGATAGTGATAATTTATACAATGCTGAAATTCATTCATTATGCTTGCATGCTTATTACAGTAGCTGTATGTTTTTGTGTTGTGTGTGTATGTATATGTGTGAGCCTATATGTGTGTGAGTGCATGCATGTGCATACGTGTGTTGTGCGTGCTTCGGGTGTGGTGCTAAGTGCCTCGTGAATGCAACTCGGATTGTGATCGTCGGTGGGGCAGCTTTGCTAGCCTCTTCCGTACCATATCAATCTTAGTTGCAGCACTGATGCATTTAGCATTCACTTTGAAACATTCTTCAACGTTGTCTTCTGTTTTTGTAATCATTTATGTGTTATCGTCTGTGCTTGTTTCGGGGGTGTGGTGCTAAGTGTCTCGTGTATGCAACTGGGATTGTGATCGTCGGTGGGGCAGCTTTGCTCGCCTCTTCCGTACCATATCAGTCTCAGTTGTTGCATTGATGCATTTAGTATTCCCTTCAAAACATGTACGACGGTTTTTGTACACCATCGTTTTTGTGATCATTGGTGTGTGTGTGTCTCTTGGTGGTATGTAGCAATTTTTTTTATTTGTGTTGTCCTTTGTGTTCGTGTGTCATTAGGTATCACCTTTAGTGCTAGAACAATTCTCCAATTGTTCCATTCGCCGTACTTATCGACGATTATGGAATGTTTGGAAACATTTGTTATCATTTTTTTGGGGAAGCTATATGAACAGTGATTTCTTTCAAAATTATAAGAGAAATTCACTGTTCACATCAGCCAACCGAAAAGTGAAAACGAATGTATAAGGTTGCTACGCAACCCAAAAATCACAATGAAGTGCTTACCGTTAGTTTTAGAAGTGGGAACGATTTATTTTCCTTATTGCCGCTCCTACTTGATGGTAATAATTCCCTGGACGAAAAACTAGGCCTTGAGAAGCGTCATACAGGCGGCGACAGCGGCAATGGTGACGGCACAGGAATCCCTACCCGCGCCGGCAGCAGCAGCGCCAGGAATACCGACGGACGCGGCAGGGGCGACAGAGGCGGCACCGGCCGCCAAGGTGGAAGCGCTCCCACTGTCCCTCGCCATAGCCGCAGTGGTGCTCGTTGTAGTGCTATTTGTTATTGCCACGCTCGCTTATCGTCACCCCGGCGCCTTTCGCTATACGTGGACCCAACTACTAGGTCAACCTCATAGCGGCGCGAACTACTACTATCGAACAGAGGTTGTACCGAATGTGACTACATCGGTGTCAGTCCCGATTACACCGGTGTCAGTCCCGAGTAGCTCCCCCCAGTTGAGCCCGGCGCGGCTCGCGGCGTTCCCCATTAGACCGTATCGGCTCTCCCCCGCTGACCACCTTTGCGTGTCCACGAAGAATCCTCTTCACAACGCGGAGATAGTGGGGGATATTAAGGCAGAACTTAGCACTGCGCCCCCGGACCCTATAGCTGCGGAACGTCCCGTGACTGGAGTCGACGATTTAGAAGCGCCACAGGAAAAGCCGCTGGGAGCGCAAAGTAATGCCGGGTGTCAGAAACAGGGAGGGGATGTAGCGAGCAGGGAGTGCAGAGTGTGTCTGTGTGACTTTAACGAGGGTGAGCTGCTTCGCTATCTGCTGCCCTGCGAGCATCGATTCCACGTCAGCTGCATCGACCACTGGCTCGCCGACAGGACCACGTGCCCTGTGTGCCGAATCGACCTCAAAGCGGCAGCATTGGATGTGACGGAAGAAAGCGGAAGGAAGCGGAGCAGTCTCTTCAAATAGGGTTTGCGGCAGCAGCCTGCCGCAAAGCCAAGGAGATCTCGCTTCGTTTTTGTCAGTCGCAATCTGATGATGAAACGTATGAAATTTTATGTCAGAGAATGCGTAACCTAGTTCGACTTACTGAGCCGAATGCGCGAGAACTGACGGCTTAATCGCAACTATTGAGAGTCCCAGCGAAAAGCGGTGATAGCTGGTCGTATGCTTGCGAGACCTCGAGCACGTGGGTGGAAAGGAAACGCCAGTTGAGCCGCAATTCCCGCATCTCGTTGGGACTGCTGTTGGGGGAGTATTGTTGTTGCTCGAGCAGCCATGGCGACCAGGGTTTGCTGGGCTTCTTCCGTTTGTAATGTAGCTAGAGCGCTTTCTAATAATGTTATATGCATAGAATTGATACACTAAAACTTATCTGATACGATTTGTATTCTGCTGTAAGGAAAATCTCCTTTTCCTTACTTCGCATCCCTGCTCAACGCGTACATCACTGTAGCACCACAGTCAGCACCGTTACCACTCACCCCCCTCGCATCGACAATCCGCCCGCCACTTTCGCACGTCGCACCCCGACCTCACGGCTGGTAACCCGCGCTCCGGGCCTCCGCCTCGACACTTTTCCCAACCTCAGTCTCAGGCCTGTCGCGCGACAACCACAGTCCATTACCGTTACCACCGCAGTTTCGCTATAGTATCCTTCGCTCATGCCTTCGCTGATTTGGACTCTAGCTTCGATAGTGCAATTCTCGTTCGTCCACTCAATTGCACTCGTAACATCTGCATTCTTCTGTTTCCTCCCGCGTTCAACAGAACATGTGTACAATCAGCATCCATTTTTACTACGGTACTAAAATTGCAACAGCGAAATTACAGTCATGACTGGTGTGCCATCTCCTTCTTTTGCTGATGCGATGGCCCTCTAACACCCCATCGTGAGAAGAACCCAGAGCTAGATGCATATTGGAACGGCCCTCCTCCCTCCTCCCGTTCCTCTCGTCTCCCCCCTCCACCCTCGTCCACAGTTCCCAACAAAGCAAATGCTTTCATAGGGCTGCCAGTGTTACTGGTAACCGCAAGGCCCCCTCGAGGGCTCAGACCCGCCACCTGAGCCACTCTCCGAACCTGCCCCGTTCCAGGCTTGGGAGACCGTTGCGTTACCAAAGCTGTGGGAGACAAGCTTCGGGCAGGTGGGGATGTCAAGCCTGTGCTTGCCGAGCCTGATGCAGCCATGGAGCTAGATCCCGAGCCTGCTCCCGCCAAGCCACCTCCGGAACCTGCCCCCGGGCCTCCTCGATTTTCTAAACTGCCCCTTTCATAAAAGAAATCTTCAGATAAGCCCCAGTCGTTTGCACTCCCAGAGCCCGAACTACCCCCAGAATCCGATGCCCTTACGATACTTCTACCCCCTGAATCAGCAGCTTTAGCCGGGTTTCTAGGTCTGAGGGATTCGTGGGCTGCTGTTGCCGTGCCGTAATGCTGCGAGGGATAATGGTGCGGGTGGGCTGGGGGAAGGTGGTGATGGTGAGAAGGGAGGCCTTGGGGGTTGTGTGATGGTGGTGGTGGTGGTGGTGGTGGTGGTGGTGGTGATGGTGGTGCATGTTGGCCCCTGAATGAGGGTCTGAATCAACTGCTAGAAGCACCTGCGTTTCCCCAGCAGCAGCAGCAGCGGCAGCAGCCGCCGCAGCAGCAGAGCGAGGGGAGAGCACACCAGCAACCCCGTTTAACAGACTCCCAAACGCACCATACGCTGTACCTGCTCCTGCCGGCCCCCCTGCTCCTGCCACACCCCCACCCCCACCTCCCCCCCCACCACTCCCACCCCCACTCACACTCACAGGCAACCCGGCCCTCCTCCCCCGCCCATCCCTCCCCCTCCGCCTCCACCCTTCCCCCCCCCTCCCCCTCCCCCTGCCCCTCCGGGCGACACCATGCTTTTGTTCTTCAGCAGCCGGGCACGGTCCTGGTGGGCGCCAATGGCAGCGAGGCGCGGGACGAGCTTGAAGGCGAAGGGCGTGAGGACGAGAGAGAGCGCGGTGGTGCCCATGAGCAGCAGGTACAGCTTGTGCCCCACCAGCTTGAGGGTTTGCGCGCGGGACAGGAGGACAAAAGAGAACTCGCCGATCTGTGCGAGAGCTATGCCCACCGCTGCTGCCGTGCCTGCACTGTAGCCGAAGCCCCGGACCTGGTGAATGGGGAGGGTGGAAGGGAATGGGGAAAGGGGGAAGGGGGAAAGCGGAGGGGGGAGGAGGAGGAGGAGGAGGAGGAGGGGGAGGAGGAGGAGGAGGAGGAGGAGGAGGGAAAGGGGAGAAAAAGGGAGCAAGGGATGGGGAGGAGGTAGGGGGGTGGGAGCAGAGGGCGTGAGGGCGAGGGAGAGCGTGGTGGTGGCCATGAGCAGCAGGTAGAGCTTGTGGCCCACCGGCGAGAGGGTATGAAGACGAGGAGCAGAATGACTCAGTGCTGGCCGGGGAACGTCGGATGCATGTCCATGCACTCGCCCACCCTGTGCTATGCCCCATTCGCACTCCCTCTTTCACCACACCATGCATGCATCCCCACCACCTCCGTCACCACACCCACGATGCAAGCGTTTCCCCACTCACGGCCTTACCACTCACGGCCTTACCACGAGAGCAACAAGCAGCGTTTTCCCCAAGAAAACAACAGAAAGGGCGAGCAGCAGAATGTCCTTGTGCTGCCAGAGGAACACACCCACCCACGCTGTGCCCATCCCCACTCCCCACCAACCCCCTTACCACGAGAGCAATGAGCAGCGTTTTTCCCAGGAATACAACAGCGACGGCGAGGAGCAGGATGTCCTTGTGGGGTGCATCACCATGCCTATGCTATTACCCACCCCTTGCCATGCCCCATCCCCCCTCCCTCCCCCTCTGCAGGACCCCACTTCCTCCCCCCCTCCCATCTCCTGTTCCCTCCCTTACCACAAGAGCAACAAGCAGCGTTTTCCCCAGACAAACAACGGCGAGGGCGAGCAGCAGAATGTCCTTGTGCTGCCAGAGGACCACGGGGTGCATCACCTCACCATGCATACGCTGATACCCAACCCGTGCTGTGCCCCATCCCCACTCGCTAACTCACCACAAGAGCAACGAGCAGCGTTTTCCCCAGGAAAACAACAGCGAGGGCGAGCAGCAGAATGTCCTTGTGCTGCCAGAGGAACATGGGGTGCATAACCATGCCGATGGACGCCAGGAAGAGCGCAGCAAACATGTTGCGCACCGGCTCCACCTGATGTAAGGTGCGCTCGCTGTAGGTGCCGCCTGGAGGGTTGTTGCACGGACACAGAGGGATAGAGGGTCTCAATGTTCGTGCATGACCATGCCCATGGATGCCATGCCAGGAAGAGCGCAGCAAACATGTTGCGCACTGGCTCAACTTGGTGTAGTGTTCGCTCGCTGTAGGTGCCACCTGGAAGGGGTGGGGGTAGAGGAAATGAGGATTGAGGGGATGTAGGATGGTTGCGTTGCATGGGGAGGGGAAGAGTGCAGCCCACATGTTGTGCATTGGCTGCACCTGCTGCTCCTGCACTTTCTGCTCGCCCCACACACCGGTTGCATCTGCTGCAATGCACTCTCGCTCTGACCATGCCGCCTGTGAGTGGGGCAGCGATGCTGGATGGACAAGGAGGTGAGAAAAGGGGCGCCATTCTCGTGCATCACCATGGCCATGGGCGTGAGGAAACGAGGAGGGAATGAGCTGCCGACGGGCTCCCTTGATGTCATGTGCGCTTGCTGTAGGTGCTGAGTGCCGGGGGGAAAAAAACGGAAGTGTGAAGTGTGCAGGGTGCAGCGCAGTTAGTATGTATGTACATGAGAGACAAGCACGCACCTGAGAGCATGAGCCCAGCGATGAATGCCCCGACTTCAAGAGATAGCCCCAGGTATTCAGAGAGCAGCGCCACACAGAGGCAGTTGCCCATGATGCCCAGCTGGTACAGCTCGTTGTTGCCCCTTGACACGCGCACAAGCAGGCGCAGGAAGCGCGGGACGAGCAGGCGGGAGAGCGCCCAGGCGACGAGGCAGAAGGCGAGCAGAATGAGCAGCTCGCGCACCAGGGCGAGGAGAATGGCCGACGCGGATGCAGGGCGGGCGGCGAGCGCCGGCATGATTGCGAGGAGGAGACCGAGGGCGCAGTCCTGGGCGATGAGCGTGCCGAGCATGATCTGGGGTTGTGGAAGGGGTGCAGAGGGGGGGGGGAGGGGTTTGAGGGGGTGGAGGAAGAGGGAGAGGGTTCAAAGGGTGGGTGGGCTGTAGAGTGGGCAACAACTGCAGGCACCTGAACAGGAGCAGGCAGAGCACACAGTCGTACATGATGAGCCTTCCCCCACCACACCTGCTCATGCCTTCTTCAACCACGACCCCCTCCACCGCACCGTACCTGCCTCCACCTGCCTCCTTCAATCAAAACCCCCACCCCCCAGCGGATCTGGCCGTGCACTCTTTCACCACCGCACACTGCACCTGGCTGTGCCTCCTTCAACCAGTGCACAACACCTGGCCGTACCTCACCCACCACACCTGCCCGTGGCCCTTCCAACCACACCCCACCGCACTGCACCTGCCCATGCTCGGAGTTGAAGCCGTTGATGTCCACCAGGCACTTGAGCACCACGGCTGTGGAGGACATGGAGAGGAAGCCGCCTGGTTGGTGTGGGGGAAGGGGAATCAGGAAGAATCGAGGGAGAGGAGGCGAGGACAGGGGCCAAGGTGGGTGAACATGTGGGAACAAGGCACCTGAGCACCACCGCCCTGGATGCCATGGAGCGGAAGCCGCCTGGCGGGAAAGCAGGTGGAGGCGAGGGGGGGAAGAGACCAAGAGAGGGGAGGGGGGTGGGAGAGCAGGCGTAACAATGAGGGAAGGAGGCACTTGAGCACCACTGCTGTTTGGACATGTACAGGAAGCGGCCAGGCGGGCAAGAGGGGGAGGGGGGAGGAATGATGGTGGGGGGGAGAGCAGGAGCAAGGGTTGGGAGAGAAGGGGGAAAGAGACACTTGAGCACCACTGCTGTGGATGCTATGGAGAGGAAGGAAGTGCATGCCTCCTAGATGGAGGGAAGTGAAAGGAAAGGGGGAGGAGGGAAGGGGGGGGAGGGGGGGAAGGGGGCCTGAATGTGGGAAGAGGGAGCAGGGGTGGGGAAGAGAGATGAGATCACCTATCCAAGTACCCACCTATCCATCTACGACTAGCATCTACACACGCATCTATGAAGAGGCCCTGGGGTGTGTGGGGGGTGAAGGTGCCGCTTAGGACCATGGGTACGAGGCTTCACAGAAGGACCACAGGACCACGAGAACCACTCCTTGCTGCAACACTCCCTACTACTACAGTAGCAGGGACATCACGTCACAAAGTGACTCACAGGCGCACCTATGAAGAGTCCCTAGGGCGTGTGGGGGTGAAGATGCCGCCCAGAATCATGAGTAACGACTAAGAGGATCGGCAGCACTCCGTGCTGCTACTGGCACCACCAGCTAAGCCCTTGACCCGGACTCCCACCTGGCAATAGCTAGCCCTGGCTCCCTGACCTGACCTGATCCCCCTGTAGATGCCCCTTCGGCGTGTTGGAGGAGAAGATGCCGCCCAGAATCATGGCAATGACGATCTGCAGCACTCCCTGCTGCCACAGGCACCACTAGCTATGCTCTGGACTCACACAACACAACCACCATTGACTATCAACACATAGCTTGCCCTGGCTGCTTCATCCCAAAATATACGCACCAATGAAGAGCCCCTGGGGCGTGTTGGAGCTGAAGATGCCGCCCAAAATCATGGCAATGAGGATCTGCAGCACCCCGCCGCCCAGCGCTACGTTGTGCACCCCCTGCATCTTGGCCAGGCTGAACTCCACTCCCAGCGCGAAGAGGAGAAACACCACCCCGAATTGCGCTAGGGTTTCCACCTGCAAGCAAGGGAGAGGAGGGAGTGGAGGGAGAATAAGTGGGGGTTGTACCCAGCGGGACGTTGCTCATCCCCTGCAATTTTGGCCAGGCTGAACTCCACGCACAGCACCAACAGCAGGAAGACCACTCCGAACCGAGCTAGGGTTTCCACCTGCACAACAAAGAGGAGGAAAGAGAGATGAGGGAGAGGAGGGAGACGGGGGATGGAGAGGAGGGAGTGTGCACTCCCTGCATCTCGGCTAGGCTGAACTCCCATCAGCTCCACCGCACTCACTCTCACAAACTCACATGTCATCCCAACTCTCACTGTTCTCCACCATGTGGTAACCCTACTGTCCTTCACCATGTGGTAACCCTACTGTCCTCCACCATGTGGTAACCCTACTGTCCTTCTCCTTGTGGTACCTTACTTAATAACCGCTCTATAGGCTATAGGCTGTTTGTAACACCCACATAGCAACCCTACTGTCCTCCGACCATGTTGTAACCCTACTGACCGCTCTGTAACAACACTCATGCAGTAACCTGAAGCGACCCATCCATCCGCACACCAGACCTCCCACCCTGCACTCACCACCTTGTAACACCAATGTGGTAACCCTACTAAACAATATCATGAAGTAACCCTACTGACCTGTACAAGCTCGTGAATGAGCCCCAGCCTGCCTGGCCCAATGGCCATGCCAGCAACGATGTACCCCAGGATGATGGGCTGCCCCATCAGCCTGCACGCCAACCCCTTCTGGTATTCACCTTCCTATAACACCCCTGTGGTAACCTTACTCTGTACAAGCTCGTGAATCAGGCCGAGCCCACCTGGCCCGATGGCCATGCCAGCAACGAAGTACCCCAGGATGATGGGCTGCCCCATCAGCCCGCACGCCAGGCCCCCCAGCAACACCACTGCGGTAACCTTATTTCGCAAACCATGTGGTAACTCTACCCACCTGCATGAGCTCGTGGATAAGCCCCAGCCCACCCGGCCCAATGGCCATGCCAGCAACGATGTATCCCAGGATGATGGGCTGCCATCGATGCGGTAACCATATTCACCTATACCATGTGGTAACCCTACTGACCTGCACGAGCTCGTGAATGAGCCCCAGCCCGCCAGGACCGATGGCCATGCCAGCAACGATGTATCCCAGGATGATGGGCTGCCCCATCAGCCCACACGCCAGCACTCACCGCCCTGTAACACCCATGTGGTAACCCTACCCACCTGTACAAGCTCGTGAATCAGGCCGAGCCCACCTGGCCCAATGGCCATGCCAGCAACGATGTATCCCAGGATGATGGGCTGCCCCATCAGCCCGCACGCCAGCCCGCCCAGTGCCGCCGCCACTATCACCTTCACAATGTCCGAAATGAGGGTGAAGTCTTCCTGTAGCTGCATCTTGGACCCTTTACCGGGGCTGCTTATAACGTATTCGTTATCCTGGGAGTCTATGAGCCTGGGAACGTCCTTTTCGTCCTCCTGCTCCGACTCCTGCTCTTTCTTGGTCTCGTTTTTAGCTGACGCTTTAGTGACGTTCTTAGGAGTGGGGCGAGGCGGGGGGGGAGGCGGCGGAGCAGCGTCTATTCCCAGGAGAATATCGAAGAACGACCGCTCTCCACCACCCGTCACCCCTCCGTCCCAGCTGTTCTTAGCCGCAGCAGCAGCTGCCTCCGCCTCCTGCTTGGCCTTCAGCTCCGCTTCCCTCTCCGCCTCCTCTTGCTCCGCCTTCTCCCGCTCCTCCCGCTCCTTCTCCTCCTTCTCGTGCACGTGGTGCTTCCCCACCCGCGCCACTGTCTCCAAAACCGCCTCCTGCTTTTCTAGGGTTTCGTTGAACTTCCCCCCCTCGCCTTCCATGTCATCCAGTCTTTCTAGAATCTTCTCCATCATCTCGCCCACGTTCTCGCCTTTGCCGCCCTTTTTCCCGCCGCCTTTCGCCTTATTCTGTGCGCCATCGCCCTCCTCCCCTTCGTATTGATCCGGATTATCATCAGCGGCACTCGCGCTCTCCTTCCCTGCCTTTCCGTCTCCTGTCCCTGCCCCTACGTCTCCCTCCTTTGCTCCGGATTTCCTCTTCTCATCTCGCTTATCCTCTCCTTTATCCTTCCCCTTCTCCTTCTCCTTGTCATCTTTCCCCCCTTCTACCTTCTTCGATTCCTCCTCAGCTTTCTTACTCTTAGACTCTTTCTTCGGCTCCTTCACGCCAATCAGGATCGGAATCCCGTCCGCATCTCCGTCAGCGAGCATCTGGACCGTCTCTTTCTCCTCGACCTCCTCCTCCTTTGCATCCTCGCCGTGCGATTTCAAATCTTCCGCTTTTCCATCCCCTCGGCTTCCCGAATTCCCTGTTACATTCTTTTCCCCATCTGATTCTGTCCGGGCAGACGACTGTTTCTCTTTGGGATTGCTACCACCGATTCCCAGACTCTTCTCAATCTCCTCCATTTCCTGATCGATTCCTAACGCTCCTGAAACGATTCGTTCCCATATCCCTTGTGGATGATCGCCGGATTTCACCTCATCCCCTTTAGACTTCTCCTCGCTACTGTTGACATCGCTGGAGGCTACAGAGGAGGAACCTAGGATCAGCAGAGTTGCCAGGAGAAGCGGGTATAGCGAGATTCGACGAGATTTGGTGGTAACATTGTAACGTCGTACGTGATTGGTGGGGTCTAACGTCCACACTTCTCGTAGTCCTGACATCGCTGCTTCGGCGACGAGCAATTTGCTTGCTAGAAACGTCACTGCTTCGCAAACGACGTCACTGCTTCGCAAGCGACGGCTCTACATGGCCGTGTCACGCGCGAAGATACACAGCGTTGCCTATCAAGCGAATGCGCCTATTCGGATGGAAGGTTGTTCGGTCGAGGCAGCGATAACGCAGATCCACTCTTGCTCTCTCTTACTTCCTCTCAATGGAAACTCGCAGTCTAGGTTCCCAGTGGCTGCAAATGCAAATAAGGTAGTAGAGAGTCCGGGAGACAGACAATAACGTAGTCTTGAGTGACACACTGCAATCGTGGAAGTAACTAGATACAATCGTAGTTTGCATCCGTTTTCCTCCCAAGTAATCGCCTAGAAATAATCAAAGTCGAGCGGTGAATTCGGCTGGCTCAGTCACAGACCTTCATGAAGCAGATTCTGAGAAAATGCTCCGATTGCAGTGCGATTCAGTTCGTCTGGTTATGGTACTAAGGGGTATGATCCCGCCACCCGTTCCTCAGTTCCCAGAGCTCGGTTGTCATGCCCTGTTCCCTTCAAGTTTCCAGGCTTGGGGAGCTCCACAAGCCACGTAAGCAAGCGGTGGGAGGGATGGATGGCTAGTGCGCTGGTTGGTGGAGCCCATCTATGACCTGCCGCAGGGCCCACCCATGTTCCCAAACGTCCTACATCTGCGGCTCGGCGATCTCGATGGCGCTATCGCAAGCAAGTCGCTGTTGGCGCCTGTGACTAGGCAGGTATCCCGTGTTCTCGCTAAAAGTCGCATCGGTAATCAGCAAGAAACGTTTCACAAAAAATGAGAAAGTTTTCATTGGCTTGGCGCGTCACCTTGAAATTCGAACATTAGTAAAAACCTTTGTTTTTTATTTCTGTGACTCACGCTAAACATCCGTTGTAGTCTAGTCGGTTAGGATACTCGGCTCTCACCCGAGAGACCCGGGTTCAAGTCCCGGCAACGGAACTTTTGTTTTGCTTCTCGTTTCACATTTCTGCAAACTTCCTTACAACTTATAATATTGATTGTGTTTGGACGTATAATATTCACACTTCCGTTCATTATCATGTATCGAGAAATGCCTACTATCGCGGATTTGCGTGAGAAACGGAAAGCAGTCTCCCTAGATTCACTGGTCCCATCAGTCCAACCCCATTCGGCTTGTGGGGACCCACATTTCCCTTCCTCACAGCGACCATGGCGTCGCACTCCCCGCAGGCAACGCTTCTAGCGACGGGTGTGCTTTTTGCGCCGCTCCGAGCCTCCCATGTGCCCCTACTTCCGTCCGCGCGCCACTTCTCGGCTTTTCCCCGTCCATGTGGGCCCCTCAGGGCAGTCAGTGCTCCGCTTGCGCGCCGAGCCGCGGTAGTTCGGGCAGAGAGAGCCGTCGGATCTAACGACGTCTCCCCCCGAGCCGTTGGATCCTGCAAATCTGACGTGGCGCCCCCCTGCGAATCTGCCCCGCGCGCCGTTGCTAGCGTTGACTGCGGCAACCTGGCGTCCGCCAGTCACGCATCGCCACGTGGCCGCATTGTTTCCGCCGTAGCCGGCGCGTTGGTGGCGATTCATTTGGCAGCCGCCGCGAGTCCTCTCGAGGCCGTCGCCGCCGCGTTCAACGCGGGTACGAACTAACGATGGGGTACGAGCTCGTAATGCTAGGGTTAGATCGCGCGCTCGAGAAGGCTCGTTTCTGGGAATTCATCAGACGAGGTGCTTCGAACAGGGAGCGTCCACAGGGGGGTTCCTAAACGAGATAGCTTGTAACGAGTCCTGCTGGAGGAACGTTTAGGGCTCAAACGAGGCGTGGGCTTGAAGCTGTTTCCGAATGCTTTAGCTTCCTCTCTATCTTCCTCCCTCGAGTCGACTCTTCTTCATGTTTCTCCCCTCCACCCCTGAGTGCAATTTCCAGGTTCACGCACTGGAAATCGCACCTCTGCCCACTCTCACGTCTCCCACTGCCCCCCCAGCCGTCCTCCCAACCCCCCCCCCCCCCCCCCCCCCCCCCCCCCCCCCCTTCCCCCTTTCGTCGTCCTTTCCCATTTGCGTTCGCATGCACTTTCCGCTTCCGCTCCCCCACCCCCCTCGCCAACCCAACCGCCAGTGGCGACATTTCTCCCCTTCTCCCCTCCCTCCGCCTGTCCGCCCCTCCTTCCTCTCCTCCTCCCCCTCCGTCCCCCGTCCCCCCTCCGCGCCTTCTCCCGTCCCCCTTCCGCCCCCACTCTAGCGCCTCTCCTCACCGCAGCCCACCCATGGGCGGGGGCATTGGAGGCAGCAGGGTGCTCTCGCCGCCCACCCGCTTCTCCTCCCCGCTTGCTCCCTCACCTCTTGCTGCTGCTCTCTCCCTAACCTGCCCCTCTCCCCTTCCAGCCGCCCACCTGTGGCGGCATAAGTGGCAGCAGCAGCGGTGCAGTCTCTCTGTGCGCTCTTCTCCTCCCCCCTTCTTCTCTCACCTACTGCTGCTACTTCCCACTCCCCTTCCTCCCTCCCTCTCTCCCCAACCCAGCCCACCCATGGGTGGCATCAGGTCTGCGGTCGCCGTATGCCCGCGCGCAGGAGGAGCAGGCTGAACCGTAATATCTGCTCCACACACTCTCTCTCTCTCACCTCCTCCTCTCCCCTCCTCTCCTCCCCCTCGCCCCACGCAGCCCACCCAGCGGTGGCAGCAGCGGAGCAGTCGCCGTATCCTCACTTCCCCGCTTCCCTTAATCCCTCAACCATTGATTCCGCTTCCCACTCCCTCCCTTCCTCCCCCCCCCCTATCTCGCCCCACACAGCCCACCCATGGGTGGCAGCAGCGGAGCAGTCGCCCTATGTGCGCGCGCAGGAGGGGCAGGATGAGGACGTGGGGCTGCTGGACGGGTGAGGGGGGAGGGTGGGGTTGGTGGGCGGGTGAGGGGGGAGGAGGTTGGGGCCTTTTCGGATGGGTCACGGGGAAGGTTGGGGGGGCTGAGGGGGAAGCGGAACAGTCGCCCTATGCGCGCGCACAGGAGGAGCAGGATGAGGGCGTGGGGCTGCTGGACGGGTGAGGTGAGGAGGTGAGGAGGGTAGGAGGGGGGGCCTGGTGGATGGGTGAGGAGGGAAGGCGTGGGATTGGAAAGGACTTGACGGGCAGGTGGGAGCGAGTGGGGAGTGGGGAGGCCGGGGCAATGGATTGGGATGGGCTCCTGCGGTAGAATGCGGTTCTGGTTGGTGGATGGTGCTGATTGTGCTGTTCCTGCCACGAGGACTGGCTATGCGGTGCTGCCCGTTAGAGATCTCATTTCAGAGCATTCTTAAAGTGACACAAGCACAACCCTCTTATCCACTTGCGTATTTCTACCGCACGCTTTCCCCTCCGGCTCCCTCTCCCCATTACTGCGATCTGATATGCTACCGCACCTGTGTTCCCTCTCCCCTCCCTCTCACTCGCATCCGCCCCTGCCTTCTTGATGCGAATCCCAATTGTGTCTCCACCCCCCTGTCAACCTGGCCTGCTGTCAACCTGGCCTGCTGTCAACCTGGCCTGCTGTCAACCTGGCCTGCTGTCAACCTGGCCTGCTGTCAACCTGGCCTGCTGTCAACCTGGCCTGCTGTCAACCTGGCCTGCTGTCTCTCCCTGCTTCCTTCTTCCTTCATTGCTCCTCGATCCCATGCTCCTCCCACCCCTCCTCATCCGTTCCTCTCCAAACTCTCTTACATCCACCCTGCCCCGTGGCGGTCAGCCCCACCTGTGTCGCCACCACCTGTGTCGCCACCACCCTCCCCACCCTCGCCTCTTGTCTCTCCCTTGTTTCCTCCATGCAATTCCCCCCTCCCCTCGACCCCCTTCCTTCCCCCGTTTCGCCCCCTTCCATCAGTCGCATCCGCCCCTGCCCCCTGGCAGTGTCTCCACCTCGTCCTTCAGCCTTGCCTGATGTCCCTCTCCCCCCCCACTCCCCCCCACACCCCCGTCCCCTCCTCCCCTTCCATCAGTCGCATCCGCCCCTGCCCCCTAGCGGTCAACCCCAACTGTGTCTCCACCTCCTCCCTCAGTCTCGCCTACTCACCGCCCTGGACCGTGCCCTCCCTCAGCTCCGCCACGGCTGTCCAGGTACAGTTAATCTGGGCGATTCAGTTGCGTTCATGCCCTCGCCTACTCGCTGCTCTTAACCGTGCCCTCCCTCAGTACTGCCACCGCTGTGCAGGTACAGTTATTCTCGAGCTCTCGGGCAGTGAGAGGATGAGGGTGAGGGTGGGGGTGAGGGTGAGGGCGGCAATGTGGCACGCCAAATAGCTCTCAGGCCGGGCCAAGCTTTCTCGTCTCGCCTACTCGCCGTCCTGAACCGTGCCCTCCCTCAGCACCGCCAAGGTCATCCTGGGCGATGTTCGGCAGCCAGGGGGGGTGATGGGAGGGGATGGGACGGAGCATGAAAACGCCATGCCTCTTGGCCCGACCTCAACCGAACCAGGCAATACAGTACGGTCAGGACCCGAAATTTGGAAAAAAGTGTCGAACGTGGGCACAAGACGCGACTCGAACCCCACGCTAGGCTTTAGCCCGCGTCGCGTCCTCCCCACAATTCCCCCCTATGGCGGAAAAACTCCGCCCTAGTGTTCAGGGCATGAGAATTGCACTCCCGTGAGTGGGCTCAACCCACGAAGGATGAAAATGGCATGCCCCCTTCCACGATTTTCGTTTATAATTCTACCCCACACTCAAAAAGCAAAAAACGCGGACATAAAAATTATATTGCTTAACACACAGATTTACAATGAATTGACTAAATTTACCGAAGGTCAAATCGTCATTTACATCCTTCAAACTTATTTACGGTGTACAGTAGTTTGGGGAAGTCAGTTACTCAAACAAATCGCAACAGTAAAATGCGGCAGGGAGCAGGAAAACTGTTCAGCTCGCGAAGTTTCGTTTCGTGCGGCTGCAGTTTCGTGGACCCCCATTTCCCGAGTCGCTCATCCGCGCCTTTTCCCCCAAAGTTTCCGCTTGCGCCTGGACCCCCGACGTGGAGTCAACGATGGTTGACTCCGAGTTGACCACCCCGAACTAGAAACCCTAGCTGAGAATTTCGATCTCTCCCCCCATCCCTCGGTGGATCCCCTGTGCTGCCGAACATCGCCCCGGTGAGGAGACTAGTGGGCTCTGCACATACAGTTAAGGATGGGTTGCAGCAAGACGCTCCCAAGCATCGCCTACTTGTTTCTACTTCTGGACTGTGCCATTGCTTGGTGTTATCCCGGCTCTCCTGGTAGCTGTGGTGGTGAGTGGATGAGGGAGAGCATGAAGAAGAGTTCTTAGGAGCTTGTTCCCTCTCCCCTTCTCACTGCCAACCGTCGGCATGCTTGGACGTGTGTATATGCATGCATGCGCGCATGTGTGTGTGAATGTACCTGCATGTGTGCGTGCATCCATGTCTACGTGTGTGCACACATGCATGCATGGTGGCAGCAGAGGCTAGAGGGAGTGCTGCGCTCGGCACTCAAGAACCCGGTCATTGAGGACTCAGTTGACGTCGCTGATGGTGAGACACTGCCTGCTCCTCCCTCCCATGCTTGTAGCGCTCTCTCCTCTCCTCTCCTCTCCTCTTCTCTCCTCTCCTCTCCTCTCCTTCCTTTCGGCGCTCAAGAACCCGGTCATAGAGGAGTCAAGAGACGTCCCTGATGGTGAGACGCTGCGTGCTCCTTGTAGTGCTATCTCCCCCCTTTTTGGTGTGCATGCATGTTGGCATCAGAGAATAGACGCAGTGCTGCGCTCGGCGCTCAAGAACCCGGTTATTGAGGAGTCAGTTGACGTCCCTGATGGTGAGATGCTGCCACTCCCTCCCATGCTTCATATGTCCCTCCCTCCCATGCTTCATATGTCCCTCCCTCCCATGCTTCATATGTCCCTCCCTCCCATGCTTCATATGTCCCTCCCTCCCATGCTTCATATGTCCCTCTCTCCCATGCTTCATATGTCCCTCCCTCCCATGCTTCATATGTCCCTCCCTCCCACCCCCACCTTTCTCTCGTAGCTCTTCTCTTCTCCTCCCTCTCTTTCCCCTCCCTCCCTCCCTCCCACCACTACCTTTCTCTCATACCTCTTTTCTCATTTCCTCCCTTCCTCCTCCTTCCCTCCCCTCCTTCCTCCCTCCCTCCCTTCCTCTCCTCCACCCTCCCTCCCTCCCTCCCTCCCTCCCTCCCTCCCTCCCTCCCTCCCTCCCTCCCTCCCTCCCTCCCTCCCTCCCTCCCTCCCTCGCTCCCTTCCTCCCTCCCCCATCCCCCTCCCTCCCTCCCCATTCTTCCTCCCTCCCCATTCTTCCTCCCTCCCCATTCTTCTTCCCTCCCCATTCTTCCTCCCTCCCCATTCTTCCTCCCACAGCAGCAGGAGTTATGACTTGCTGTTTCTTTACAATTCTCAAGAGCCAACTATTCTACACTTGCAGACATGCGCACCCATGCACACACCCGCGTACACCTATTCATACAAATACACATACACTTGCATACAAAAATGTACACATCCACGTACACGTGCATACCCATACACGTACATGGACATAAACATACATACACATACTCATGCTTGCGACATGTACATACCCATTCATGCATATACACACACACATGCATGACATACACATAAACATGCTTGCACAAACACATACACAGGCATGCACATGCACATACACATGCATACACATGCACATACACATACGCATGCATGCACGTGCACATAAGCATGCATGCACATTCACATACGCATGCATGCAAATTCACTCACATACGCATGCATGCGCATTCACATGCATATACGCATGCATTCACATACACGTACACATGCATGCACAACACACACACGTGCACAGTCGACTTCCAAAGATAATTCATATCTGTCCCTTCCCACCGATGTCGCCTCCCAGGAGGGCACTATATCAGGGCCAAAACAGATGGCCTGTTTGGGCGTGACACTGTCGAGCTGCTACTGCGCGACGACAATGTATTATACCGCTCTATAGCGGGGCGCGTGGTGTACATATACCCATTTACCACCCCATTAACGGACTTTGACGCACAGAGGAAGCGCATGGATGCACTGGGGAAGGAGCTGGGGTGGCTCCAGGAGTATGAGTACGAGACGGAGTTCGAAATGGACTACGATTATTGAGTTGGTTTTGGCCAATGATGTCAGTGTATATCGCAGTTGTTGTGCATGATACGAGTTCTGTCAAACATTATCTGTATCTGTAGGCTACATTGGGGTACTCACTAGAGAGCTTTAGGGTTACCCTTTAGGCTACTTTCCATTGCCTTAGTCAACACATCATAGCCTATTTCGTCAACATGGTATAGAGCACATTAGGTCCTTAGGACCGCCCGTTTAGGGACCGATTTTTTTCTCAGGCCCGCTCTTACCGCTGCCCCTTCCGCTGCCCGTTGTGCGCCCCTCTAGCGCGCCGTTTTTTCTGCCCGTCGCGCGCAACCACTGCCCCGTGGGTCGCGCGCCACAGCTGCCCTGCGCGTCGCGAACGCCTCTGTCCAGCGCGTCGCCGCTGCTGCGCGCTGCTGCCCGTACTGCGCACGCTACCCTGCGAGCGCTTTGCCTGCGCAACCCCGTGTACCCTGTCCTGCACTGCGCGCGACACGCCTGCAGCCGCCCTGCCCGTGCTGCCTTCGCGCTGCCCTGCACGCTGCACCGCGCGCGCGACGGACATCGCTCGACGAACCTGTCGAGAGGTGCTGGTCGACAAGGCCTGTCGAGGAGCACTAGTTAACGGGCTCTGCTTGTCCGGCTAGTTTCGGCGGACGCTGTTGTCGAGAATCGCTAGCAAAGTTAGAAACAGGAAAGAGGGGTTGCACTAGCAGCAGATAGGATACATATAGCAAATTCTAATTTGGGTTGTACTCACTATAGAGTACCCCACTGCAGACTAGACAATTATAGCATTCTGACACACCCCCATAGGCAAAGTGGGGTATGATCAGCACAGAAAGAAGTCGCATAAGAAGTTCACAAGCACAAGCAGAGCTAGAGGCAGTCACAGAGGGCAAGTGAGGAGGAGGAGGGACTGTGAGAGGAGAGAAGATTGGAGGCGGCGGCTGAAGCTGCTGGCACACGGGCTACTGGAGCAACTCACACACTGGCTACCGAACACGCGAGGGCATCCGGACTACTGGAGTAACTGGCTCCGCGGCTACGACGAGCGGCTGGAGCAACGGACCCATGGCCGACTAGCGCAACGGGCTCACAGGCTACCGGAGCAAGGACACGACCTTCCCGGACTACTGGCGCTGCTGGCTCCACAACGGCTACATCCGTTCAACCTCCCCCACTGTCGCAGACCCCCTTTCACACACACCCCTATGCACCCCTAGCTCCACTCCCACGGCACCCCCCTAGCGCCACTCCCTCGGCTCCCACACATCCACCCCCCTCAGCGGCAGCTGTAGCAGTGGGAGACGGAGGAGGAGGAGCAGGGGACGGCTCACACACCCGCCACCCCCATACCCACCACCCCCATACCCCCAACGCACGCGGCGCGGGGTAGTGACGCGGGCAGCAGCTGGGGCGGCGTGCGAGCGGAAGCGAGGCGGCGCGCGGGTCCCTGGGGCGCCGCGACGGGCGACGGGCAGGGCGGCGCGCGGGCCCCCAGGGCGCCGCGACGGGCGACGGGAGAGGGGGCGACGCGCGGGCCCCTAAGGCGCCGCGACGGGCGACGGGCAGGGCAGCGCGCAGGCCCCGGGGGCGCCGCGACGGGCGACGAAACCGCCGCGTGCGCCCGGGGCGCGCGGCGGGCAGAAAAGCGCCGTGCGCCCCGAGCGCGCGACGAGAAGAAAAAATGCCGCGTGAAGCGGGCGCGCGGCAGGCAAAAAACATTGTGCGCCCCGGGCGCGCGACACGCAGGACAGCAGCGGAAGCAGGTGGTGTCAGAATGTGATGTTTGTCTAGCCTGCAGTGGGGTACTCTATAGCGAGTACAACCCGAATTAGGGTTTCCTATATGTACTCAACTGCCTGCTAGTGAAACCCCTCTTTGCCTATTTCTCGTTTTTCGCCTAGCCTCTTCAACATGCTATCAGAGCAGGTCGACCCTCCTGGGTCGATCCTGTGGGTGGTCCCACCAGAAGCTTCCGCTGTTGTTTCCTGCTGTTTCCTGCCTGCCGCGCGCTCCGGGCGCGCGGCGATGCGCGGCGGTTTTCTCCCCCGTCGACGGTCGCGTCGCCCCCCGCCGGAGCCCGTCGCGTCGCCCCGCGACCCGCGCGTCGCCCCCCGTCGCCCGACGCGGCCCGCGCGCGGCCCGTACGGGCTGCGCCAGGCCCGCGCGCGGTCCGGGCAGCCCGCGCGCGGCTCGTCCGGCCTGCGCCAGGCACGTGCGCGGCCCGGGCAGCCTGCCCCAGTGCTGCATGCCGTCCCCCGAGCTTTTGACGGCGCCCCACCCCTGCTGCTGCCCGCGTTCCTGTGTTAGGGTTTGGGGGTGGAGAGTATGGGGGTGCCGTGTGTGTGAGCCGTCCCCTGCTCCTCCTCCTCCTCCATCTCCCACTGCTGCAGCTGCCGCTGAGGGGGGTGGATGTGTTGGAGCCGTCGGAGTTGTACGAGGGGGGTGGCGTGTGAGCGGTGCTAGTGGTTCAACAGGGAGTGTGTGAACGGGGTGTGGGACAGTTGGGGGAGGTTGACCGGAGGTAGCCGACTTGTCGTCCGCAGCGCCTGAAGTCCAGGGAGCCACGACCCCCTGTGGCCTGAGTAGTCCGGGGCTCTGCGCCCGGTAGCCACAGTGTGAGCACTCCTGGTAGTCCAGAGAGCCACGACCCCCTGTGGCCTGAGTAGTCCGGGGCTCTGCGCCCGGTAGCTACAGTGTGAGCACTCCTGGGAGCACAGTGAGCCAGCTGCGTCTGTCGCCGTGTAGTCCGGGTTTAGCCTGGTAGCGACAGTGCTGCGCACTCCTGCTGCCCGTGTGTCTGCAGCTTCGGCCGTCGCCTCCCATCTTCTCGCCCTTACAATTTCTCCTCCTCCTCACGTGCCCTCTGTGATAGCCTCTAGCTTTGCTTGTATTTGTGAACCTACTGCTCTGCCTGCTTGCTGTGCTGATTATACCCCACTTTGACTATGGGGGTGTGTCAGAATGTGATGTTTGTCTAGCCTGCAGTGGGGTACTCTATAGCGAGTACAACCCGAATTAGGATACATATAGCAAACCCTAATTTGGGTTGTACTCACTATAGAGTACCCCACTGCAGACTAGACAATTATAACATTCTGACAGCTGTTCGACCTAGCAACGTCGAACTCATCCACGAAGGTTGCTCGACAGTTAAACGGCGGGTGAACGAAATTTCGCCACTGCAGTCTTTGGCGAGGACAACTTCGGGCTGGTATCACGAGGTCGACGTGAAACATCTACAATGCTGGCTAGCCGTCGTGCTGCAGCGTTGGCAAGCCGCGCAGATGCAACGCTGGCAGATCGTCGACTTGCAAAGTTGGCAAACCGCCTCCGAGCTGCGTTGGCAGACCGTCGACCTGCTCTGCTGGCAGGTTGCCCTGTTGCAGCGCTGGAGGTCGAACTTCCTGTCAGAAACTGTAGCGAGAAAGGTGAAACAGAAAGAGGGGTTGCACTAGCAGCAGATAGGATACATATAGCAAACCCTAATTTGGGCTGTACTCACTATAGAGTACCCCACTGCAGACTAGACAATTATAGCATTTGGACACTTCTTGGTCGCTAGGCTGCTAGGTTCCAGATGTAGTTACTTTGCCATTGTAATTCCTAATTATAATGCATTCTGTAATCACGATTTGCTAGTGAAACTCTTGCCACATTGCTCTTTAAACAAGCAAGTAGTGAGAACATAAGCAAAGTTACAATCAGGGCTGATTTTATCAGGGTAATTACCCTGATTTCAGGGTGATTACAGGCTTGTCACTTGGTGGTCCCTGCCATTTCAGAATTTGTGACTTGTGAACTCTGATCCATTCAGATAATGACTTTAGCGAACCCTGAAATCTTGTATCCAGGCTCAGAGTAGTGTTCTTACTGACTCTGTCAATGTAGAGTACGCGTCTTGTGTACCCTGAATGCGGAGGTATCGGGACAAAGGTTCCTGGAAATCTCCTTCCGATATCCCCCTTTGGATTGATCGCGGGACAGCCAGCGCGTGAGCGACAGACAACAGCATGTCTGACAGGTGAGTACACTCAATATATGATACTTTCACGCAATTTGAATAGGTCGTTCTACTGTCGTAATTGCGTGCGCGTGAAGTTACCAGACGTTTTTAGCGTTTCGCACAGCGATGCTGGCGACATTCAGGTACTCGACGAATTAAAATTTTGGCACATCTGTGGTATCGAATCGAAATGCTCGTCTCTTCCCCGCGCTAAAACGTGTGGATAAATACTGTTTTGTAAAACTAAAAGGGTGGAAATTAGCGCGCACAAGGTGTGAGCGAAACACAGAGCGCAGACTTAACGCAAAGCGAGACTTTTTCCCCGGTTAAAAAGGGCGCGTTACTACTCTGATCTTCGATTTTCGACCCTGAACAATCAGAGTTACATACTTTTCAACCCTGAGCAATCAGGGTAGCATCATTCTGAAAAATGTGCACTCATAATAGAGGGGAATTTTTTTCCCCGGAATCAGGGAGGCCTAATATGAAACGTCAGCCTTGGTTACAATCATTGTTACCACCACAGTTTTGCTGTTACCGTTATAGAGTGACTGTAGTAGAGATATTGATAAAACCAATATTTTTTTTTAACAAAACTGTAATTCAAATATATATACGTTTTGTTTGAGAAGTGATGAAATTACATTAATAGTGCTATTTTTTTTATTGAGGCCTTGCCCAATTTTATAGTCCCTTTAATTTCTCACTGAGTATGCCTATTGCTGCTTAAGTTTACGTTTTTACATACATGTTTCTGAGGCAGCTGTGCTCTGTAGAAAATCACGCAATGACGCGTTTCAGCCTTGGGTTTCTGCTTCATTTACCGTCGAGTCGAGACGGAAACCGTCGACAGAGACGAATTTCCTCGACGGGAAAAGGGGGTGAGGGGGCACATGTGGGGTCAACGCCAGCTCGAGCGGGGAGCACCTCGCGTGACTCCGAGCTGGCGGGGTTCTTTTCGGGCGGGTGGGGTGGCTGGCTCCCGCCCCTCGTGTGCCCCGCTACGAGACTGCAGGAAAAAAGAAACCCCGTGAGGGAAATCCCGCAGGGGCAAGGGGGGGTTTTCGGAGGGATGTGGCCGATCTCTTCCCAAAATTTTAGCTCCACAACCAATCCCATTTCATATCGATACTTACACCCCCTACCGATTTGTGTTCACGATGTGCTACGTAAGCTCGGTGCTACGTAAGCTCGGTGCTCTTCACTTATGTATTATGTTCGTTACACGCCCATATGTGCAATTTCACACCCCCTTCAACCCTGCCTGGCGGGCGTGAACTGGCGAGTTAGGTGTATTATCAAGGTATGCCTTGATTTTTTCCTTGCTGAAATTTGGGGTTTTAAGGTTTTAAGGTTTTATTTAGGTAGTATCCTGTTACGAACATATATACAATGCAAAAGGACTATGATGCACAGTAGACATCAACACCATGAAGGTGTGCGTCGATATACGCTATTCCCCCACCCGAGGGCGGCCACCGGAGTGAGCCGTGGTTTGCATTGTATGAGTTGAAGGTAATCAAGGGGGCCGAAAGGAGTCGTTCAGGAGCCAAGAGGAGCGGAGGTTCGGGTGAATAGATGGGGTACCGTCGGGTGAAAAAAGGAAGAAACGGAGGCGTTTGGCACGCGAGATGCTAGAGGTAGTGCGGAGCAGGGCTCATTTTTCGTTTCAAGCCACTCTTCCGAAAAAAAAAGTGAAATCCGCGTGCCCCTCGGCTGGGCCGAGTGGCGCGCTACAAAATCCGGGTGCAGGCCGGGTAAAATTTCTGCTAACTCTTTCTTGTACAAACTTTGTATGTGCAGTCGCATTTCGAGGACTTAGCCAAATTTGATGTTCACCCATTCTTTGTGACTCGGAGACAAGGACTTGGACTGTTCAGGGTTCGCTATTTTGGCGAAGTACAGAAGAAAATGAGTGGGGGTGATTTTGTACTTGCACAGAAGGGCCGAGTGGCAAATTCAGGCATCCGGCCACAGCAGCCTAAAAAAAAATCGGACCCTGAAGTTGGCCGAGTCACAATCGTGGCAGCTCGTTTTTTGCCGAGTGGGCCAAAAAATCCACCCGGATTTGAATAGTAGGCCGGGTAAATCACCCTGAAAAAATAGGCCCTGGTGCGGAGGCGTTTTTTGGGGGACTGTTTGGCGCGGCGTCAGAGTTGCTGAAATTTGGGGGACCATGTGTTTCCCCTGACCAGAAGGAGTTTCCAGTCAACTGTTGGGAACTCTCCTGGCTTTATTACCACTGTAGCAGTTATTCACGCCCACAGTCACATAGAATGGGCGGCTGCCATCCAGCAGCATATGCACGAAGACGCAATCTGCATTTTGTCATTTTTGTATGTTGACCATTCACGACACGACGACACCACACCACCGCACTTGCCCACCCACCAATCCTCCGCGGCTTGTGAGCAGTAGCCTTCGTGAGCAGTATTTTCGAGCAGCATTGAGCCCGCGGCGGGCCGCGGGGTCGTCTCTTCTGGATGAAGCGTTGCTCGACCACAAAGCAAATCTGCTGGCTGTGTGTGGGGTGTGGGCAGTGTGATTCAGGAAGCTTCCCAGAAGCGTCATTCTTGGTGACGTCGTATTTCAGACAATTTCCGCCGCACTGGCAGTTCTGACCTGGCCTTGATGTACAGTACAGCACGGCGAAGTCCAATGCGAACTGGACACGCATCAACGAAAATAACAGCCTCGTGTGCTGGATTGACTGGAAGGTGTACACTGTATACTGTACAGGCTGTAGCCAAATTTCGTGGGATGGTTTTTGGAGCATATATTCCATTTCCATAGTTCCAGAAGCCTCGTGCGTCATTTTTATGTGTATTTTCTCCTCATCCATTACGACCGAGACTCGTAAAAAAACTCAAGGACCGTAGTTAAAAAACAGTGCTCGCCGCCCCATTTTCCGCGTGCAGCTACAGCACAATTTCTCGTGAATGCTTTCTATGCCTTAGATCCGTTGCGAAACGACGACACATCACTCCACAAGTTTCAGAATCTTTTCGCCGTCTTGTTTCGATCGCATTTGGAGCAACATACACTGCGAAGTCCACAACCAATCCCATTTCATATCGACACTTACACTCCCTACCGATTTGTACTACACTACACATGATGCCCGTTTGAGCCACTCCCGGTTGCCTAGTGAAGGGAGCTTATAAGCTGTAACATGCATTTCGCATAAGTTTCGTCAATTCGCAGCTAGCTAAAAAGGATTCGCAGGTGCTTATATAAAGCATTTGTAACCTTATCCGTTGACATTTTGACTTCAGTCTCTTCAGTATGACATCGGTCTGTTCGTTATTATTGGTTCATAACCACTGCAATTTGCGCGACGTGCTTGTAACGTAGGTGCAACTAGCTGGGGAAAAAACCTCGGGTGCAGCGTTTCCATCCGGTGCAGAGCAAATTCACGTGCAGGGGGTGGGCATCATGTGTACGACATCAGCTCTGCATCTGGCTGCTACTAAACCGGGACATGCATTTTCATCCTCTCGTGAGAGATTTTTCAGTCAGCTTTTCACTGATGGATGCGTATACATAACAATGTATGGACATTTTTTTTTGGACATTTTTTGGTATGTGAATGTGATAAATTACAGTGCTATTCGTTATTTCAAGAAAAATAACCTTTTAAGACGCATTTAATCCTTGTATCTGATGGTAACGCACTTTGTCGCCTTCCACATTCGTTCAGAAATGATACTTTGCGGAAAGTTTTTCTGGGCATGCAAATTCTCCTGATCAAATGGAGGGAACCTAACAGAGCATTTCTTCAAAATTTGAATCATTTGCCATGTGGAAAAATGTGAAAAATGTGATAGTAAGCAGGTGGCGGTAACACTTATGGAAAAAGGTCAAACTGTCTAACATAACCTTTGATGATTGAGTGATAAAGGGATGATCAAAGTGGTGCACCAGCTCGACGTCGAGGGATGTCGGTGAATCCTGACGGTTGAAATTTTGATCTGAGGGTTGACATTCACCGACATTCCTTGACGTCGAGCTGGTGCAGCGCTTTGATCACCCCTTTAATGACCGCTATAGCAAAGGGACTGTAAGCAGAGCGCCGTTGCCATGCCGTGTTGGAAAAGGGACAATAGTTCCTTTCTAGGAGCATATTTCCATGATAAGTTTGGGCATCAACACTGTGTGGAACACTGTGTGCAGTTCTTGTGCTGGTGTGTCCCATAGCATGTCGTGGTTGCGTTTGGTGCGGTGCGGTTTGTATGGTGGTTTGATGGTTTGTCCGATATGTTGATAGAGGATGTCGGTTCGGCTTGTTGTTGAGATGGAATGGAATGGAATGTGAACGTTGGTGTCGTCTACTGAATCTGCGTTGGGGATTTGTTTGTTTCAAAAGTTCAATAGTTCGGTAACAGAGGCGACTGTACCCTAAAATTTAGAGTGTATCAATCGTTTTTTTCTTGTCAAGTCATCCCCTTTGTGACACAGGACCACTCCACCGAACGAACCTGGTTTACGTTTCCACTTCCGCCTAGTATCGAGGTGGAGTTTCATGAAGGGAGTTTGTGTGACCATCTCTGATTTGCAAGTGGAGTGGGGCCAAGAATTTGCGGAATTCTACACTCGGATTTTTTTTTTCCGAACAGCTACCTTCTTAAAAAAAAATGCTGTGAGGCACAATCTACTAAAGTTCAGTGAAGCAAAAGTTTTCGTCTGCGCCTTGACCCCTTCCCATCTTTCGTTCCTCCTAGCTGAACATTGCCAACAGCCAACAGCATATGTCGAGAGCCACTTGGGAACCTGCTTTACAACTCCACCAGGCCTGTGACAATTTCATCAACCGAAGGAGATTTATCAGCTATGCGACCTCACTCTCTCAATGACTTGCAACCCGAGACGGAGGAGTCGGTACCTGCGCCCGCAGCACTCTCAGCGAGCGCTGTGCAACATCCGTGTAGCGAAAGCTCACCTCATACAGAACCCAGCATTCGAGAGCTCTTGGAAAAGCTGAGGCAGTGGCGGCAAATTCGGCGGGGCGAGCAGACCTGGTCCCAAAACGAGGACTCGGCGGCAGTGGACGCGCCATCTCCGCCGGAAGCTCAAACGTCGAGTCCTCCTAAGAGAAAGCTTCCCGAAATGGAGGCTGGGGCGCAGGCTGACATGATGAAATTAGATGAGGACCGGCCGGTGCGGCCCAAGGAGCCGCGATGGGAGCCGGCGACGCATCCTCGCGGCGACCAAGCGAGCCCCAGTCGGAGGTACTTTCCGTTTAAGAATGAAATCGTCTTACCTGCCAGTTGTTCTGAACGCGACTGGAGCGCTCACCAGCAACCGCCCGATGAGGTTCAGTTCCTTTCCACACTGGCGCACGCGCAAGACGCGGCGCAGGACGCGGCGCAAGGGGCGTCATACGGGCAAAGGGCGTCGCACGCGCAGGAGACGCCAAACGAGCGATGGGTCGCGCAAGAACCCCGAGCGCCGCAAAGCGGAAGCAGCGGCGGAAGCGGTGGCGTCATGCTCTTCGGATGCAACATTTCGGTTTCGCCGCCCGCAAGCCGCGATTTCCAGAATCCGTGCGGCACGGCGGAGCAGGTGGAACACCTCGACAGTCTGGCACAACGGCGCGCTGGCAGAGCAGCATCGTATTCCACCCGCGAAACCGCAATTTCGTCAAATCCTGCTTTGGGGCGCAGCGCTTCCGCAAGAATATCGACGCCTGCTGGCGTCATGTCAATCGACGACCGCGTTAATGACGACGCCGCGAATGCCCCTCAGCTCCCCACCTCGAACTCCTACCCCACAGCTCGAATTCGCTCGCAACACAATGCGGCCTACTACACACTAGCGACGGATTCGGCAGCGGCGCAGCCGGGCGCTAAACTCGCTTCTGCCAGCGCGTCGGCGAACCTTGGGATTGCCGACGGGAGGTCTGCGCACCCCTGGGGCGTCGCCGCAGCAAATCGCACTTCCGCGGAGATAAACCCTGCAGACGTGGCCTTTGCGCGCCGCCTGCTCGAGACGCATATACGGGGCGACGACGACGCGACGTTGGATAGCGCGACAGACCCATCAAGACTCAGCCATACACGCGAGATGCTGTTTCAAGAGGCCGCGTCGCGATCAGCGACGGATTTCCGCGATGCCTTCCCGAGCCTCGCCTGGAGCGGCGACGCGCTGGACAGCTCCGTCCGCGCAGCGGAAAGTCCCTCCCCCGCAGGAGAGCGGCTGCGCTTGGTCGTGCAAGCGCTCCAGGACGAGCCGCCGTCGTTAAACCCAGAGCCTAGTGGAGGAGCAGCAAATGCAGCAGCAGAAAGAAGTGGCTTTGCGTTCGGTAGTTGGCCCTACACCCCTGCCGCGCTTCAAGCCTTGCTTGCTGCGCACGCCGCCAACGCCGCGTCACCGCGTGTTGCGGCTACCGCGCCGCCAGAAGTCCGGGCGTCTGCGGAAGTAGCACTATCAGGCAACCCGCAGGGTGCAACCGGTGTCGCCGTGCAAAGGGGACTAACCCTAAACCCCCCGAGTGCCCGGCTTGACCCGCCGGCGGTCTTTCCACCTGCGGCGGAAAGCATCCGCAGGGTCGATGCGACGACGACTGCGGGGGAAGCAGCACCGCTGAGGTCCAGCCCCACGCGGCGGAATGCAGGGAACGACCGCGGAGGTGCTAATACTACGGGGGACGGATCAACAAGTGCGACGGGTGGGGCGCTCTTAGGGGAGATGGGCGACGGGGTGAGTAAAACGGTGTCGCCGCGGCGACGGTTTCGCTGTACGGTGTGCGACCGTCGATTCTCGTCGGGGCAGGCGCTAGGGGGGCATTCACGCATGCACGCCATGCAGCAGCGCGCGCAGGAGGAGATGGATCGATGAGCCGCGGATGCGGTGTCTGGGGTGGCGGGAAGACGGACGGGGGGAACGGAGGAGGCTACGTTGCAAAACGCTTTAGAATTCTACCACCACAAACGTTTTCCATTCCCGCTCCCACGTCACGCCGACGCATGACGTAGCTGGGCCAGGCGCAATTACGGAATACTGAACGCTTATAATGCACAGCGGCGACGGACTAGGTACTCGAGGCAAGCAGCGCCCGATTCGCCTTAGACGCGGCACGCTGCAGAGCCCGCCTTGCATTCTATCATTTATGCGAATATGGTGAACGGAGCAAAGGGTTTCAAGCTAGGGTTTCATCACGGAGGCAGCCCCTGGCTCTCCTTCTAGGCCACTGGAAGGCACGAGGGGAAGTGGGTGTCTCTCACTCCCTGCTCGGACCTGCGCCAATTCCTGGCGAAGACCTTTCGATGGCTTATTTCACACGAGCTGTAGAGCTTGGCTATTATGTTTCCACTACTTTTTTTAGAACAAAGCTTGTTTAGATATATCATATTATATTATGAATCTGCTTATGTGCACATCGCATTACAAGACAGGTCAACAGTCTTGGATCCCCTGGAAGTAGAGCAGGGGAGAGAACACCGCAAAATGAGATGTCAGGAACTTACCCAGCTCAATTTCCCTCCAACCGATTACGTGAAAGCAAATGCTAAGGGCACAACAAATGTTCGAAAGTTGCAGCACTACCCATTACAAGGCTCTCCCCCCCTCTCCCCCCCCCCCCCCCCCCCCCCCCCCCCCCCTCACTCCCCTCCCCCTTCCTCTCTATATCCACTCCTTACCCCTAACACACCCCCCTCCCCCTCACTCTTCCCTTCTCTCCCCTACCAGCATGGTCGTACTTATTGGAGCCATGTGAGCCGAGAGCAGCATCGCCCGAGGCAGAGAAGGCCCAGATGAGCCGGTTGGATCCGAGGTAGTTCACCGGGGTTATTCCCGCTGACCCGCTTCTGCTGAACCTGCCAGTGCAGAGGGACAGAGGAGTGTTTTTTGAGTGAACACAGTTATCATCCCCGGTTGGATCCAAGGTAGGCCACTGGGGCTATTCCTGCTGATCTGCTCCGCGTGGACCTGCAACAGCAGAGGAGAGGAGAGGTGCAGTGACCCGATTTCTTGCGTGTGTGTGTGAGCACAGCTGCTGGATTCTTGCGAGATACAACAGCCTCTTCAAACGAGGCTGGTGGAGGGCAGGGGTTGCTAGAGACATGTCTCCACATGGAGCCCACATGGAGAAAATGGAAGGGGCGGCCTTGTGAAGGGGCATGGAGCCTACTCTCGTTCAACTGTCAGCCAACAGTAGATATTCACTCCACAGAGCGTCACGGTGAGTCTCCAAATACCCTCAGATATATTAATTGGCCCAAATGGCTTGAGCTCACATTGATGCCTTGTGTACATCCATAAGGACGTGACATGGGAGCAGCCTGCCCGCCAGCTGCCTGTTACATTGCTGCATATTCGTGTCAATGCTGCCACCCATACTGCCTGCAACACCACAACACACTTACTTCAGCACCGCGCCATTGAACCCTGAGTTCACGGAACCGCCCGAGTGGTGGGGGCCATGGAGCTGTGGCTTGAAATGGTGCACGTCTTGGCAGCACCCCCAAGGCCCCCCAGTGATACACACACTTGAGCAGAACACCGTTGAAGCCTGAATTTACAGACCCTCCAGCGATGGCAAACCGAGAGGTGGGATCCACAGAGCTGTAGCTGGAAATGGCGTATGTCTTGGATTCACTCCCAGGCTCTCCAAAAAACCACTTACTTGAGCAGAACGCCGTTGAAGCCTGAATTCACCGATCCCCCAGTGATGGCAAAGCGAGAGGTGGGGTCCACAGAGCTGTAGCTCGTAACAGCGTACGTCTTGGCAGCGCCCCCAGGCGCGCCAACGACAGCGTCAGCGGGGACCATGGCGCCGCCCTTGGACCACCCCATTGACACCCACCCCCCCGCTGCTGCTGCCGTGCCTGCCTTGGCTTGCAGGCAGAAGGCGGCGCTGGTGGTGGTGAGGAGCTTCCAGTGCAGCATTAGACTGGCGGGGACAGGTGGGGGGGGAGGGGACAGGTGGGGGGGGAGGGGACAGGTGGGGGGGGAGGGGACAGGTGGGGGGGGAGGGGACAGGTGGGGGGGGAGGGGACAGGTGGGGGGGAGGGGACAGGTGGGGGGGAGGGGACAGGTGGGGGGAGGGGACAGGTGGGGGGAGGGGACAGGTGGGGGGGAGGGGACGGGAGGATGGGAGAATGTGGAGTTTTAGTGGCTTGCAGGGTGACGAGGCACATGTGGTGGGGGTGACGAGGCACATGTGGTGGGGGTGACGAGGCACATGTGGTGGGGGTGACGAGGCACATGTGGTGGGGGTGACGAGGCACATGTGGTGGGGGTGACGAGGCACATGTGGTGGGAGTGCCAGGCAAGGCTAGCAAGGATCTGCCCAGGGGTGTGGTAAGGGAGAGCAGTTTGGGCCTGCCTAGCATGAGGTCAAACCGGGCTCTCACCGGTGTGACTCTCATGCGACCTGGGCTCGCATAGGCTGCTGGTAGTTGAGGGGAGATTCGGGAAGGGAATCATGCAGACAGGACTTTCCAGTGGAGTGCGAGAGGGGGGCGGGTAAGGGAGCGGCGAGTGGTGGAGGGAAACAGAAAGACAGGAGTGTGAGTGGGTTGCAATGCGGAAAAGGAGGCACGAAGGGAGCAGGGGGAAAGAGGGAATGAGGGCAGAAAGGAGGGGGAGAGAGGTGCTGATTAAGTTTAACAATGCTCTGTGCTCTCGAGAGTGAGTGGCTATTATGCTGGGCTAATCACACAACTTGGGCGTCTGAGGTAGCACTTCCCCCCGCAAAAGCATCATATCGCCTTCCCCATCAACTCCTTGTTCCTTGCCCCTCGCCCCTTGCTTCTCTCCCCTTGCCTTTTTACCCTTGCCCAGGGTAAGTCCCCCTTGCCCAGGGTAAGTCCCCCTTGCCCAGGGTAAGTCCCCCTTGCCCAGGGTAACTCCCCTTTGCCCAGCGTAACTCACCCCTTGCCAGGGTAACTCACCCCTTGCCCAGGGTAACTCACCCCTTGCCCAGGGTAACCACAGACGTGTAGCCGGGGAGGCTGGAAGCCGAGCAAGACGTCTTGCGGGAGCCGAGGCAGTTAGAGGAAGGCGGGGGCGAGGGAGTGCGGGTGGCCGGAGGGGGGGAGGAGTCGTAGGAGGGAATTGTGGCATCACCGTCACCATCGGCAGTGCAGGAGAAGTCAACGACTGAGATGCCCCTGAGGGGAGCACAGAGCGCGGCGAGGGGCGAGGAGAAGGGGCGGAAGGAAGTGTGGAGCGGGTTATGAGGTGTGAGAGGAGTGGAGTGGATGATGTGAAAGGGGGGAGAGACTTTTACTCAAAAGTCGACTTTTGAGTCGACTCAGAAGTGTGGAGCGGGTTTTGAGGTGTGAGTGGAGTGGATGATGTGAAAGGGGGGAGAGAGACGTGGTGTTGGCGGTTAGCTGGCTGTTGATGCCACAGCGGTGCAGCGGCGATCCTACAAGGGAATGCCGACTCGCCCATGTGCAACAGTGTCACACCTGGAAGCTGCAGAGGGGCGTGCAGCACAAGAGTCATTACTCAGCTCAAAAAGAAAAAGAAAGAAAGAAAGAAAGAAAGAAAAAAACAAAAACAAACACGAGGCTGACCGGTAGAAGGGCGGCAGGGTGGGGTTGGCGGAGGAGTCGGTGGTGAAGGCCCACAGCAGGCGGTTCCTGCCGTAGTAGCTCACCGGCACCGACCCATCCGCCCTCTGGCGGGAGAACCTGGGTTGAGGAGGGGGAGAGGGGGAGGGGAGTGGGAGAGCGGGGGGGGTTGGGAGCGGGGAGGATGAGAAGGGAGAAAGCAGGCCACGGTGGGTTGGCTGGTGGTGTCCGCTGCTGCAGTGCATTTACACAACGCCATCCGCTTCCCCTCTCACACAAGAACCACATTACGCCCAGCCGCACCCAGTGAGCAGCCTTGTGTGCAGCGGAGGTGCTTCAATGCCTCACCATCGTGCGGCGGGCCCACGCTCACTTTCTCACAGCCCCATGGGCCCGCAGGCTCTAAATGCCGGCTTTGCCCATACCGAGTAACCCCACCACCCAGTAACCCCACCACCGAGTAACCCCACCACCGAGTAACCCCACCACCGAGTAACCCCACCACCGAGTAACCCCACCACCGAGTAACCCCACCACCGAGTAACCCCACCACCGAGTAACCCCACCACCGAGTAACCCCACCACCGAGTAACCCCACACTCACTTGATGACCGCGTCACTAATGGTCGTGTGGAAAGCCATTCGTCCCACCCAGGGTGAAGGAGGCCGGCATTTGAGTGGACTCCAAAGTACCCCCACCCACCCCAGGAACCAACCACTCACTTCATGACCGCACCACTCAAGGACGTGGAAGTGCCATCCGCCCCAGGTAGAATGGTGCGATGCACCTGGTAACCTGGTAACCCACCTCCTGATAGGCCCACCACCCGGTAACCCGTCCACTGACTTCATGACGGCGCCGTTGAAGGTGGTGCGGAACGCCGTCCGCCCCAGGGTGAACGGACGAGACACCTGGTAACCTGGTAACCCCACCACTCACTTCATGACGGCGCCGTTGAACGTCGTGCGGAACGCCGTCCGCCCCAGGGTGAACGACGCCGGCTGTGCGCCTGCCGCCCCGGGCCCGCTGATGGTGAATGCTGCCACGGTACGCTGCCCGAAGAGGTTTCCGAAGATGGCGTCGCTGGGGAAGGGCTGCCCCTTGCGCGCCCACGCCAGCATCAGCCACCCGCCGCCGCCCGCGCCGGTGGTGCTGCGCTCCTCCACTGCCAGCTTGAGGGCGTCGCGTGAGGTGATGGTCCAGTGGAGCATGTAGCTGCGGGGGAGGGAACACGGAGAGGGGAATAAGGGCTTGAGGGGATGAGAGAATGAGGGGTTGAGGAGATGAGGGGATGAGGGGAAAAGAGTCCGCCCCTCCACTGCGAGCTTGAGGGCGTCCCGCGAGGTGATGGTCCAGTGGAGCATGTAGCTGCGGGGGAGGCGGGAATAGGGAGAGGGGAATAAGGGCTTGAGGGGATGAGGGGATGAGGGGAACCAGAGTCCTCTGCTCCATTCTAGCTTGAGAGAGTCTCTTGAGGAGATGGTCCAATGCAGCATGTAGCTGGGAAGGCTGGGATAGGGAGAGCGGGGATAAGGGCTTCAGGGAACGAGGGGCACAAGAAAGCTGCTGCTTTCCTCCCGAGCTTGAGGGAGTTCCGTGATGTGCTGGTCCGTGATGTGCTGGTCCGTGATGTGCTGGTCCGTGATGTGCTGGTCCGTGATGTGCTGGTCCGTGATGTGCTGGTCCGTGATATGCTGGTCCGTGATGTGCTGGTCCGTGATGTGCTGGTCCGTGATGTGCTGGTCCGTGATGTGCTGGTCCGTGACGTGCTGGTCCGATACAGCAGTAGCTGCGTGGGAGAGACCGGGTTTTGAGTGGGAGGGATTGTGGGGGGCGAAAAAGGGTGGCGGGATCACGGAAACACAAGAGTGGTGGCTGGTTAGGGACTGAAGGGACTAAGGGGATCAGGGGCAGCGGAACAGGGGAGCAGGCGAGTGGCGAGCTTGAGAGCGTCTCGTGACGTGCTGGTCCGATACAGCAGTAGCTGCGTGGGAGGGATCCGGTTTTGAGTGGGACGGATTGGGGAAGAGAGGGGGGGATCAGGGAATCAGCGGACAAGGGAGTGGGGAGCTTGCTTGCGGATGTCTAGGGCCGGATGGTGGGACCAGGGAGGCGGAAGTTTGCGGCGAAACGAGGCAACGGGGAGCATTGGTGGATGCACAGTTGTGTGGATGGCAGGGGAGAGTCGACAACCAAGATGCGCCTTGCTACTAGACACATGAAAAGTGCCGCAGGCGGCATGTGACATGCGTTTCGAAGCATGCGACTTGCTTTTCGCGACTCGCGAGGCATGCATTTTACTACAGGCGACAGGCGTTTTCCGTATGGTCTACTAACCTCAGGTTGATGCTGCATGATGCGATGCACGCTCCGCGTAACCACTGGCACCCTCGATTCCCCGCTCGCGAAGCGGAAGGCGCAAGGCGGAAGGGAAGGAAAGTCAGAGTCACAACCTCCCGGGACTTCCTCCCCCCTTCGTCACTACCTGTACTCGTTACAATACGTACCCGTTACCCGACAGGTCGACCATGTTCGAGTAACCGGCCATCGTCGACGTCTGGCACGCCGGCGTCCGCCGCAACAGTCGCCGCGACTCGGAGATCCCGCGCCCCGCCCCAGAGGGGCTCCAGCCATCATACCCGTCCTGAATCAGGCTTTCGTTGGATAGCGCGTCCCACGGAGGCCGGGCTTCAGCCGGCGAGCGTAATGCTGCGTCGGACGTGGATCGTGCGGCTAATACGGAAGCAGCAGTCATCGCAGTCAGCAGGTACAGAGCTGTGCTGACGTGGAAAGACTTGGAGGCTGACATGGGGAACGCGAGGCGCCGGCGGGGACGAGTAAGGGAGAAGCGTCGGCGGCGAGGGGCGAAGGAAACAGCGTAGCTAGCTGACTCGGAAAGGACCGTCGCCGCCATATATCGTTGCGAGGAAGAACGTCGGGGAAAACGGCGCAACGTCGTAACGCTAGCACGACTTCACAGGATCGAATTGCCTCCCTATAGTGCTACTTTGAACCCTGGTGGTTCCGGAAGTATTGTCAGTCAACGTTCTTAAAGTCCGCCGAATCGAGACAAATCCTATTCGGTAATATGAAAGGTCTGCGCCGTGAGGAGTGGCTGAGGGTGGTAAAATACTGGTTCAAGGCGCCGGGGAGGAGTGATATCGGCGGGTCGTAAGAGCAAGTAAAGCAGTCCTTATTGCAGAACCTGGTTGCTGACTTGAGCACAGGAACCGTGGTGGAGGGCCGCAATGTTCTTAGACTTTTACCGCGCTCCGCCGTTCTCAACCGTTCTTCAATGTTCTGTCATTGTTTTCGGGGCTGTGTGGTGGGTGTGCGTGAATGATGGTGGTGCATGAAGGTGCTTGGAGAGGAATTGGAAGTCGAGTCGCCAATTTCCATAACCAGGCACATTGTCGCACCGTGAAGGCAGGAAAGCCGAAGCGCTCTCCCCGACAATATCGTCCTCCTCAAGTCAGGGAAGAGCGATATCCGCTGTCCAATCACCACCACCCACAACCTCAAGAGACTGATTTCCGTAACGGGCATATCACATATTTTTGACGAGGTGACCAGCAACAATATTTCTTCCCTCAGCTCCAAGACATATGTGATGTTCGCTAATGATGCTTTTAGTAAGCCGAAGCTCAAACACATATTTTTTTAGAGTGTAACAACTAAACAATTTTTCATATGAGCATATCGTTGCTAGCACACTTCTGAGACGTGGTGTCTCCACGTCATCTCCACCAGTGCCTATGGCGCGAGTCAAAATTGTGATAGCACAAGCAATATGCGTGCCAAGACGAGTGACGTGGTCGTGCTGCACGGAGCGATGCGTTATGGTGTAAAGATTCGGTATACAGCACATTTGAAAGTGGCGGGTTCAGAATCCTTACGAACTTGAAAGTTGGTACCGAATTACAAGCCCACAACCCTCGTTAGTTTCGCCGATTTCGTCGATCTGTCGAAGGAGAAAACGTATAGTCCCGCGCGCGTATGTTCCGCTGCAGATTCGACCCTATATTTGAATGTGGTCGGCCAAGGGTCAAGCGTTGGCAACTTTCGCAGACAGCCCCCATCGGCATCCGCGAAGAGAGTTACCAGCCAATGGTCGAACTGTTTTCTGAACCAAATTGCGGGTGAGTGCACGACTAACGATGATGCTAGCAGTACGCGTTAGTATGGGCCTCGATACGCGTTAGTTCTAAACTCTGCAATGGCTGTGACGACTCCGCCGATTACGTCATTCACTCCGCGGGTGACGTTGACGTCTCATTGCGCAGCTCGGCGTCGGGAATCCCGTGTCGGGAAGCCCGGCCGAGCCAATAGCCTCGTCGCGCGTAGTAGCAGTCAATGGCGATTCGGCAGTGATAGGCTATTCGCAGGCCGATTCGAACCTAGATATTCGCGGGGAGCATCTGTTAAGGCGTATTCAGCGAGCTTGTTACACCGTACGTTTCAGAGTGTCGATTTGTTCAGAAAGTCGCGCCTATTTCGTCCCGAGCCGGTGCCGGCGCAGCAGATTCGACATCGACGGCGAGAAGTAACGAGCCGGGCTATTTCGGACCCGTTCGCGTTCTCGTTTGACGATGGAGAGGCGAACGAGGAAGGGGATGCGGCGGAGAGCAATGGCTACGGCGGCAACGAGCGAGGTAAGCCACAACGAGCGAGGTAAGCGACAACGAGCGAGGTAAGCAGCAAACCGGAAATCCTTCTAAACTTGCATCAGCTATATAAAGAATTCGTAAAAGTGGCTATCTTAAAGAATCCATTCAAGCATGCACCTAGTCACATTCTCGTTTGATGGCGGAACAACGGCCCCTCCAGCAGCCGGAAAGGGAGGGTGAGAGCGGGAGCGGGAGGGGGCCGAGTGGGAGGAGCAGGAGGGGGAGGAGGACGAAATTAGCCACTTCAGAAATCTGCATCTGCGCAACTTTCTCTCCCATCATTCCTCTCTTCCTCTCTCTCTTTCCTGTCCCCACACCCACATCCACACCCACACCCACATCCACATCCACATCCACATCCACACCCACACCCACACCCACACCCACACCCACACCCACACCCACACCCACACGCACACGCACACCCACATGCACACACACACACACACACACACACACACACACACACACGCACACGCACACGCACACTTACACACACACCTACACGCACACGCACACACACATCCACACCCACACACACATCCACACACACACCCACACCCACACGCACAATCCAAGGCCCACAGGCATCATAACGGCTAACCCCCTTCTCCACCCGCTCCTTCTTTTGTTGCGCTCTGCTGCTGCCCCTGCCGCGCCCCAAGCCCCCTGAATGCCCCATCCCACCCCAACATCTTTCTCTTTCCCTAGTTCCCCCCCCTCCCTTTCCCCCCCTATTTTCCCCGTTTCTTTTTTCTTTTCTCTCAATCTCATCCCCCCCGTTCCCCCTCGTCATTCCCCCTCATGCAGACCCGGAGGCGGACACCCTAGCAGCCCTCGACTGGCCCGCCCTCTGCGCCACCCTCGCCTCCTTCGCCGCCACCTCATACGCGCGCCGCCTGCTGCTCTCCCTGCGGCCCCCCAAAGCACCCTCCCAGGCCCACCCCACACTCGCCCTCCCCCCTCGCACTCACACCCACTCAGTAAAAGTCCCCTTAGAAATAGCCCCTTCAGAAGAAAATCTCCCCATGTGGGGGTATGCAGAGGTACAGGAGCATTGCGAGGGGCTGCTGGAGGAGACAGCCGCGGCGATTGAGCTGGAGGAGAGGGCCGGGGGCGCTGTGGACCTCAGTGGCGTGAATACCTCGTTAGTGGGCGATGCGTTAAGAGTGCTGGGGCGCGGGATGAGCGTGAGCGGGCGGCAGGGTGCTGCTGTGGCTGCGATGATGGTGGCGGCGAATGGGGTGCGGCGCGGGGTGATGGACGCTGTTGCTGAGGTGGAGCGAGGAGGAGAGGGGGGTGGAAGGGAGGCGGGTGAGAAAAGCCGCCTGCACATTCTTCTGGACATGGTGAGTGCATGTACAAGGGGGATGAGGAGGCTGCAATGCAATTATGATGACTGTAATGAGCCGGCTGCATGTGCTTCTGGATTTGGTGAGTGCTTGATGCTGGGTTGGATGGCAGCAGGGTTGACTTGACTGGTGGGAGGCGATGGTGGCGGCCAATGGTGTGCGGCGAGGGGTGATGTGATGGATGCTTTTGCTGACGTGGAGCGGGGAGGGGAGGGGGGTGGATCTAGCCGGCTGCACGTGCTTCTGGGTTTGGCGAGTGATAGTAGAAGAGGGATGCTGAGTGGCTGTGAGGATGAAGACTGTAGCGCATGGGGTGAAAAAGGAGAGATGAGGGGGGAGGTGAGGGTGGAGAGGATGGGAGAGAGGAGGGAAAAAAGGAGGAGAGAGAAAAAAAGGAGGAGAGAGAAAAAAAGGAGGGGAGGAGAGAGGGAGGATGGGAAGGGAGTCGCAAAAATCTGTTGCACTGGTGAGTTCTCATATGGAATGAGACTGGTGCTGGAGGGATGAGGGGTGGTGGTGAGGTGATTGGGTCACTGGGGTGACGGGATGGAGGATGCATGCTGTATGTCAGTCGAGGATCAGGCTGCTGGCATGGCATGGGGTTGAACGTGGCATGGGGTTGAACGTGGCTGCAAATTTGGGTGGAGTGGTGGCGACTGTGCTGACCGGATGGAGGATGGATGCTGCTGTCTCTATCACTCCCCCCTTAACTCCACTTCACCCTCTTCTTCCCTTCCCCCGCTCCCGTTGCAGCTCACAAGCCCATGGTGGCCAGTTCACAAGCCCATGGTGGCCAGTTCACAAGCCCATGGTGGCCAGCTCACAAGCCCATGGTGGCCAGCTCACAAGCCCATGGTGGCCAGCTCACAAGCCCATGGTGGCCAGCTCACAAGCCCATGGTGGCCAGTTCACAAGCCCATGGTGGCCAGCTCACAAGCCCATGGTGGCCAGCTCACAAGCCCATGGTGGCCAGCTCACAAGCCCATGGTGGCCAGCTCACAAGCCCATGGTGGCCAGCTCACAAGCCCATGGTGGCCAGCTCACAAGCCCATGGTGGCCAGCTCACAAGCCCATGGTGGCCAGCTCACAAGCCCATGGTGGCCAGCTCACAAGCCCATGGTGGCCAGTTCACAAATGTTTCGGTTCTGAGTCACCTCAGGCACCTCCTCACCTTCCCCTCCCCTCCCCCCCCCCCCCCCCACCCCCGCGACCCCCCATCAGCTCAAGCCCATGGCCACCAGACCAGACTTGGTTCGGCGCATCTGGTCTGTCGTGGACGAGGACGGGCAGGTTCGGGACACAGCGAGCGCGGAGGTTCGGCAGGCCCGAGCTGCGTGTCAGCTGGCCGCCGCCCGGGCGAGGGAGGCAGTGGCGCGGGCGGCGAGGGGGAGGGGGGCGGGCGGCGGGGTGGTGGAGGAGGTGGTGGAGGTGGAGGGGCGGTTCTGTATGGTAGTGAGCAGACAGCTGATGAGTGCTGGGGAGGGAAACTCGTCCGGCCTTGTCATGAAATCGTGAGTGCCTGCTTTTTGTGCTGCTCTGCTCAGGTATAGCTGTGTGGAGGTGGTGGAGGTGGAGGGGCGGTTGTGTATGGTGGTGAGCAGACAGATGATGAGTGGAGGAGAGGGGAGTTCTTCTGGTCTCGTGATGAAATCGGGAGTGCCTGCTGTCGTGTTTCTCAGGGATGGCTCCTGATTTCACTCACAATTTTGCGGGCAGGGAGGCGGGTGTGGGTGTGGGTGCGGGTGTGGGGATAGGAAAGAATGCGTATGCATGCATGTATGTTGTCTAGGCAGCTGATGATGAGTGGAGAGAGGCATTTAATCAGGCCTAAGCCAAAAAGGGTGTGGGCTTTGTGTGGCCGTGTGGGGAACTCATGAGTTGCTCAACCCCAACCTCATCAGGCCTAACCCCAGTTCATATGCCTCTCCTCTCCTCCGTTCCTTCCCCTGTTTTCTAGCTCATCGCCTTCTCTTGCAGTGATAGAGCCCACATCAGCGGTCCAGCTGAACAACCGGTACAGCGAGGCCAGAGCGGAGGCATGGCGTGCAGAGCAGGCAGTGCTGGCGGTGCTGTCCCGGGAGATGGGCGAGGCGGTGGGCGACGTGCAAGGGGTGCTGGAGGCGATGGTTCGACTCGATGTGGTGAGCGCACCTCCCTCATTCACATGGCATGGACACACACATTAACACATACTTACTTTTACATGCACATGGCACAGATGCTCATACATGTGCGGGCATGGACGTGCAAGGGGTGCTGGAGGCGATGGTTTGACTCGACGTGGTGCGCTGAACTGAGCGCTCGTCATTCTTGCATTCAGAGAGATGCATTTATGAGCGCACAGACGACAGCGGTGGGGTGCGGGACGTGCAAGGGGTGCGGGACACACACCATCTCGCGAGTAGCAAGCACCTTCAATACCACACACCATCATACTCCCCCCTCACTCACTCTCCCCTCCTGCCATCCGTTTCCCCGTCCTCCATTCATCCCTGTCAGAGCACAGCCACAGCCACAGCCACAGCCACAGCCACAGCCACAGCCACAGCCACAGCCACAGCACGCTATAACAGCGGGGGCTGTGCCTTTTGAGTTTACGCACCACTCTTCCCCCCCCTTCTGTTTTGCCCCTCTCTCTCTCCCTTTCTCTCTCCCCTATGTACTTCGCTTCCCACCATCCCTCCTATCAGATCATAGCGAGAGCGCGTTACAGCAGCTGGCTTGGTGCCTTTTCAATTCCCTCGCCTCATTACCTCTCTTCCTTCTTCTCCCTTTCCCCCTCACCTCCCCTCCGCACCCTACCTCCAACCCTTCTTCCCTGAATCCTTCTCATCAGATCATAGCGAGAGCACGCTACAGCAGCTGGCTTGGTGCCTCTCGCCCGTCCTTCACCCCTCTTGCTGAGGGTCTAGGGTTTACCGTCACCACCACCCCTTCCTCTCCTAATGCCACGTCACCTGAACCTGCCACGTCAACAGTAACTGCCACATCAGTAGACCCTGCCACGTCAGCTGCACCAGCCACGTCAGCAGTACTCTCTTCTCCGCTTGTGGACGTGCATTCCCTCCGCCACCCTCTCCTCCTCCAGCAGTACCGCACCGCCCAGAAACGAGCCAATCAGAGGCTGCAGAAAGCAAAGCGGGCGGCAAATAGGCTGCGCATGCGACCCGGCATGGCAGCCACTGCAGCTGCAGCAGAACAAAGGGTAGCAGCAACAGCGGTAGCAGCAGGAGCAGGAGCAGGAGCAGGAGTGAGTGGTGGAGTGGGGGAGGGTTCCCCTGGAGGGTGGGTGACACAGCTACAGGCAGCAGAGAGGGAAGTGAGGGAGGCAGAGGAGGACGTGGAGCGAGCAGAGATGGCAGTGCCCGTGCCCATAGACGTGACAGTAAGGAGGGGTTGCCGTGTGGTGACTATAACGGGGCCCAACACCGGAGGCAAGACGGCTGCCATCAAAGCAGTGGGGCTCGCAGCTCTCATGGGGAGATGTGGTGAGTGGTTGCGGGGGGGTGGAGAGATGTGGTGAGTGGTTGAGGGGTGGTGGGTGGTGAGTGGTTGGGGGGGTGGAGAGATGTGGTGAGTGGTTGGGGGGGTGGAGAGATGTGGTGAGTGGTTGGGGGGGTGGAGAGATGTGGTGAGTGGTTGGGGGGGTGGAGAGATGTGGTGAGTGGTTGGGGGGGTGGAGACATGCGGTGAGTGTGATATAGATGTGGCAGGGGAGGCGTTGGTGGGGAATTGGATGCTGTGGCACAAAAAAGGCACCCTGTGCCTCCCCTGTGCCGCCCCTCCTCCCTGCCACACTACAGGCATTTATGTGGTGGCATCATCACGGGCCCGCCTGCCTCTCTTCAACCTCGTGCCAGCTGTCATTGGCGACCCCCAATTCCTCACCCACTCCCCCTCCACCACCACTCAGCGCTCTGCTCTCTGCCTGCCCCAACCCCTGTCCGTGCCTCCCCTCCCCAGGCATCTACGTCCTCGCAGCATCACCCCCCCGCCTGCCCCTCTTTGACCTCGTGCTGGCCGACATCGGCGACGCCCAGTCACTCACGCAGTCCCTCTCCACCTTCTCCTCGCACCTCGTCCGCATCAGAAGCATCCTGGAAGCTGCCACGCCACGCTCCCTCGTGCTCTTGGACGAGGTGAGTTTCCCTAAAGGCTCATGAGTCATCCCTCTCACAACTACGAGCAAAACATAATCAGCCATGAGGGATGACGTGGCTGTCAGCCTATCAGCCATGTTATCCAGGAAGCAGCTCTTGGGCACAGCAGTGATTGAAAGGTTTTCTGGTCACAGCAGTGGGCGTGTGCTCTCCCGAAACGCATTTCCCCCCTCATGCAACCTGTCACGTCATGCTCCCTCGTGCTGTTGGGCGAGAAGAATCTATCACCCTCTGATAGGCTCAGCTCAGCCACGCCTTGATACCACCATTCCACATCTCACTCAAATCCGCACTTCTTCTCCCTCCTGCAAGCAACCTGCTGCTCCACACTCGTGCTGCAACAACAGGTGTGCCCCCTCCCTCCATCCTTGGCTCTAGAAAGAAGTTACATCTTTTCTTGCTGCACCTATGCCCAGCCCCTTCCATCCTTCCATCGTCCCTCTTCTTTCCTCCACCCCCCTCCCCCGTGCTTCCGTCCTCTTCTCCCCTCACCTCCCTCTTTCCCCTCACCTCCCTCTTTCCCCTCACTTCCCTCTTTCCCCTCACCTCCCTCTTTCCCCTCACTTCCCTCTTTCCCCTCACCTCCCTCTTTCCCCTCACTTCCCTCTTTCCCCTCACCTCCCTCTTTCCCCTCACCTCCCTCTTTCCCCTCACCTCCCTCTTTCCCCTCACCTCCCTCTTTCCCCTCGCCTCACCCCCAGTTTCTCCCCCCTATCCTCCCAGCCCCCCTCTTTTCTCCCTGATCCTCCCGTCAACGTCTTTCCAGCTGTGAGCTGGCATGGGTGCAGTGTAAGAAGCTGCACTGGTTACACTAGCGCGTAGCGTACGCCCTTCCTTCCTTCCTTCCACTCACCGCCCTCCTCCTCCCCACATCAACATCCTTCCAGCTTTCGGCGGGCATGGAGATAGACTCAAAAGAAGGGCCTGTATGGCCTGCATGGCCTGCATGGCCTGCATGGCCTGTATGGCCTGCATGGCTGGCATGGCTTGCATGGCTGGCATGGCTTGCATGGCTGGCATGGAGAAGGGGCACGGGGATATACTTAAAGAAGCAGTGCTCTGGCAACAGCGGTGCTCAGCCAAAGCAAGCCCGGTCCCTCGCCTTTTCCTCCATCCCTTTCCCTTCCCTCTCTTCCTGTTCCCCCCTCCCCTGTCAACGCCCTTCCAGCTAGGAGCAGGCACGGACCCGATAGAAGGGGGCGCTTTGGCCACAGCAGTGCTAGAGCATCTAGCAGGGGGGTCGGAAGAAGGTTCAGGCGAATCTTCAGGTGTTTCTTCAGGTGGTGCTCTGCTGACCATGGCTACAACGCATCACGGGCAGCTCAAGACGCTCAAATACAGGTCAGTGCAAATGCACAACGATTTATCCATGGCTTGTGGTGCCGAGTGTATGCACGGGTTAATTCTCTATTTGCACACGTTTTCTCAGAATCTGCAAGCCGTCTTGCAAGAGATAGACATTCTTGAAGAATCATGCTAAAGTTTTTTAGCAGGCTGAATCTGCATCCCACTCCACCTGTTTTTGTTTTCTAGTCTAGTCTTTTAACCTCATTGCCTGGATTCAATTCACCTGATTTTACGAGTCTGTTTAATGGCGAGTGTTTGCCTCCCACTGACTGCCTCGTGTGGCCCGTCCCCCCTCCGTCACGTTCGTATTCTCTTCCCCTTGCCCTTTGGTTCTCCTTCCCTGCACGGACAGGGGCGCACCCTTTCACAACGCCTCGGTGGAGTGGAGTGTGATGACAAGTGCATGGCTCCCACCCACGAACCGCCTCCTGTGGGGCGTCCCCGGCGAACACAGGGGTGGGATGCCAGCCGCAATCATGCCATTCTTTCCCTTGCCTTGCCCCCACCCGTCCTCCTCTCTCTTGTATTAACTCCCCTCCATGGACAGGGACGGGCGCTTTGAGAACGCATCAGTGGAGTTTGACGATGAGCGCCTGGCTCCCACGTACCGCCTCCTGTGGGGCATCCCGGGGCGATCCAATGCGCTCAACATAGCGCAAAGGCTCGGACTGCCCGGAGAAATCATTTCGGCTGCCCGGGAGCTGCAAGGCAGTGCAAAGATGCAAGTGAATGAGGTGAGTGCATGCGACTGTGTCTTTTTTCCCGCTGGTATTCCAAGAAGGCCCCAATTGGAGTCACTTATGAGAATCCCAAGGCATGTAGCTATTTTCTCTCTCCCTGAAATTCTAAGGCTTCAGGTATCTGATAATCAGTTACGAGCAACAGAAAAAAAAAAAAAACAAAAAAAAAAACACACACACAAAAAAAAAAAAACAAACAAACAAACAAATTTTGTTCTTTTGATAAACTGTGATGTTGGCAGGTAATAACAGCAATGGAGGAAGCTAAAAGGGCGTATGAGACTGATGTGCAGGCCACTGCCTCTATTCTAAGGTGGGTGGGGGAGTGGGTGTGGGTGGGTGTGGGCGTAGATGGGGGAGTGTGGTTTGTATGTGGGTGCATGTGGGTGCATGTGGGTGCATGAAGCGGATGTGCTGGCCTCTGCTTCCACTCTAAGGTGGGTTGGGGGAAAACACGGATGGGAGGAGGTTGATGTAATTGGTCCTTCTCTTCTCTCTCTTTCTATTTCTCTCCCTATCCCACAGCCAAGCAGAGTCCCTTTATTCTGACCTAACTTCAGCTGCCCGGCGCCTGCAGCTGCACCAGCAGGCATTGCAGCTGGACGGGCAGCAAAAAGTTCAGGCCGCGGTTGTTGACGGGCAGAAGGCGATCCGGGCAGCAGCCCGGGCAGCTGTGAGAAAAGCGAGGGAGGCCGAAGAAGCAGCTTTGTTTGAAGTGGGTGCGGGGAGGAGGAGAGGGGGGAGGGGGAAGGAGGGGGGAGCAGCTGGGTGGGGCGCAGTGGAGGGGACGACAGGAAGCACACTGCCTCAAGGTATGTGTGAGGGCGTTTGAGGCGCTTCAAACAATGAGCGAGGGAGCTGTGAGGGGGAGTTGGGGGGGATGAGGGGTGGTGGAATTTCCCAAGGTATGTGTGTAAGTGTGTAGGGTGCTGTTAGATGAGAGGGGGGAGGGAAAGGGGGGGGGGAAGGCGCCTCGTGCAGTATGGAGGAGAAGTTGCCTACAGAACCGCCCTTGTGTGTATGGTAGTTTTCTGTCCCTTTTTTTGGGTAAGGGTGGTGTCTTTACGATAGAGCGGAATAGGGAGAGGGGAAGAAGCCTTTGGGTGGACTTTGAGGACAGCCTTTTCAGCAGTAGTAGTCTAGGGTTTAGTAGTAGTCTAGGGTTTAGTAGTAGTCTAGGGTTTAGTAGTAGTCCTTCTCCCTCCCTCCCTCCCTCCCTCCCTCCCTCCCTCCCTCCCTCCCTCCCTCCCTCCCTCCCTCCCTCCCTCCCTCCCTCACTCGCTCACTCGCTCTCTCGCTCACTCGTTCACTCACTCTCTGGCCTGCTCGCTCAGTTACTGACTCACTCACCCTCTCCATTTCTCGAAATCCCTCCTTCACACACAGTCATTCCCTCTCTTTCTTACCGCGATCCCATCCCTCTCTACCCTTCCTTCTCATCCTCCATCTCCATTTCAAATCAGCACCTACAGCATCTCCAATCCTCCTCGTTCTGTCTGAAATGAGTTGCTGTTTTCAATCAAAGCAACTTTTTCCCAAACCCTCTTGACCTGTCCAAAATATTATATTTATATGCATATGTATTTATATATGATTCCCTAACTCCTCACCTTCTCTCGAATACTTGCAGCCACCAGCAGCAGCGTGCTTTCTTCCACAAAAATGCTCATGCAGTCGAAGCAGGCGAAGCAAGACAAGGGGCTTGCTGTTGGTGCAACTGTCTCAGTGCCTCGTTTGGGGCTGAAAGGGAAAGTGCTTCAAGTGAATGCGGAAAAAGGGGAGGTGTTGCTACAGTGCGGACGCATGCAAATGACTGTTTTGTTGGATGATATATAGCCTTTTCTGTTGATGTACAGTGATTCCCTGGATAGACGCTTCTCCACAGGATAAACCCCAGGGCTTTTCAGTAGTACTGTTACCAGTCATTGTGAAACAAGCACAAGGAATTATACAGTAGGTCATCTCATCTTCCCCAGCAACCCAGTTGTACACCTCCTCGTCATCTTCATGCATGAGCACTGCAGGATGCAGCGGCCACCTCCTCTACCCTCCATGTTTTCAGAATGGAGCACATCACACACCCAAGGGTCTTAAGAAATTAGTGCCATTTGTTCCATATGCCAGTCAAACAAATTCCTCTATACAATCAAACCCCATTCTTCGAAAATATATGGTACCACAGACTGTCAGCACCTAGGTGCACCCGTTCCACGAGGGCCGCTGAAAACCACTTAGAAGCCGCGGCGCTTAGGTTTTGGAATGATCCCAGCCGACATAGATGAACTGCGGGATCAGCTGGTGCACCTTCCAGGCAGCTACTGCCAGCGCTGCTGACATCAGCAGCAGGACAAGAGAAAACACAACAGAGGCGGATGGAAACGCAAGGGGAACAGCAACGGCAGCAGCAGCGGCGAGCAGGGAGAGAGCGGGCAGCAGCAGGTGTGCGCGCTGCAGGGTGGCGAGGGCGGAGGAGCAGGAGGTGCAGTGTGCCGTGTGGGAGGCCATTCGGTCCAACACCACTGCCTTGGGCAGCGGCTGGGGGGGCAGGGAGTAGCCCGGGGGGTAGGATACCGCGCCGCCTGTTGGAGGGGTGGGAGGGCAGGGAGGCAGGAAAGGTGTGCTTGTTATGTGCCAAGGGTGCAGAGCTGCTGTGGGCCAACAGGGGAACCACTTGCTATTGTAGGAGCTGAAGGTGGGTGAGGGAAGTGGAGTGCAAGGTGCAGCATTGAGCAGAGAGCTTGGGCAGAGGAAAATCAAAGAGGGCCTAGAGCACGCTATATTCAGTCATGGAGGGTGCATGCGATGCGAGTACAAGAGACACACATCCATCGCCAAGTGCATAGCCTACCCGCATACGTGCCCATCCACTGGCGAAAGGCCACCACAAAGAGGTCAGCAGGGGCGGGCAGGAAGTACTCCGACTGCCAGAACCGTGCACTCGCCCTCTCACCCGCCCTCTCCGCCGCCTCCTGCTCCTGCTCCGTCATGCCGCCTGCCCTTGCCCTGGCCGTGGCAGCGGCGCGATGACGGGCGGCAATGGCTTGGATTTTGTGGCCCACGAGGATGTCCTGACAGTGCAGAAAGTAGTTGTCACCTGGGAGGGGAGGAGGAGGGAGGGAGGAGGGGTGAGGGGGAGGGGGGGGGGAGGGGGAGGTAATCAATGGAGAGGAGAGGAGGTCATAAATCGGTAGGGCAGGAAAAGGAACATTGGAACCATAGGTCTACTCATTACAAGCAGCACTAGCGTCGATGCGCCACCATGGACACGCAGAATGTTACCATGGATGGAACAATGAATGATGTACTCATGGCCAGCATGTGCGGCACTAATACTCGGAAAAGCATGACCGCCTGCTGATATGCTGTAGCGACTCCAGGCATGAACAGTAGGGGGCAGGGCAGGAGAGGAAAGCAGGGTGGGCGGGCATCGTACTGTCAAAGATATTGTGAGTGAAGAGGTGAGCGCGCCACGCCTGCGACGCAAACTGCTCGCCCCACAGCGACTTCCTCCTCGGCGCTTCCGCCCTCTCACCCCGCTTCGCGCCACAGCTACCGATACCAGCCCCCCTGCTGCCCTTCACAACACCCTTACTGTTGGCCTTCACCACCCCCTCGTTGTTTCCCTGCAGGAAGATCATGAGGCACTCCCCTGGGCGCATGGGCGTCATGTACAGGCAGATGAGCACCGTTGTGGGCGCGGGGGGCGCTGCTCCCGCCGCCGCTGCTGCTGCCGATGGTGGTGGAGCGAGGGTGCTGCAAGTGGTGACGAGCGGGGTTAGCAAAGGGCCGTGGCTCGGTTCAGTGACATGGTGGGTCCGGCCACACGAGCAGCACATGCACAGCCACCTCTAGCATGCGCCGTGCTATTCAGTGTCAGCACGGAATGCCTTTTCATGGTTTGGAACAAGGACATTGCAGCGGTTGTGGCGAGTGCAATAAAGGCTCAGTACTCGCATACCGGTTGTAGCAGATGAAGGTGGGGGCGCTGAATGTGAAGGTGGCAGGCGAGGAAGCATCATGGAAGGTGCCTTGGAAGCCGTCCTTGGTCTGACAGCACATGGGTGGGAGGATGTGAAGAGGATAGAACAGAAACGAGCAAAATTGGGGGATTAAAGCGGAGCTTTGCTGACTCACTACATGCGCCCGCCATGCATTAGTATGGAGTGATAAGGCATGGCAAAGAGCAGCATAAGTGGTAAGGAGCAGCACGAAGTGTTACGGAGCTTTGCAGTATTGCGGACATGTCGCAATGAAGTGCACAATGAGCCATTATTTAGACATGTCGCTTATTATCCTTCTCACCACGAATCTACAGTGTAGAAATGTTGTCTGTCACGGCATATATCACCTCGTCTTCGAACGCAGATGGAGGGACTTGATGAAAGCTAACAAGGTTGTTTGCAAGCCCCAACAGGCTCAAACGCGTTCAGCCTTGATCAAGCCTCTCCAGCTGCGCTCAAAGAGGAGGCGACGTATGTTGCGGCAGACAACACTCCTGCGCTAAAAAGTAGCTGGTGAGCACAAGTTCGACATGAAACCGTGTGCTTGTGGTTTGCAGTGAACCAAAAGCGGTATATACACACATACGTGAAGCCTGCTATTGAGATTGTGCACTTTAAATTATAGACTGATGAAGCACATCCTTTATCACACTCATCTCATCTCACCACGCGCTGCACGCTGATCTCCTTCATGGGCGCCCCCTGGTCGCGGTGCAGAGGGCCGATGCCATGGTGCGCGAAGTAGAGGTGCGACGGGTCGGCAAAGTTCTCCGCCAGCATCTCGTAGCTGTAGGGCAGGCGCCGTGCATACAGCGCCACGTCAAAGGCCGACCAGTCCACGCCCTCGGGCTCGGGGATGGCCGTGCGCTCCGCCTCTTCTGCTGTCACTGTCCGGCCACACAAAGAGAATGCCCTGCCAGGGGAAAGTGGGGTGGGGTTGGGTGGGCGTGGGGTTGAGGAAGACGGGGGATAGGGGGGGATTGAGGGGGGGAAGGCAGGGAAAACCGCATGCGGTAACGCAGAGCATGCTTTCAAACTAGTCCAGTCTGGTTTGCCTTGGATTTTCTGGGAGAGAGAACTCTCGTGCCGTTCAAGAAAGAGAAGCGAGTGTGGGCGTGGCTCAAGTGTTTGAATCCGGGCGAAGAAAACGCGAGAGGGAGGCAAGAGGACGGGGTGGGAGAGAAATATTACAGGGAGGAAGGAGTATGGTTTCAGAGGTGGAAATAGCATGCAGCAGCAGCACAAGGGCACAGAAAGGTGCGAACACTCACATGGAACACCCTGGTGGGGAAGGCTGTGGCGCAGGCACGGGGGGAGGCGAGGGCACGGGGCGGGTGGCCCGGGTTGTCTTGGGGCGCCTGGGGGATGAGCTGGCACGTGCCACTGCCTGCAAACGCCCACCCGTGGTACGAACACGCCAGCCGCCCTGATGAGTCTATGTGACCCTGATGGGAGAAGGGGTCCAAAGGGGCGGAGGAAAGGTGGATGCGGGAGGGGAAAGGGGAGGGGAAGGGGGGAAAGGAGGGAAGCGGACGGGGACGACGGAATGAGAGAGACAGAGACGCGAGGCACCCACACGAGGATAGGCCGCAGTGGAGGGACAGGGGCAGTGGAAAAAGAAGTACGGTGGGAAGTACACGTGGCACATGCGTTGCATGCCAGGTGGCTGGCTGGATGCGTCCTTGAGAGACAGCGGGGAAGAGGAGGGAGGGAGAGACGATAGGGTTGGTTGGCGACGCAAGCGCCTGGAATTGTGCATGCAGGTGAAGGAGGAGAAAAGGGCAGGCAGATGATGGGATGCAGAGAGGGGGGGGACGTGGATGGAGGGAAGATGGAGTTGCGATGCGGAGAACCAATGTGGTGCCGGGCACGACATGCGCGGGACGGAGGGAAGGAGATGGAAACGAGGCGGTGGGAGTTTCCACGAGTGGGGATTCAGAAGAGAGACGTGGCAGTGGGAGTTGGAGGGCTGTGGTGTGGAGAGAACGAGATGCAGGATTAGTTGACGGTAAACAGGTGGGGTGCGGAGCAGGGCTGACGATTCAAGGGCAAATGCCCTTAATGCCCTGAACATTAAGGGTTGGGTTGGGCCTAGCTTCCAAATTTTAAGTGTTTGATTTGAGGGCAGCCCGTCCCCGTAAAGTGCTGGTTGTGGGCCTAACCCGGATTTCAAGTTCAGATCCCGCGGCTAGCCCTTATTGTCCCATACTAACACCTCCCTACCTCCCATTCCCTCACCCGTCCCCCACCTCCTCCCAGCCACTTCCCCCACTTCATTCCTTTTCCCATCCCCGTCAAATCCATCGACATGTTTCGTACCTCCGAATAAATGTAGGGTTTTCCCTAGCGAAGTGCAAAAAAGCTGGTAGCCCTGATTTCAAGTGCTAGGTTAGCTCTCAGCCCGTAAATTTCAGGGCAACTTTTGGGGCACCTCAGCCTCTCAAGTTCTGGCTCCAAACCAATCGACAGCCCTGGTGCGGAGGCCTGATGGGCCTGGATAAGTCCGAGCGGGTCGCGCCGAAGGTTTGGGCGTTAGTTTGCTTGGAGATAAAAAAACACAAGCACTGAAAGAAAATGAAATCACCTCGGGGAGGCACAGTAAGCAGTGCAGGCAGCGGTTACCTCGGAAAGCACGAGGCGGTGTGAGTGGTTACCTCAGAGAGGGGAACTAAGCGGTGCGGGCACTGGTCGAGGAAGCAGCGCCAGGAGAGGGAGGCGTCCCGCCACAGCACGAGGGGGCGGCCCACCACTGTGAGCGCGTGCGGGCGACTCGCATCCATGTCCGCTATGACCCCCACTGCGTACCACGCCCTGTTCCAATCCACCTGCTCCCTCTCTGCCCGCCGAGCTCGCCCCTCCTCTGTGCCTTCCTTCCCTGCTGCCCGCTGCTGCTGCTGCTGCTCCTGCTGCTGCTGCTGCTGCTGCTGCTGCTGCTCCTCCTCCTCCTGCTGCTGCTGCTGCACCTCACCCGACGTTGGCGGCTTGACGGTTAAAGAAAGTGGCACCGCAGCACGACCAGTGGCCGATGCTGCGGGTGCGGGAGTGGGAGTAGGAGCAGCAGCGGCCATGGAATCAGCAGACGAAGCAGCAGAGGCTGCAGCGGCCAAGTGAGCAGGCGGGGGATGGGGAGGAGAGTCAGCAGCAAGTGGCGGGGCAGCGGCAGGGGCAGGCGAGGCTGACCCATCATCTTCTGCCCAACCCGCATCCCCAGCGGCAGAGCTGCTGGCCTGGCTTCGCACACGCACGCTGTTGCACGCCCTGCGCCCTGCGCGCATCACCTCGGCGCTCCTCTGCCGCGCGGCCGGGAGGCTCAGAGGCACGTGACTGAGGAGGCGAGAGCACGCCAGCCGCTGCTGCTGCTGTGGCGGCAGCTGCTGGGGCGGCGCACGGTGGGGCGTTGCAAAGTTGGGCGGCGCGCGGTGGGGCGTTGCAAAGTTGGGCGGCGCACGGTGGGGCGTTGCAAAGTTGGGCGGCGCGCGGTGGGGCGTTGCAAAGTTGGGCGGCGCGCGGTGGGGCGTTGCAAAGTTGGGCGGCGCGCGGTGGGGCGTTGCAAAGTTGGGCGGCGCGCGGTGGGGCGTTGCAAAGTTGGGCGGCGCGCGGTGGGGCGTTGCAAAGTTGGGCGGCGCGCGGTGGGGCGTTGCAAAGTTGGGCGGCGCGCGGTGGGGCGTTGCAAAGTTGGGCGGCGCGCGGTGGGGCGTTGCAAAGTTGGGCGGCGCGCGGTGGGGCGTTGCAAAGTTGGGCGGCGCGCGGTGGGGCGTTGCAAAGTTGGGCGGCGCGCGGTGGGGCGTTGCAAAGTTGGGCGGCGCGCGGTGGGGCGTTGCAAAGTTGGGCGGCGCGCGGTGGGGCGTTGCAAAGTTGGGCGGCGCGCGGTGGGGCGTTGCAAAGTTGGGCGGCGCACGGTGGGGCGTTGCAAAGTTGGGCGGCGCACGGTGGGGCGTTGCACGGTGGGCGCCATGGCGGACGGAAACCCTGAGGTTGCCGACGCAACCCTGAAAGGCAGACGCGTCACACGCGCTCATGCCGGGTGCTGTCTGCCGCTCGCGCACCTGCTGCTGCCTAGTTCCGAGTGCTGGCCCTGCTGTTAGGCTCGTGTGACCTGGAGACGACTAGAGTTGTGTGTGTCTCTAGCGGCACTACGGTGAGCATGAAATGAGAAGGGCGACGGCTGTATGGGAGACACCACTACAGCTGCCACTCCACGCTATTTCCCAGCGAAGGCTGTATAGTCACACGGGAGGTGCGCGGTGAAAGGGGGATTGACGGGCACGGGGCGTGGAAAAGCAATTCAGAGGCGTCGACTACAAAGACCGGCGGGAGTGACGGGGATCATCGTTGGGTGACTCCTCGTCGCCGCGTGGCGCGCTTCTGGGAATCCGTAAGAGCTCCTCGTAGCCCCCCCCGTGTCGCGCGCGGTCGACAGGACCGACGGGCGAGCGACCAGCCCGCTGCGACAAATTCAATATCGGGGCTGGTTCGCAAGGAGCCCGCCTGGTTGCTTGCCATCCGGCGATTTGACTCAACCGCGGCGCCACGTGGCGTGACGCTACGGGTGTTCGGATGGTTTGATCGCGAGGCATTCCGCTTTCTCGAGGCGAACGGGAATCACGAAATAGGCCAGTGGGACGCATGAGGGGTCGATTCGGATGGGACGGCGTCGAGTCGAAAGTCGAGGCGACTCCTACCCGCGGCGCTGACAAACTCGAGGTATTCCGACGAGGTGGAAGGTGACAGCCCCATCAGCGCAACGTCTACGTCCCCGCGCGCATGAGAGACTTGTAAAGCAGAGTGGCCCTGTTTGATAGGCAGCCACCTCCTTGCAGGTTGGGAAACCAAAACCGCCACGACGGGGAAAGCAAAAACGACGGGATCAGTCACGCCTTCCTGATCCCGTTAGTTAGGGTTCTTTAAAACGAGGGTCTAGATTTGACAAGCGGAGGTTCAGAAGTTTTTGTTCTGAACCAGGCTTGCCAGCGCGAAGGTGTTGGCTCGCGAAAACCTGGAATTCGTGTGGGCACTTTTCCTCCGCAGTAAATGTTCGCCAGGGTTTGGGGTTTCAGGTGGCAAATGTGCACCCATAAAAATGCTGCCGAGCCTCTCATGCCTCCCCAACCAAATGCAAGATTGAGGGTCTCGCGAACGCCCCCAAACTTCCTCCATTTCGAACGGCATGACGGCATATGGAAATGGGAGCGCAATTTCGTCTCCTGGCAAATATCTCTTCCCATGCCATTCCATCGTCATTCCCCCTTTCACGGAGGACAGCGATGACATACAGGTGGCATTGCCGTTCAGTGGGGAACCTCTGATCGAGCCAAATGTTTGACAAATGGGGGTTCGTTATCCCCCCATTTTTCCCCTCCCTAATACACCTTCGATTTGTGACTTGGTCTCAGCACGAGGTGGCGGGGGTTGTATTTGAGCAGGTTTAGTTTTCCTTTGCGTTTTTTTCCCTAGTCTAGTAGTTTTATGCCCTCAGTCAGGCAGTGGTCAGTGACGCAAATTTTCCGCGCCAGTGGGGAGGAAGGTGGGGATGGAGGTTCCAGATGCGGTTGCGTCATTTCCCGTTTCGGGACCCGAAGTTTCGTGTGCTAGCGAACATCGCCAGTGTTAGGCTAGCGTTTGGAGGATAGGTAAAGGAGGGGGGGAAACCCCTCTGGGTGTTAACCACATCTGGCTGTCTGTCGTAATCCGCCTCCCCAATTGTTTAGACTCGCTGGGTCAACGAGGTTGAGGTATATCCACTCCCAAGGTGAGCACGTGTAAACCCCCTTCTGGAAGGCTGACAGAACTTGTCCGCACGGGGGATTGCTCCCGGTGAGGAGATAAACTCTACAACGGTGGGAGCTAGACTACTAGGTAGGCACGAGTTGTAGGAGTGATCGTAGCTCTGTCTGTGTTCTCTAGGACTTGTGTTTTCACAGGGCAAAACAGCAAGAGTTTCACTAAGGAAAGTTGAGAATAACAGAGTTCAGAATGAACATGCAATGGCAAAGACTGACTACATCACATGCAAGGTTTGCTAGCACTCAGGCAGGTCGACTGCCAGCACGACAAAGTCGTCGACCTGCCAACGAAGCAAGTCCGCGATCCGCCAACGCAGCTCGTACGCGACTTGCCAACGCTGCAGATGGCGGTCTGCCAACGCTGCTCCTGCGCGGCTTGCCAACATTGCATCCGCAGGTGATTGTAAGCGCATGTGCAAGCACCTACTTCGCAGGTGCTTGTAGACAGTTATGCACGACGTGCACTGTCAAGTACATTGCGCAGGTTGTCAGCCACATGCTGACGGTTGCACATGATGAGCCACGTCGACCACGTGCTGCCACGTCGGTCGACTTCGCCACAGCAGCCTCGACGACGTTCGCACACCTTCGCGCACCTCGTCGAGCAGGTAACTTGGTCAACCAGGTAAGGTACCTGGAGGATGACATCTCTGCAGGATGACGACCTTCGTCATCACCGGTTGACGACCTTCGTCGTCGCGGGTTGACGACCTTCGTCGTCGGGGCTCGACGACCTTCGCCGAGCACCTTCGTCGAGCACCTCGGTCGACATTTCAAAATGTCAGCCCCTGATTGGTCGAAATTAGGGCACATTCGAATTTCTGGCCAAAATTCGCCTGTGCAGTCTCAATGTTGCGCAGGGTCAAACGCGACCCTGCGCAGACGGACACCCGCGAACTTCTGCACCAGCTGCGCCACTCTGGTCGACGAACTGCTTCGTCGACCATCCTCGTTGAACTCCTTCGTCGAACTCCTTTGTCGACGAAGTCACAATGGTTCCGTGCAGGTGGACGACCACCTTCGTCGACCTCTGCGGAAGGTCGGCTGCACCTCCCACACACCCGACCACAAGTCAATTTGCCCATGCGAGGGCGGGGCCAATTTCCTTCAACACTCCCCTGCCGCGCTCACGCTTGGGCACCCCACACACCAGGTCCACCCAGAACCCAAGGGCTATAATACACGGGAAAAATGCTTCGGCGTGCACACAACACACAGCACGTCGATCACCGCACCAGCCGTGCAGAAGGGCACGGCACCTACTGCTGCACATCATCGTCACCGTCGCCAACGTCTGCCAGACGAACTTGGCCGATCGCGACGGAGCACCGGTTGAAGGCCGGAAAGTGCAGCCCCTTCGTCAGGAAGTCAGCTGGCTGCTCAGAGGTGGGAATGTACTTCAGCGCAATCTTCCCACGCTTGACCATCTGCTGCAGCCAAGCGTAGCGTCGCTCCATATGCTTGAGGTTGCCCTTCAGCCCCAAGCCTTCCGCGACAGTGATGGCCGACTGGTTGTCCACACGAAGGACAGTCGGCGTCCCAGAGTCTAGCAGTTTGAACTCTGCAAGGAGGAAGCGAAGTCGACGAGCCTCCTTGCCAGCTTCCGTGGCCGCAACGTACTCTGACTCTGTCGAGGAGAGTGTCGCGCACTTGATGCGCTGGCTCGACCAGGAAACTGCGGCCCCTCCGAAGACGAACACATAGCCACCCGTGCTCGTCCGGTTCTGCTTGTCGCCTGCATCGTCTGCGTCCACGTAGCCGACCAGGCACAGTGAATCTGGTCCACCACCAAACTCCAAAGCGGTGTCACGGGTGTCGGCGAGGTAGTGCAGGCAGCGATCGACCTCGCGCCAGTGGTTGTCACTCCGCACTGTCAGGCCGCTCCCCAGCTTGCTGCACGCGAACGCGATGTCCGGCCTCGTCGTCGTCGCTGCGAACTGCAGCGAGCCGACCTTCTGCCTGTACTCCTCCTCCTCGCGCGCCTGAGCATCTTCGTC